TCATATACTATCTTAAATATCAATTGGAGAGCATGAGGAGTGAAGGAAACATGCTGAACACCCAAACAAGCCAGAGCACTTGACCTGATGTCATTATTATCACATTATACAGGTTACATAACATTTGGCCATTCTCGAATGCATCATTCCTGTCCAGCAAAACAGAAGGAATAAAGCTGGTCAGGTCGAACACTTGTCCATTATCTTTATTGAATTAACTATTGGCTGTTTATTTTCAATGCATACAAGTCTCTCTACCTTTAGAATTTTTATAAATCAACACATATTCATAACTTGCAGACGTTTGATTTATTGATAGTTAGTTAAAAAAAAATATCAAAGGGAAGGATACTCCGATGTTGAATATTCTTTTGCTTAAATGCAAAGATGTTAGGTCCTTTGTAACACGTTTATTTAAAAAAATAATCTCTTAGTTAACAAAATTGTTCACCAATTGATGTTTAGATTTTTATGTGTTGTAACTTTTTCTTTCAAAGCCACTGGTTATATCTTTGTATCCATGAACAGGCCCGTTAGGGCCGGTACACACGATAAGGCTTGCCTTATAAGTCATGGAACTTAAGTTCTTGCCTTTCCGTGTGTACACCCTTAATACACGGTTTTTCGAGCCTTATAAGTCTGACTTACAAATAGAACACTGCTCTATTTCCTGATACAAGACTTAGCTAAATTTTCTTCTCAACCAATTGTAGCAGTGTGTTTTAACTGTATATAATGTATATCACATATTTGAATAAATATTATTGATATAAATGAAATTTAATAAGATTTTATGATTTAATACAAATCCCAGATCCACCCCTTTATTTACTTGGTGAGCGATAGAGTTCAAAGGTTATGACATTAGGGTTCTGTAATTTTATTGGTTGTAAGTTTTGGTGGTTCTGAGTTGTTCTCAGAGAGACTACTCAGAGATTTTGGTCAGGTTGGCTGTGTGTAAATTTAGAGAGATTTTCAAGACAAAGACTTTGAGACCTTTAAGACCAGACCTGACAGTAAGTATAAAGTTTAACATTCTATATCTTTATAATATGTCTTTTTAGCTAATATCACTGTTTGAAAGAAGAGTGAAAGTTTAAATATGAATAAAACTAAATTTAAAGCATTTTACCTCAGAGTATAAATTTATTTGAATTATGAGTATTATAGTATGTATAGTATAGTGTACAGTACTGACCACTTGCCCAGTTACAAGATCCACATGGATTGATGAGGTTTGATATTGCGAAGGCTCAACAAGATGACCCTGAACTATTACCCTAGCTGGATACAGAGTATTTATGATGGATACAAGTCAAAGAAGAGTGGGATCCTTTGCAGACACCATATTGTTTAGAAACTTTGACAAACTGAAGCTTATTAACAACATCCTGTACAGAGAGGTTAAGGTGGATGAGAACAAAGTCAATCAGCTTGTTGTACCCTCAAACTTAGTAGGTCATGTACTGAAATCTCTACACAACAACATGGGACATCCTGGAAGAGAGAAGACATTAGGTTTACTTAGGGATAGATTCTTCTGGCCTGGACAGTACAAGGATGTAGAAAACTGGATTACAGAATGTAGAAGATGTATACTTAGGAAAACACCGGCCCAGGACAAAGCAGAACTTACCAACATCATCACCTTACAGCCACTTGAACTGGTGTGTATGGATTTCCTGTGTTTGGAGAGAAGTAAGGGAGGATATGAAAATGTACTTGTGATAACGGATCATTTTACTCGTTTTGCCATCGCCGTACCAACTAGAAACACAACAGCCAGAACAACAGCGGAAGCATTTTTCAACAATTTTGTAGTACACTATGGACTCCCCAAACGCATTCATTCTGATCAAGGTGCAAACTTTGAGAGTAAACTTATCAAGGAATTATGTCAACTTTTCGGTATTTCAAAATCAAGAACTACACCATACCACCCAATGGGGAATGGACTTTGCGAGCGCTTTAACAGGACTTTAATAAACATGTTAGGATCATTAGAACAATCAAGAAAAGCAGGCTGGAAATCTTACATAGCTCCCATTGTACACGCATACAACTGCATGAAACAGGAAACTACAAAATTTTCACCTTATCATCTTATGTTTGGAAGAGAACCTAACCTACCAATAGACATTGAATTTGGATTAGATAAAGGAAATCAGAAATCAGCATCCCTTACAAAGTACATAGACAACTTGAAAGAGCGACTAAGGAAATCTTATCAGTTGGCATCAGAAGCTGCAAGAAAATCACAGCAAAGACAAAAGGACAACTATGATCTTAAATCCAGAGGAGCTGTATTAGAAGTTGGTGACAGAGTCCTGGTTAAGATTGTGGCCTATGATACACGTCATAAACTTGCAGACAAATGGGAAGAAGAACCCTATCTGGTGATTAGCCAACCAAATGAAGGGATCCCTGTCTACAAAGTTCAGAGAGAAGACGGTGTTGGTAGAGTAAGGATACTTCATAGAAACCTACTCTTACCCATTGGACATGTTACAGAGTTTCAACCAAAGGTAGATTCCAAACAAGAGAAACCTATTCCAGCAATGCGGAAACCTACACCAAAGCCAAGGACTAGACAGAACAAGAGGGAAAACAGTGACACACTGTCCACTGTCGATACCCAGTCAGATACAGATGATGAAGAAGCAGTCTATATAACAATACCAGATGGAACACAACGTCATCACATTGATGCCCCTAACATTGTGTTACCTGAAGTTGAGACTGGGATTGTGGATGAAGATCTCCAAACAGTTGGGGACGCCCATCAGATTGGAGAAGATATATTGCAAGAGAATGCAGATAAAGAAACTGCTACGGAACCTGCACCACAAGCAGATGATCCAGAAGCTGAACCAGCAGCTGTTATTGAACAGAAAGATGAAGTTGAACTAGCAGAAGAAGCTGAACCAGCAGATGAAAGTGAACCAGAATTAGATGACAAAAGTTCACCTGTTGCTGCTCCACGCAGATCAACAGGGGCCTAGAAGAGAGCCAGATTGGTTAAGAAGTGGAAATTACGTGCGATTACAACAGACGAATATTGATCCGCATTGGTCTGAGAAAGCAAAGTTACTACAGAACATTCTTCAAGATGAATGGTGTCAAGGATTTGAACGAGGTGAGATTTTAAAAACTTTACTCGATATTGTAAAGAAAACTTGAATCTGTAAATTTCAGTGAATTGTATTATAATTTTAACATGATTTTAAATTTTTCATTCTTCACTGAGAATGACGAGGACGTCATTTTTCGGAGGAGGGGAAGAATGTAGCAGTGTGTTTTAACTGTATATAATGTATATCACATAATATTTGAATAAATATTATTGATATAAATGAAATTTAATAAGATTTTATGATTTAATACAAATCCCAGATCCACCCCTTTATTTACTTGGTGAGCGATAGAGTTCAAAGGTTATGACATTAGGGTTCTGTAATTTTATTGGTTGTAAGTTTTGGTGGTTCTGAGTTGTTCTCAGAGAGACATAAAACAGCTATGTATAATCGACAAAATTATTGTGGGGCAGCCCCCCCCCCCATCCCTCCCAGTTCCTACGTCAATAAAAAAAAAAGAAATCACAAGTAATATAGTGTATATAGAAGCCACTGAATTGAACTTTTCTTGTTTCTTAGCAAAAGAATTCCATTTCATGACTCAGAGTCATGTTGCTTACACATGCAGGATTGAACTTTTCTTGATTCTTCACATAAAAATAAATTTGCTCAAGTCAGACAAGCTTTTTAGGAAAGCTAATACTTGTAATTAGTTAGAAATAGACCGGCCTGATTCTAAAACTATTTATAACTTGTCGTGCACATCCAGCAAATGTGGGTCAGTTTCAGCATTCGAACATAGGCGTCAGAACAAATTGAAAGTGGGAGGGCTAATTGAAGGGGGGGGGGGCTACCCCCCCCCTCCCCCAAAAGGTAAGCCCCAATTTTCAATGCCAATATTATTACATCGTTGGATGGCAAAGCCCCCCCCCCCCCCAGGTTCCGATGCCTAAGCAAGTCTAGTAGAGTTAATTCATTGCAAGATGTTGCAGTACGCAATAATATCAATAGTGTCCTTCCTGATTTACTTAATTTTAGCAAATAAAATATACAATTAACATGACTTTCTAAAAAGAATCATGACGAATTTTTTACTGGCTAAAATTAAGTATATCACGAAGGACACCAGTCATATAAGATATACAAAGGTTCGTAACTGCAGTAGGTATTATACCAGTACATTCTTTTTCTACCAGCCTATCGGATGACTTGAAAAAATAGTTCCACCACTCGACACCCTTTCCTTTTTTAAAATCAGGAAAATCTGCCAAAAATGTCTGAAAACTATATATGACATGCTTGTCTTTATTTTCTTTTATGTCTATATGAATCGCGTCAAAACTCGGCTCTTGGGATGGAAAATTCGACTCACACTCAGGCACTTAATTAATTCAATTTTACAATTAAAATAGTTTTGACGGGATGAAAAAACCGAAAGGAATAAAAAAAAAATTACCGCTTCCTGCAATTCTGGAGAGACAGACAGACAAACAGCTAGACAGACACAGATGGCCTCATATGATAGTATAGCGTATACTTATTATTCCAAATCAGGGTCCTTTTCAGGATATAACATACATGATTATTAAACATATCATAGTATAGAACAAGTATAATATTTCTTATATTATGCATGATTATTTCTTTATTAAAAGCTGTTGCAAGTTATCCGATGTTCGTGAATTCAGAAAACTGCGAAACGGAACACATGTTTATAAATTTAGAATACTACAACATAGGTTATATAAAATTGCTCCGGGATCGTACTTATAAAAATCTCGTCGATATATACATGAATACAGTTGCATTTCCTTTTGACAGCGATTCTTATATTCTTATTCCGATGCAGAGTCTAGATAGAGTGTGAGTATAAAGTCAAAATATACAAAATATACATAAATACTTTATATTCTTATTCTTATTACGATGCAGAGTCTAGATAGAGTGTGAGTATAAAGTCAAATTATACATAAATACTTTTAATTAAAGATAACAACTTTTAATAAATATCTCTATGTAACCGGAAGTAGAACTCTTTAATGAATAACTTAACAAAGTTACTAGCTTACTTGGCTTAAAGCAGTAAACTGCCTCCAGTTATGATTGTCAACCCAGGTAAGGGGATATCTGAACTATGATCAACGCTAAATGAAAACACAGTTGTAAGTTTTATAAATTTAATAAAGTGAGAATTAACCTTTGTAAATGATAACAAATAATAAATAATAATCAAAATTTAAACAAGAATAAAGGGAGGAATGTGAAAAACCTATGAAAATAATTTTTGTCCCTACCGAGCTTCCATACTTGTGAAAAAGGTCAAAAATCCTATTAAATGAATAAATTAGAAAAGTGTAAAAGGAATGAGCTACATCACCCAATATGACTACTATCAACACTCTAGGGTTGAACTTAAAATAATACTGCTAAATCTGGATTCTAAAAAAAAATATCTAACCCAGAAAATAAACAACACCAAAAATAAATAATAAATAGTGAATAGTGGTTCTAGGAATTATACCTGTTATCTACAAATCCCTAGACCAGGCTTGACTTGGAAAGGGGAAAATAAATTTATTCTATTAAACCTACATCCTAACTGTTTCCTAACAAAAATCTAGAATCTGTGAAAAACGTGAAACTAAAGCTAGCTAAGACCTAGAGTACTGTTAAATCATAAGATTTTGTTAGCACTACTAAAGTGTACTAAGCAAATAAGTGCGTTTAAACCAGGAGGTTTTATTAGCACTGTAAAGAGGAACTAACCATTAGGTCTGTTCCCCAACCCAAGTGAAGAAAACTACACGAACACGGCTTTAAATACCCTAGCTATAGGCCCAAATATAAATGCCAATAACCATCAAAGATCCAATAGCTAAGTTAACCAATCAGAACACAGCTATCAAAAGTACTACGGAAAGACTGCCAACATGGATGACACTTCCTGTTTAAAAAGTAAAACATGTGGAATGTCAACACATGTCCTAACTTATAAAAGACAAATAATAAAGAGGTTTTACGTAAGTAACAACTGAAAAATAAGGTAAATAGAATTATCAGACTGAAATACCAACAAATACCAACAAATTTCTTTTAATCACAAATGTAAATAAAAGCACAGTTTTTTCTTTATATTAGTTTGCTTAGGTCACGCATGCGCACCAGCAAGTAATCTTCAGCACTCTGAAGTTTTGTTGTAAATAGAAGAAGAAGAAGAAAATACTTTGCAAAATATAATTTACGAAACGAGGGCTATGAAATAGAAATCTAAACCACTACATCTATATATATATACTTTGTATATGTATGTATTATTCTTGTTAATTCGTTTTATGTCATGACTGTATGCCGACATGGTAATTGTCAATAAAGTGAATTGAATTGAAATATTACTGTACTTTAACAGCGGTCGTTGGAGTAGAACAGATGGCTACTTGTCAAGCGATGCGTTTACAGGAGGGTACGAGGCAGACGGCAGAACACTTCATGTAGTCTGCGCCTATATTGATGGCGTCTTTACACCTGGGAAATACGGACATCATCTTAGTGGAGCCTGCATTCCATACGGTCGTGAAGAAAAGGTTTGCGAATGGTTCTACTATCTGGTTAATAGCAACTTTGAGAAGTGGATATATAGCTGGGAGCACGCCTCCAACGGAAACGTACCCCACAACGCCCTAAAGGTCGATGAGGGGATGTACGTGGGTCGAGTCCACCATGCGGGGAGTCTAATTCCGTGTAAGGTTCATACCAGTCACAACTGTGCTTATTTTGGTTATGATGGGAGAGAACACAGTTCCAGGGAGTACGAGGTGCTCGTCTACACACTGAAATCCAATCAGGTAGAGGAACAGAAAGAGGCCAAAGAATAATGGGAATACAGCGGAAAATGAAATAAATTTTCTTACAGATTGTCAACTCTATAAACAAAATAGAATCGAAGCACAGAAACATTAATTCATTATGTGTGTCTTAGTATTAAATTGATACTTTCAACTTTTGTTTCAATTTCGGTGAATCGATCTTCTCACTAGGTGCTTATATCATTATGATGTTTAGAACGCATGTAAAAAAATAATTAAAAACATTTGCTTTGCTTGTTTGTTTGTTTTTGGTTTTTTGTATTTTGTTGTTGTTGTTGTTTTTTGTATAACGTCCCTTCCGAGAATAGTTCACTCATATTGAGCTGCCACCACTTGCTGGTGTACCTCGGTTTTTACCATCTCATCCGAAGGTCCGGGATCCACATCCCTCAGTGGGATTCGAACCCGCGACGTAAGGATAAATACTTTACTCCATGACCCTAGAGCAAACACTCTAACCACCGCTCCACGCGGGCAACAATTTAAGAACTTTCAAAAATTAAGTCTTTAATTTTCTAATACCCAGGCTTCGGGACCCCCATTTCCCCTGAGAACCCTCATCAGAAACTATCCTGGACCCGCTTTCGACTTGGGTGGCCCCCAGATGATCCATTACCTCACTAAAAATTTGACGGCATTGTTAGTTTCGGTCTATATATATATATATATATATTCTTTCAGAAATACTGAACAGCTGATTTGTAACTTACGAGAGTTATCGTTCTTTGCTAAGTCGCATGAGAGACTATGAGGATAAAAAATACACTTTAAATCTTCTTTTCATGATTTTTTTTATATATTATATATTTAAGTCATGTTTAATCAAAAAATCATATCTGTTTTGATGTATATAACCCTCATTTTGGTAGGTCTTCCATTACCTCGGTCAGTTATATTATACTCAAGTGACTTTAAAGATGATGTTGTTAGATTTTTTGGAGAGATTTCAATTTGCTATCTTGCTCCATTACCGAAAGTGAACAATGTCCAAGTTTCAATTTAATTTGCTGGTTTCCTCCCTATAGGTTTCTATTGATGTTGATGAACTTAGGATTTTAATCTTCTTCGTTCTGCACACTACTACTGCTGTAATCCACTTTACAAACAATAATCTTAGGAAACAAATTGATGTTCCAAATCACAAAAAGCCATACATGTCAATCTGACAATAACACCATATTTACACATCCTAAGGTTTTCTGTCCTCATCCCAATTTTTAAAGAAACTTAATCAACACAATAGTTTTCAATGCTCTTTATATATTTTATTGATATATATATATGATTTAATATTATATTGCATGACATGGTTGCATTTTATATACATGTACAAAGATTATGCCCAAGATCTCTTCCTTATAGTCAGGAGTTGTCTACCCCTGGCCCTCTGAAGAGCTACTCAGGAGTTATCTACCCCTGGCCATGTGAAGAGCTATTCTACATGTCTTTTTCTCTAAGTAATGATGAACCCACAACCAGAGAATTGACCGTGGAATTCTGGCATTTCCACACTGTCGTTTTTGACAAGGCAAAGATCTGAAATATTCTTTTATCAGAGGTTGATACCATTTAAAATGAAATTAATTCCTTTTTGGAGATCTTGTCAAAACCAACAATAAATAATCTATATACAGTCAATGACTAGGCTCATTAAAATGTGATAAAATGTTCATGAACAAACAACTGATAAATAAAATTTACATCTGCGATCATTGAATGCACTTGGCCGCCCGTCATCAACATAATCCATTTCATATCTACTGTAAAATATCTGAATAAAAACAAAACAAAAAATAACATTTCATGCATATACATATAGAGTTATGTACCTGTTAGACTACATGGTTAGTAATTCAATGCAGTAGATATGTTTGAATACAACTTTTTTCCTAATACTGTTTGAACTTACAAAAATATAAGTGATCTCTGAAATTCCTTGCACAACATATTGATTACACTCATGATTTCTAACTAACATCTGGAACCAAAGGTAAGGTTTCAAAACTAGATTAGTAAATCAAACAATTCAACTGCCTAACATTAAAATCTTAACCAAAAGACAAAGTTTTACAATTCATATTTTGCCAATTATCACAAAACCCTCCATGTATATAATGCAATAACTTAATGAGATTTAATAAAGCATATTTAACAATTAATATTTATCAATAAATACATAACAATTAACAAGCACCTTGTCGCGTGTTCCCTGCAGTTCTTGAAGATAATTCAAAAAGCGAAGAACATGCCCAAGAATAATAAAGCAGGATTTACCTCCCCTCTCATACACACAATCTCTCACACACATTGAGAAAAAGTCATGTTTATATTTACAATGCATATAATGAGTACCTGGTCCTTCCACAAAAACCTCCAGAACATAAAAAAAGGGCAAAATGAAAGTAAAAAAAAAAATCTAAAAAAAAAAAAGAGTGAAAATAAAGGAGACAGACAAATCTCTCAAAAAATGAAATGAAAAGCTGAGAACAACCTAAATGGATATTAAAGTTCCCAAAGTAGTTATCCACAATAGAAATAGCAGCACTTAAAAATGTCTGTCGTGTCCTGTAATGCCCGAGTAGCTTTAGGCTGTTTCTGTCTCCACGGATCGTTCAATACACGGATTCCTGAGTCCTATAGGACTGGATATATCTGGGTGGATGTCCTCCACATTTTTTCTGGAGGAGCAGTTAGCCTGGTGGAAGCGCTGATCTACAGTGACTACCTCCAGAGGCCCTACCACGACTGGTTCTGATGGATTTGTGTCCTTATAATTCATTTCTATGCTGTCCTTCTCAGGATCTGAGAATTCTTGCTGGCTTCGTGGAGTGGGAGGTCCGTACGGGTGATACCAAGTCAAGTCTTCCTCCTCGCGTAGGGACAGCAGAACTCGAGATTTCACTGAAATAAAACAAGTGAATATTATTTCCAACCTTCTTCATCTGAATTTAAAGTGCGACAGATCAACAATGACATTGTTCTTTCTCTTGTTATCAGTAGAATTCCAGTACTTAGATCTATTATTTAAAGTTTTCTGTTTTATTTGGATTCTTAAATGCCACAATATTTAAATCAAAATTCAAGAATTTGTGCCTTAAAAATGAATTTTAAAAAAATCATGCAGAGAGAAGGTGTGACCCATCGCCAAGATTTTCAAAGATAATCAAAGAACGAAACCAAAACAGCTCAAACAAAAGTGAATGAGTTCTGACAGCACATGTAAAAGATCAACATTTTAATGTCACAATCTGCCTGATTACAAAAATATAATGAAAGCAGTGGAGCAAAATTAAAGTTTTAAGACCATAGACTGCTGCATCTTTTACATGTGATGTAACAAGCACTGGCCATATACTACATGCTGGTGACCTTTAACACAGGGGATTTACCACATGCTGGTGACCTCTAACCTCCATCTTCACCAATGAAAAGCCCCCTTACTTTAAAAGGAATAAATCACACATACTTACTAGATGGAGTAGAGTAGATGTCCACCTTGGCATCTTGTACAGATGGTCCCATCTTTATCCCTGGCTCAAGTAGGCGAGGATTAGCGAAGAATGACATTCCCTCCATGGCAGCTGAGCCCGAGGAATAGCCGATATTGAATGAAGAAGGAGACCAACTCCCCAGAAACACAGCAAAGCATAACACCAACACCTGAAACAGTAACATATCTGCTCAAAAAAATTTACGAGATATTTCACATGAGACCACTGTGACTATTTAGCCCTAGTGACTGATGCCTCTAGAGCCGCCTTTCTCTGCCCCCGATGCCTCTAGAGCCACCTTTCTCTGCCCCCAATGCCTCTAGAGCCACCTTTCTCTGCCCCCATACCCAGACTTACCATTAGCACTGTTCCTGTTTGTGTCGTGGTCCCCCCGTGCCTGGAGACCTTTCCCACCAAGGCCTGAAGCTTCTGTAACTGACCAAGCAATGACCTGTTGTTGTTCTCTAAAGAGTCTACTTTCTTCTTCAGATCGTTGTTCTCCTGAGAAAAAGCTTCCACCCTGCCAGAAGAGAAAGTTTATATCAAATCCCATTGACACAACAAGGAAGACTGGTTTTTAAATCAAAAATTGTACTATGAAATTTCACATGAATATACATGGCCTTATGTATGATGGTGCATAAACAAAAATGATGATGATCAGGAAAAAAAAAGGAAGACAAAATATTTCCTTTTCAACTAAGGAGAAAATCAATCCTTCCTAACTATCAGTTAAGACTTCAATTAAAATGTACCGTTTCTCTAAAGCTTCTAAATATTCTTTTTTCTTCCTTCTGCTCTCTTGTGCAGAGATCTGAAAAAATAAAACCTCTCTGTATTATTGAGTCATAAAATATAATGGGATTCTTTTATATCAATCAGAATTTCATCATGTTAATGGATTACTTCCCTTAGAATGTACTTGCTATCTAGAACTGATGCAAAGCTAATTTTATAAAAATTTCTGGATTTTGTGAATATCCCCTCCCTCTCAAAGAAAAAATTCCAAGCACTATTAGTACAGCACATGTAATTGTAACTTCGGGTTTTCCCTGAAATTAAGATTTCCTTGTGTGTTGAGAGTTTGATCTTGCATTGTCATGTTGCCTAGACACTGTCTTAATTGTACCTTGTTTTTAATTTTTCTGCGTATCTTTTTCAGATTTTTCTCCTCCTGTTTAGTGAGGGGGAGTTTATTTGGTATGGGGTAACCTTCAGAGATGAGAGTCCTTTTTTCCTCTTCAGATAAAATAAGGAGACCTGACTGAGGAATCTACAACAAACAATATCCAAAATAATCAGTACAACAAACAATATCCAAAATAATCAGTACAACAAACAATATCCAAAATAATCAGTACAACAAACAATATCCAAAATAATTAGTACAACTGGCAATATCAAAATTTCCAAAAGTTCCATTCCTAACAATGAATTGTAAAAATTAATTCCTGATAAACACTAATCAGTGAGTAGTTCTTTTAGCATTAATTGTAAAAAAAAAAAATCAAAAAAAAAATCTTAATACGCAAAAGTCTCAAACATGTCTGTGGGATTAGAAGACAGTGGTGTAGTTTGTCACAAAACACCAAAGAGTTTCGTTAAGGGGAGATAACTTACCGGACTGGTGAACAATGGTTGTGAGTATGATTTGCTGTTGGGGGAGAGAGAATGACGCGAGTGTGGCAGTTGTCGGACTGGACTAGAGGGTGCTGATTGCTGAGGACTCTGTCCCCCCTCACTGTCGCTAGAGGCACTACTTGGGGGTGTGGGGGGCATGATCAGGCTGTCCACATTTACTGTAAAAGAAGAATTATCACATGAGAACAGGTGCTCTAGTGAAATAGCAGGTGCCCTCTGAGTACTCTATCTTGTGATAGAATTATCAATATTTAAAAGTAGCAAAACCTCCCATATAATACTGGATTTTGTTTTGTTTATAAGGCCATGCTTTATCAATCACTGACATTGTTTATATCTGATATAATGCTAAGAGTTATATGACATCAGCACTGAACATTGTACTGTTCTTACAATGTTATGAATCTAGCGGGTTTTTCAATTATTATTAAGTTAAATGGCCTCACAAAGCAATGACTTTGATCAGTTTCTAAATTTTGTGAAACCTTTCACCTTTTTATGAGACTATACCAAAGTACAAATTACTGTACATCATTACCAGTTTAAGCAAATTTTCCACAAAATGAATCCATTTCCTGACTCAAGTGCAGTATTTATGGCATGTAGATTACAATTAAAGTGACTCATTTCTGCAGAAAAATGTGAATAATTTCCTAATATTTACATTTATACAAAAGCTGTATACATTCATTGTATTTCTGTACAGCTATGTACCTACTCCAGTGTTGTCTAAGTGTTTAACAAAAGTGACTTGTTAATTATTGCCCAGTGACTTATGTATACTATTTGTACGACTATGAAGGGTTGCAACATTTTCTGTCTGGTCATAGACGTTCCTGCAGACATTTATAGAAAGTTCTCATTTATAAGTACATCATAATCATCAACTATATCAAGTTTATGCAGGGAAAATAAAGTACGTGAAAAAGCCCAGTAATATGTAGATCAGGTGCTTCATTTACATAATCTGAAGAAATGCATCCAAAAAGTGGCATAATTAATGTGCCACTCAAAACAATGCAAGTATTGTATAATTCTGTTCCAAGGTAAAAAAGGGAGCCATTCTATCATACACACAATTAAAGGGCTATTTAAATTTACAAATTAGGAGGGAAAATCCATATTTATAGATAAAAACAATTTGATGAACTATGCTGTACTTCTATACAAAAGACTGATCAAATTCTGTTAAACGGTTCAATAACAGATTTTATCAAATATATCATTTGATTGGATCGTCAAAAAGTTCATGTATACACAGTAAAACACTCTTATAACGTAGTGCAAGGGATGGATAATTTTGCTTCATAAAAAGCATAATTCGTTACATCCGTTAAGTTTACAATATATTTTAGAGTCACTGGGAATAAAAATCCTTTCGCTATAAGTGTCAATTCGTTATAAGTGTGTTCGCTTTAAGCATGTTTTACTGTATATTGTTAATTTTTCAAAGGAATAGAACATCTTCAGATAAAGCTGGACTAAATGTGCAGTAATTTTCAAATTAAGGACTGAAAATCCTTGAAACTTCTCAGATATAATCAGGTTTAATCAAGTTTAATCAGATATAATCTGTAACACACCTGTTTGCTCCATTGCCTCTGACAAGTGGTCCACAGGTTCAGTTTTGATCGTTACTATGGGTGATGATACAGAGTGTTGGGGGTGGAGCTGGGAGGGGGAGGCGGCCAGGATGATGGTTGGTTGCTTTGTCACAGTCAGTGTTCGGGTTGTCATGGTAGTAACTGTCGTAAGCATTGGGTCCACTGGTTCCACTTCAGTTAACTCGGTTTTGATGGCAGCTTCTTGTCCTGTGGTCAGGTTGGTTTTGTTTGTAAGGTCTAAAGCCTGGTTGCTTCCAAAAAATTCACTATCCAAATCTGAAATTTTGACAGAATATTTTACATTACTACCCTGTAAATCAGAGTTTTCCACCCCTGAAAAATAAAGCCAAAAAAAGGCAGTTTCCCTAATTAAATTACTGGTCTACCTTCCCAAATATTTGGAGATCCCCCCCCCCCCCCCCCAAGATGACTAAATAAATGTATTTCATCACTGGAAATCCAACTATAATGTAAAATTAAGTACTAGCTGTGAATATTCTAATGAATCCTGGTAGGCTTGAAGGATTCAAGATTTTCTTATCTCCTTTGCAAAGAATAAATTTATTTTTTATCTATGAAATTTTGCATTTTGTAATTATTTTTTTTTATGTATACATTTACTAAATAATATCAATAGAAATTTATCAAGTATATGGTTACCCAGACTAGCAAAGTAGGCCATGGCATGCTTTTAACTTTGCAAGCCTCTAATTATTGACAATTTATACGCAATTCTTGTATGTGTGTATCTTTTTTATGCCTTTGAGGTAAACTTTGTACTACAATGGACTTGTAAAGGACCTGTTTTCTCTCATTTATTTGTACTCCAGCAGATCAATGATCAATTGATTGGCTCACTCAGCATGCAATGAATTGATCCATTCTTCCTGATTGCATTTCACTTTCGAACACACACCTTTAATTAAACTTAATATGTAATCATACCTTCCATAGCTGCTCAAGGTCAAACATCTGTAGACAGGGAAAAAAGGCCAAATCTGTTCTACAAGTTAACTAGGATTTTAGAATTTATCTATATTCTCTTATCTGTTACTAAAATAGATCCAAAAATAGGCATGTGTACCAAATTTACCTAGTGCATTTTTTAGGAACTATCTACCTGTTTGTGTGTGTGTTGGGGGGGGGGGGGGGAGGTCTATGAGATACATCATACAATGCTTTTAAGTGCTTTTATTTATTGGAACTCTGGATAGGTATATGTTTTGGGGTTTATCTGTTTATATGTTATATAATTTTTTTGTATCTTTTTGTAATTTTTATTTATAGGAACTCTTTATCTACTATGAGGTCTATGAGGTACATTTCTATATAAAGCTTTTATTCCCAGCCCTTGTTTACCTACTCCTGGGGTCTACAAGGTACATTTCTTTATAATATCTAGGCCACCCTGGGTCCATGGTATCTTATCCTTGTTTAACACTAAAAAAGGTAGCAGGACATTGCTTAAAATGGAAGGACAACAAAAAAAAAAAAAATTTAAAACCTACAGTCAACAAGTTCTACACTCTCATTAATAAATCTAATTATATAAACAACCTGTCAGAGCCACATCAATTATTCCCTCCTGATTTATTCACAAGCTTGTGAGATATCGCAGATCAGACGTCTGAATGGTCGTCTGAATGGTCGTACAAATCTTTATACTAAACTATACATAACGAGTACACAACTTAGTTTTGCCCTAATGACATGCTACTCTTATATGACTTGTACCATGTGATTCTGATGTCACAAACAATAGAGGTCAATGGTTCTAACAATAAAGGTCAATGACTCTTTAATCCTGAATTTAAATCCAGACTCAGAGAATAGTCTCATTACGACAGATATTCTGATAAATTTAAACAGTGCATCTCTGTCATTCAATAGTTTTAGTATCAAGCACGTGGTCACTGTGTTTAATTTCAGGTAACAAGAATGCTAAATATGCACATCTCAGGTTTTAACAGGAAGGTTAGATAATTTACTGGGATAATTCTTTTAATGCTCTTCAATTTCTTATTTTCTATATCCTTCAACTTTACACATATATAATTACACATTTTTAAAAGGGTTTTTTCTACCCCATTAACTAAGGTAAAAGTTTAATGGTTGGGTGGATCCATTTCTATTTGTCTATTTTGTGGGTGGAGTTCCCTGAAATCAGTAAATAAATGTGATAGTAAACAGTTCCGATACATCTCTGTTCCTCGTCACAACACCCTGGGTCCTTACCTTCAAGTTTCCCGAGTCCAAGTGGAGAGGAAGGTACACTGTCATTAATGGAGTAACTGTGTTCCGAGTGAATCCGCGGAGGTTGTACAGCATCTGTTATCATTTTGTCATTCAGAACCGGATCCTCAAATAAACTGTCCAGCCAATCATTATCCATGTATCCGTCCGAGCTCTGGAAATATAATCAACAACACGTCAAATAAGTCTCAAAAAACAACTTTCTTCTATGTTTCTACACTTCATACCCCCCTCCCCCTTTTTCATTTACTGCAGACTATGAATACATTGTCTCCCCTACACAGAGATGAATTTAATTTCTGAGGTGTCTCTCAAACACCTTAATAAGGTGTTAATCTTTATGTAACAGTCTGTAATACTCTAACTTAACATGCTGGAGTTTTTCAAGGTACTCATAATAGCTTTAATAGATTTGTATGTTCTTCTACCTGCTAATATATATTCATGTCGATTAAGTACTGAGCAGTTATACAATCGGGTCACACAGAGAATTTAAAACTTGCCCTGTTATAACTATTTTAATCTAATAGACTAATACGGATTGTCAAACAATCAAAAAGCATAAAAAAACATTGTAAAGCCTTTTCACCCTTTGGACAAAATCTCTTTGACCCGTCCAGTGTTTCTACAATGCTAATCATAATAAACTTGACTTGCAGTTTCCTGACAACTTTAAATCACCTGGCTGTGAGACATAACTGTACTGGGGTATACCGTACTTATCTCCTTGGGTAATCGACTTTATACATACTGTATACACCTGTATTGATCAAACTGTCCATACAAAACTCGGGCCTCCCTGTGTTTTCATTTTATTACTAACCGAGCAAAAAATATCAATATCTATCAAAAATTTATCATAGTTTGCTGTACAGGAAGAGTGTGTTGATAGCGTTATCACGTCTCTGTCCTCAAATGTTCACCTCTTGTTCCTCCACGGGGAGAAACAATAACGAATTCTGATGAATTATCTAGTACAGTTTTCATTTTATTCATCTCTCCCTTGCTCTGACAATGTGAAATTACTAACACCCTTGAAGACGTGACATTTATGTCTTTCATACACTTATTTGATAATGTCAACATTAAAAAAAATTCATTCTTTAAAAAACTAACTGAATACCACATTTTTTCTCAATAATTTAATGACTGATTTACCTTAATTATCTTATTCTTTAGACACTGAATATTAATCATTTACACTGAAAATTTATTTACTAGCAATTTTTTGTTTAATCAATCATCTCCATAAATCAATGTGTTCTTTTCTTGAAATGAATTAAAGTCTTTTGATTATGTACTAATTTTCAGTTTATTATTTCAATTTGTTTGAAGATATTCAATTGGTCAGTAAAGTGCACCTACATTTAATGAGTAAATTTGCCAGCCACTCACTCTATGATTTTCTAATCATGTCACATACACATGTATTTGTTTACTATTGTATTTAATCATCGCAGAACATTAAAGGTATACATTTTCTAATTTATTTAAATTAAGACTTCAAGACTGCACACATAATTTCCTTTTGAAAATGCTTTCCCACATTTCACTGGTACAAAACAGTTCAAATTTATGTCAACTTAATCACTTTGGAGACATGCACATCCTATGACAACATGAAATGATACAAAGTCTGTTAAATCCCCGTAAAGTAACATAGTTACCAAGAAATGCTGGATTTCTGAAGATAAAAGGTCCAGTGAGGACATAAAGTCTCCCGTACAAACAGACGAGGTCCCCACCATGACTGTCTTAAACTCCCAGTCTACAGTCACTCAGTATATAAACACATTGCATCAGCTCAAACTTCACAAACTTTTCAAACTTTCACGCTGGACGTCAGCCATGTTTTTTTTTTCAGCCTTTGCCACATCAGCAGAAGTGATGCAGCACTGAATATTACCATGGTAACCTTCTTAACAAAGGAACAAATGGCTGTCTTGAATAATCAACAAACCAGATCTATAAACAGCTGAAGCTTATTGGATGATTGATATTCCCTACATCTTTAACCATAGAAAAGGTGACCATATTCATAAGGGCACAGCTTGTCAATGAACAGCTTGTGACACATTTGTGGATAAACTGACCCCCCCCCCCCTCCTCCTGATAAACTGACCTCTTTCCCCCCTCCCTCTTTTCCAAAATTTTCTTCTTCTTTTTTTTTTGAGGATTCACTGTCCAATTGTACAACACTGATCATCAGGTTACTTGTATAGTCCCAATGATACATTTAATGATGCACGGTTAGCAAATTTTTCCTTTCAATAACTCAGTGAGTTATGAATGTGTTAGTTTACCAGTAGTAATTGCTGCCGTTTTTACTGATTTATATCTCAGTGTCAGTGACCTAAAAAAATCAAACCCAGACAAGGCCATGTGGAGGAGTTACAACACTAAACACTTCACAAACCACGAGCTCAGTTTCTCACGGAGACTCATGATCTTGTAATTTGGTGTTTGACATTTTTTGTAATGTTTTCCTTATTTTCTCTTTTTGACAATCTTAAACAAAAACACACAACTATGAATCCTCGGTTACATAACTTAAGTGTTCATGGGTTTCGTTCCATGGTTTTACTGACTAATTTAATGTCAAAGACTGATCAAGCTCCCACAAATATCCGTTTACTTTAACCTATAATATAGACTAGAATAAGTAAGCAAAATGTAAAGATTCAAAAGTAATCAGATGTTTAAGGTGCTGTAGGTAAATGGAGTTGGCTTTGTCCATTTCTACAGTAAAAGTATGAGGAATTTTTTTCCCATTGGATTCTGAGGAAATGTTTTCCCTCATTGCTATGTAGTGACTCTACAGATTTTTTTTGGTAGTAGTTTGTAGATTCCTGTTGACAGAGACCCACAACTGTCTGTGTTATCAGTGACCCTGGGTCTCTCTATATAGTGAGAATTTTTTGGTAGTAGTTTGTAGATTCCTTTTGATGAGACCTGCGAGTGTGTGTGTTATCAGTGACCCTGGGTCTCTCTATATAGTGAGAATTTTTTGGTAGTAGTTTGTAGATTCCTTTTGATGAGACCTGCGAGTGTGTGTGTTATCAGTGACCCTGGGTCTCTCTATATAGTGAGAATTTTTTGGTAGTAGTTTGTAGATTCCTTTTGATGAGACCTGCGAGTGTGTGTGTTATCAGTGACCCTGGGTCTCTCTATATAGTGAGAATTTTTTGGTAGTAGTTTGTAGATTCCTTTTGATGAGACCTGCGAGTGTGTGTGTTATCAGTGACCCTGGGTCTCTCTATATAGTGAGAATTTTTTGGTAGTAGTTTGTAGATTCCTTTTGATGAGACCTGCGAGTGTGTGTGTTATCACTGACCCTGGGTCTGTCTATATAGTGGGAATTTTTGGTAGTAGTTTGTAGATTCCTGTTGACAGAGACCTGGGACTGACGTGTGTTATCAGTGACCCTGGGTCTGTCTGACACATGGTCATCTCCCAGCTCCTTCAGAATGATAACAGTCTTCACACACACAATAAATGGCAAACAACAGGCTCCCAGTCTCACAATCCCTAACATATAGTACATAACACCACAAAGATATTATTACAAACCACTTAAAAAGTTCAACTTTTTATTAGCATCCCATCTGACTGTTTTTTGTCTTCATGACCTAGATGTCGGACAATGAACTTCCAGATCACCTTCTTACTACTTTCAGAAGTATGTTACTTACATTAAATACATAATTTAGTAAGTTTTTTTGATAAATAATGTCAGATAGCTAACTATCTGATGAAAGAAGGTTGGAACTTGTACCATTGCACATTGTTCTCTGCCCTAACTCAATTGCAATACCAAGTCCATGTATTTTTGTTTATTACCATGCACATTACTTATGACACAGCTTAGTATGAATGTAAATATTTACATTTGTTACAGTATAATCTCAGTACAACTTTTTCTGTACCATGCCCTAAAGATAATGACTGTGGAGGCTTTTCAGCTATGATTAGACCTGCATTTCAGCCAAATATATTAATGAACAAACAACCATCTGACTAACCCCCGTTCCCTGTTGACAGTAGCTGCAGTATACCAGAGTCCAACTCAGGCAAGGTCAAGTAATTACAAATCAAAAAGTTCATCTCAAATATTTAACCCCCCACTTAAGTTGAACACCCCCCTGATTAAAGTTCAAAGACTCTCTCACTTATCTTCATTTCTTAATTTACCTATCTCTAGTTAAGGGAGAGTATCAAAACACTAAGGGAGGCTGAATGCCTAGGGGAGAGTATCAAAACATGGTTACATAACTAAAACTCTTTTAGTAATGAGTGCATGTCTTAAGAGTTTCTAATCGGTTCAAATTAAGTTAACTTTTTTTCTTATTATTCAGTCAAATATGGAATCAAACTAGCAAGGTAAAAATGTATGGTTGTTATCACAGGAATAATGGTTAACATTAAGAATTTGATTAAATTTGGTCAGGAGAGTATTAGTTAATAACCTAATGGTAGATACCCATCACTAACCCTTTTTCTACACATCTACTGCTCTTTGTTATTGTTTACATTCTTAATGGATGCCATTAAGCCCCCCACCCCCTTTCTACTTTCTCCGACTGTGGCTTTGGCTTCGTTGTACAGGTAAACTGTTACACTTGTTCAGTCAAGCGGAGGAAATTCTACAGACTGGGACAGGAATTGGTCAGGATTTAACCTGTTAGCCATTAAATCCCTCCTGTCAATATCAGTAGAGTGGGAGGAGATGCCTTTTATTTCCTGTTGTTATATAATCTACATCTAAATCTCAAGGATACGGCATAAGGAGGGTTTTCCAGGATTTTCATGTCTACGTCCACAAAGGTGTATTAATCTTTCCTTCTCATTAGCTGACTGTCATATGGCTACTCTGGTTAGATCCGCATTATATAGCATACAATCAGGGTTTCTTTTCCAAGGACGACAACGCACGCTATATGTTAAACCTGACACCTATTTCAAAACACATCAGTGACGTCAAACAGAATGCTTCATGACTGTCGAGCATGCTACTATTTATTTTTTAAATTAAAAAAAATACATATATAACCAAACATGTGTAGTCATCACAGAGTTTATAGATAGCAGCCAATTTTTCCCATAGTGAGGTTTAAATCTTATAATAGACTGTCTAATCACGAATTTTACCCACGACTTTTGTATGTGCTGATTTTAAATACAAACTCAAATCAAGTTTCAATAAGAATTTTTAAAGTTAAGGCATTTCACAATCTAAATGTTTAAAGTTCAGGACAATTTGAGGATGTGAACTTGTCACAATTATATATGTTTAAATTTGAACACGCTCTTCTGTACTTTTCAAGCTCTTTTCCTTCAATTAAATAAATGCCAATTCCGATCCAAAAAAGTTTATATATGTAAAACAAATTACTGCAATTTTGCAATCATATGTTCAAATTTGATGATGCTGCTCCAGACTTTTCAACTGAAACAAACTGCATTTTCCATCTCATCAGTTTTACATGTAAAACAAATATCACTGCAATTTCATCTGCTCTACTTATCTACACACATTGATTTTGTCACAGATGTTTTTATTTCTCCGTATTATTATATCAGATGGTATTACCATTACTTCGTGGGACAAATTTCATCAGAAAATCAATTCACGTAGGATGAGGGCTCCATAAAAATACGGTGATCATTTCAAAATCTTATTTTACGAAATAGCTGCCATATTGCTATGAAAGTGTATATATTAAAAATTTTTACCATAGATTGCTAGGAGAGCCTCTTAATTAGCTAATTAAGAGTTTTGGTAACTTTTCCAACTTCTCAGACTCAAAAACAGAATTATTGAAAATTTTCTTAGCCATAATAAGTCCACTTTTGTTGTTATGTTTTACATACTGGAATTCTGTATGTACTGATAAAATATCGATTGCCCCAAGCACCTGTCCTTATTTAAATTAAAAATCCTTGATTTGAACAAGATAACTTAGAAACATCATAAACTTCTGAGAACTAAAAGGATTTGTGTAATCATGTAATAATACAGGAAGAACAGAGAAGATGGCATATGCCCCTGCTGTCATTAACTAATCCATATATATGCATATTTTAACTTAAACTTGATTAAATTTCTGGCTCATCATGAAATTTCTATGGAATGCTTAGTTAGTTGTAAAATGGCACTAATAACCTAATTATTATTCACACAAAGGTCAGTTTGAAGATCATCTCCTAACATATTGAAATTAATGTTACCAGTCTACATTTAGTAATACATGAACATTAATTCATCAAACATGCACCCTTGGTAACTTTACACTGAGGAAGTTTAATTAATCCTAAGATAGTGATGGAAAATGAAATTAATGTACTTGGTATCATATACATTGAAAATCCCCATTTACCAGTAACAACAACGAAAGGAAAGCCTTCAACTACTAACTACATAGATAGCCAAAACCTAGTGTTAGTAGATTAGTAAACAACATCCCTTTCAGACCGAGTACCTTTTGGTCCAATTTGATGCATTCTTCAATCAGCTGGTCACAGCCGCTAAATTCTCGCTTGCGTTTCGGCATCTTAACACTGAACTGTGTATAGGAACATCACAGAATTAAAAATCCCAAATCATGCACAATCAAGGGAAACAACTTTTAAAATCAGGGGTAAGGGAGAGAACTATTGATGGGGATTGAGGGTTTCCTATAATGCTTTCTCTACCATGCAAACAGTTATCATGGTTACAGGCCAGATATATCCTTATAGTAGACAATGTTAAGGTCATTAGATGATGTAATGTGACAGGTTGACCCTGGGGATAGGGGCAGTAAGTGGGCAATCAGTGGTCATCATTTAACTGTTACACTGCCTGGCAATAGTACTTATATTTAATTGGGTGTCCTAAGTGATAACTGGGTGATAATACCATAACACTCAATTTAACAGCAACAACAGAGTTGCAGGTAAGAGATGGGTACCTCAAAGAGTTACAGACCAATTCACATACAAACTAATGAATAGTTTCTGTTCTGTGCAAAAATTGTATACATGTTTTTTTTTAAATAAAATGAATGAACTAACTATTAAAATTTTTGTGACATTAGCTGATTTAAACAGGTTACTCCTTATCAAGCACTTTTTACCCATATTTAGAAGCAACCTGATTTTATTGTTAAACTATGTAAAAAATGCTGACTTTAAATAAATTTACTCATTTTAGCAGCCTTTTCATCCATTTTGATGATAAGAATTTTACAGTGAAATCTTAATTAAAAAAATGGGAAAATATAATTTGGGGAAAAAATGACCACATGCATGTTTTAGGGGAAACTTCCTTTATTTGGCTGCGACTTTGGGTCATGAAAAAGTCCTATGATCATAGTATTTTAAGCCAGGTCCACATGAAATGTAATAAAGTATGCACACATAAGACAATACTTTCCTTGTATATTCATTATGTGCAGGACTTGCAGCAATGAAATTAAAAACTGAACTAATCTGCATATGATCTGTCAGGCAACTCAGCCTAAGATCTTTATCAATCACTTTAACACATTACATCATTTCTCAAGATGTTTCTTTTCAAGATAGCACTTTTATGTCCTTTGATACCCCCACCCCAGGGCAGATCAACATTGTTAATCTGTCAAAATATTGTGTTATTTTTTTGGTTGATGATATGTTCTTTGCAGTTTTTGATAACACTATAAAAATAAACACCGATAAGTATTTTTTTTTCCCCAAACATATAGTGTGTTTATAAAAGTGTCTCCCTTAGCACAGCTAGTCTTTTATTCAACTGAATTAAAGTTAGTTTCTCTGAACCATGGCGCATCAATTAAAACCACCAGACCTCAAGCACCAATGTCACAACTGCAGTAAGTAAATTCGATATATACAGTTATGCCTCGTTGAAAACCACGTGAGTCGACCGCAAATTCCCATGATATCGTTTAAAATTGTTTTAAACAGATATCGTGAGAATCAAACAATTTCCAGCTGAAGTTTGACATATACAACCCGAATACACATGACTTGGGTGTAAAATGGGCGTTACCCGCATCAAACGCACGTTCTACCCGCAACATATGTTTTGAAACAGCCATCAATTTACGACGAAATTTCATTACTCATATCACCTCAAGTTACCATTTATGACATTCTTAAGCAATAAAAATAAAAATATTCATTTTTTTAAAGACTTAAATGTACACTGGAAGTAAATAATGAATATGCCTACTAACCAGTGAAGAAGGGGATTGAAAGGTTTCGTGATCAAGAATCTCTCCCATTGATGAGTCTTCCATTTCGCCAAGTTTGTGGTCACTATCATATAGAACGTCCATGGTCAGATGTCCCGGGAGGGTTTGCCTCGAGGGATAAGTCGTTTTCCGAGGGGTCAGTCCGAAAAAATCGTTCTCTCCGTTTTTTTCGCAATCTTGTCTGTTTCACGGTGTGAAACACACTGAACAAATAACTGTCGTTAAAATCTCAATCCGCTAAAGAATTTAGAGATGCATATAAATAACTGATTACTTTCCAGAATTTAATCTGTGTAATAAAAACATCATTTTCAAAATAAAACTTTTTTTTATAGCAATTATGTATAGGCTGACCACCACAATAATCCTGATTAAAACTGGTATGGTTCAAACATATTGGGACTCCCCTCGCGAATGAATACAAACATGATAATAAGCGAAACGATGCTTTTGACGTCATTCATATTTCTGGCCAATCCGACGCAAAGGTAAATACCCTTCATTCACACACCCACACCCATCAAGTTTTTATATTTATAGAGAAAATAATGTATTTTTTCTTTAAATCTGTGTTGGACAGCAGTGAATGGTTTCTTTGGATTTAAAGCAATTAAATAAAAGGATATCCTAAATAAGGTTAAATTTGGCCTTGAGTTTCAAATTATTATCAGAACCATGGGTAGATGACAGACCATTCTTCAGTAAACTTTACATTTGCCTCCCAGAGTTTACAACTAATATACATATGGATTGAAAAACAGCATTGTGCCCGAGAGAAATTAACCTTATAATGCTTAAAATCAAAGTTGATTTTTTTAAGCAGATAAGATGAATTTTGAAAAGAGCTAGGTGGTATGCTTAATTTTCATCAACATTATATCATCTTCTTGTGAGGCTTTCCCAGAATTGGATTGATTAAAATAGAAGGAGCTGTTCAGATTTACCTCATAGAACTCTCCTTCATACATAATGTGTAAATCCTATAGTACTGTACCTCCAACTTAAATTTGCGAACTTTACTCTTTGCAATATTTTTCCTTTTAGCTTTGACATCATGACGAGGATACTAGTATATAGGCCCCTGTTCAAATTGATTTTTTTTTTATATATCAAAAAATTCTCTATGATCTCTACTGTGGAAAGTCCAGAGTTATTGCCCTTTCGGGACTTTCATTGTTCAGTTAGTCCATAAGAATAATTATAGAGATAATTTATTAATAAGAAAACGCAAATTTAAATTATATAAATACATGTATATGTATTTTAACATTTGAATTTCTGGAAGATTCAGTAATTTAATCTTTGTTTCTTCCTGTTTTTTAAATTCCCTTTAACCCTCTACAAGTAGTTTACAAACTTCATTTCCAACCACTGGGTCATTTTAGCAGAGTTGCATGGGAGCATAAATTCAGACATTTAAAAAGTTGAGGAAAAAACTAGAGGTACTGTGAGCACTGAGCTCTCAAAATGATAACAACCCCCTACCCCCACATGAGTATAATGGCAGAACTAGTCCATCTTTTGCTATGGGAAACCTCAAATATCTGTCTGATCAGAACATAAAATAGAAGGAGCACAATGGCAATATGTAGGAAAGGTTCTGCAAAAGTCTCATTAAATTTTATTGAGTGGTATAGAGGGAGTTCCAGATAAGAGATGGGTAGTCCCCTCCCTCCCTTATGTTATAGAAAAAATGGCAGTGACTATGTTTTGCTATATGGGAAACCCCAAATATCTGTCAGATAAAAAAATAAATAGGATTACAATCTCCATGTACACAGTGATTACAATCTCCATAAACAGAGTGATTACAATCTCCATATACACAGTGATTACAATCTCCCTGTACACAGTGATTACAATCTCCCTGTACACAGTAATTACAATCTCCCTGTACACAGTGATTACAATCTCCATGTACACAGCAATTACAATTTCCCTGTACACAGTGATTACAATCTCCATGTACATAGTGATTACAATCTCCGTACATGTACACAGCGATAACAATACTTACATGTACACAGTGATTACAATCTCCCTGTACACAGTGATTACAATCTCCCTGTACACAGCCATTACAATCTCCATGTACACAGTGATTACAATCTCCATGTACACAGTGATTACAATCTCCATAAACAGAGTGATTACAATCTCCATATACACAGTGATTACAATCTCCCTGTACACAGTGATTACAATCTCCCTGTACACAGTAATTACAATCTCCCTGTACACAGTGATTACAATCTCCATGTACACAGCAATTACAATTTCCCTGTACACAGTGATTACAATCTCCATGTACATAGTGATTACAATCTCCGTACATGTACACAGCGATAACAATACTTACATGTACACAGTGATTACAATCTCCCTGTACACAGCCATTACAATCTCCATGTACACAGCCATTACAATCTCCATGTACACACTGATTACAATCTCCATGTACACAGTGATTACAATCTTCATATACACAGTGATTACAATTTCCATGTACACAGCCATTACAGTCTCCATGTACACAGTGATTACAATCTCCATGTACACAGTGATTACAATCTTCATGTACACAGTGATTACAATCTCCATATACACACTGATTACAATCTCCATATACACAGTGATTACAATCTCCATGTACACAGTGATTACAATCTCCATGTACACAGCCATTACAATCTCCATGTACACAGTGATTACAATCTCCATGTACACAGCCATTACAATCTCCATGTACACAGTCATTACAATCTCCACATACACAATCATTACAATCTCCCTGTACACAGGCATTACAATCTCCATATACACAGTGATTACAATCTCCATGTACACAGCCATTACAATCTCCATGTACAGTGATTACAATCTCCATATACACAGTGATTACAATCTCCATGTACACAGTGATTACAATCTTCATATACCGGGATTACAATCTCCATGTACACAGTCATTACAATCTCCATATATGCAGTGTTTACAATCTCCATATACACAGTGTTTACAATCTCCATATACATAGTGATTCAATCTCCCTGTACACAGTGATTACAATCTCAATATACAAAGTGATTACAATCACCATATACACAGTGATTTCAATCTCCCTGTACACAGTGATAAAAATCTCCATATACAAAGTGATTACAATTTCCATGTACACAGTGATTACAATCTCCCTGTATGGGGCTAGGATAAGGCTATCCGTAAAATATCAAACTGTTCCAACTGTAGTAACTTCTCTGAACTACCTAGATATGACATCATAATAGCATATGACGTCAAGTCACTGCATACTTGAGCTGACATGCAGGGAAAGTGTCATAACTTCTACATTCCTTTCACATGACATGTGAAAATTTTTAAGCGTTGTTGTTTGATTCAAGCATCTGTATTGTTCCTTAAGCTTAAGTGTGCTGTTAAGATGTTGAACATTTGCAATATAATATCGTTATTCCTTTAACTTGTCCGGTATACATATATTCAAACAATAACAAAAAATTGACTGTGAAACGCTCCCCCTTACACGTCCGTGGACAGAGTAAGAATTTATAAAGCGTGTATATATTTGTCTGGCACAAGTGATAAATAAGGATAAATTGAAGATATTCTGTGTGAATCTACTAGAGAAGTATGTCCTCTAACTTCATTTTGCTGGGGGATTGTATCTTATTTATCTTATTTTGTATAAATTGTGATAAAGAGTGGAAAATGCCCCTTTCTGTATGGGTAAGTTGAATTTCTCAATGAATATTTTCTAAAGAAATAAAATTCAGACTTGCCCCCAGCACTTTACATGTACCAAAGATCACGATAAATTGACCTATTTGACAAATTTTTTTCAATAATGTTGTTTTGCACTTGTGCTGATGCGATTTTTGTGCAACATTTTGGAATTTATAAGTGTCCGTCACGTGATCAACAAAGTCATGTGACATCACAAAAATGCATCAAATTATAATACCTGATTACACTCTCATCACAAGTTGACTGTAAATTCATACATAGATTACAAATTTAAATTAAAATCTAGCTCAAAATAAAAGGTATATTTTAATGCATATTAAGCCTTTGGAAAGCCTTAACATAGCTGCATACACAGTGATTACAATCTCCCTGTACACAGTGATTACAATCTCCCAGTACACAGTGATTACAATCTCCCTGTACACAATGATTACAATCTCCCTGTTCACAGTGATTACAATCTCCCTGTACACAGTGATTACAATCTCCACATACACAGTGATTACAATCTCCCTGTACAAAGTGATTACAATCTCCATGTACACAGTGATTACAATCTCCATGTACACAATGATTACAATCTCCTTATACCCAGTGATTACAGTCTCCACATACACAGTGACCAGAATCTCCATGTTTTAAATCAATATAACACAAAGTCTTTTATCAATTTGAATCAAAAATTTTATTCTTATTCCAAAAATTCAATCAAAAATTTTATTTTAACTCCAAACATTCAACAATTTTGAATGAATTAAAAGTATAAAAACAATTTCATATATAGAGTAATATAGAGTAAATAAAATATTAGTTTTGCTCAAAAGGTTTTAAATTTTTGAAAGCTGTTGCCGAAATTGATTATCGGATTATTGAAGGTTTACACAGAAAACAGAGAAAAAATGAGAACGTTTCAGGCCCCTGGCAGCATATGGTCTTTACACAATTAATTAAAATCTCTCTGTTGGTCGAAATGCTCTGTAGAGTAGCTTACAATCAGTGTGTATGAATACTTATACAAAATAACAATAAATAAATACATGTAAATTCACTTGTCTACTTTTGTACCTGGTTCATAACAAAAATATTTTTCTTTTTTTATATAAGATTTATTTATAGTATAAATTCAAGATATCAACTCAAACATGAAGCAAAAAAACCCCATAAAAATATAACCATAAAAAATGGTTAACTCAAATCAATATTTAAAATTGGACGGAGTGTTTGAAAATATATAAATAAAACAAAAATGTCTTTATCACAGATTTTGTTGGCTAGACGACAAGACGGTACAGGACCCTAGTAAGAGGGATCCTTAACAACAGGAAATATCCCCCGATTCCTTGTATCCCACATCCCCCAATGTCATATCACACATAAAACTGTCCACCATAACAATAGATCACAGTTAGTAGTTAAGGGCACACAACATGGCCACACCCCGCTTGATCCAGTGTTTCTGGAGTTGGTCTGTCGGGAGTTCCACAGCAAATACAAAGTTTGTGGAGTGACCGGTAGTGGACAATGTACCTGAACGAGAAAACAAAATTATATATATATATATATATATATATATATATATATATATATATATATATATATATATATCATGATTACATAACATGTAGAAATCATGTATACTGCCAATTGTCAATAAAAAACATTTTGAAAAGTCTAGCTGGGTTACCACTTATCAATATTTCATGAATTGTTACTTGTCATTTAAAATGTGTCAGGTTTTTTTTTTCTTTTTTATTCTCATAATTCATCATACTAGGCATATATTTCTAGAAAGCTGTTTTCTCTTACTGGAAATAAGTTAACTTTATAATTTTCTGTGAAATTTGCCTGGGTTTACAGTTGTTACAAGAAATATCTTTACTTCTTTAGTTCCTGTTATTTTAGAGTAGTTAGGTGTATGTTTACTTTAATTACTTGAATGATCTTACAAAACAGTTTAATTGTAAAACTACAGCGGCTATTATTATATATCAGACTGACATAAAATGTACACAGATGGCTGGTTAAACACTGATGAAGTCCTGATAACAGTGTCCTGGCTATAAACAGAGAAAATCAAGATGCCGTCATGACTATCAAAACAGAATATCAGATATTGACTAGAAAGACGTATTTTTACTGAGGCGAAACATAATATACACACATGATTGATCCAGTGATGTCAAAGACAGGTCACACAGTTCTGTGAACTGTAAATATCAAAACAATCCCTCATACTGAAAGGTTTTTTTTTGGGGGGGGGGGGGGTATTCAGAGACCAGGATATAGATTTTCTCAAGGCCTTTACTCGGATTCAACTCTAGAGGTTGTTACCGTATAAATCCTGGTTTAAGGAGAAACACATTAACATGATACGTTCTAAAAAATGTAAATTAATGACTTCCTGGAAGAAACAGGTGAATAAGTCAGGGGCTGTCTGCAAAATATGAAACAAATTTTGTTTTAATTTTTCTCTTCAAATTTCCGCCTAATGTACTTTGAAATAATTGTTTGTTATTGTTGACAGTTTTAATGTAATACCTATTCTAGTGAGTGTTTTGTAGACGGGGCAGTTTTAATGTCATACTTTCTCTGATCAGAGTTTTGTAGATGGGACAGTTTTAATGTCATGCCTGCTACAGTGTTTGTTTTGTAGTCTGGACAGTCTTACTATCATACCTGCTCTAGTGAGTGTTTTATAGACCGGACACTCATAGATTCCCTTTTCTGGGTTCTTTCTGTTAGCTGTGGGGATAAGCCAGATGACTGGGACATCCACATACAACTCCTTGGGTCGGGATTCGGCCAACATCTGTTTGATGGGGTCCCAGCGTGCACCCTCTAGATACAGGCCCCGGATGTAGCAGCCATCCTCTGGTTGCTTGGTCAGTTCAGAGAGGGATTCCCTCATCACCTGCACACATATCATCAAGTTAGTAAAGGATGTAAAAAATAATAAATATCTTATTTGTTAACCAAATGATTTATCTACAAGTTCCATTTAGCAGTACATTGGGTTTTAAAGTTTAAAATCTATGTGCTCTGTAAATCAAAAAACACATTATATATTTCTTGCTATTGACAGTTTCAAATGGTTGACTAGTGGAACAGCTTCAAGTAAAAATCTCTTTGTACCCTGTACTTAAATGTTCCATAAACTGAAAGTGGCCTTTAATTTAATGGTGAAACATTCATTAGGTGAATAGAAGTGCAAATGACTCTCATTATGTATCAACCAGACAAAATAAAGTTGTTATCCATGACAGGACCAAACAAACGAGGATTCCTCACTGAACCATAACTATTGCTATAGGTTCAATAGTACAGCTGATACACAGAAATACATATCTCATAAAATAGACCATTAACATCCTAGCATCAGCAATTTACATATAACATAGATTTCATCTTCCAAGTTGAATCTGAAAGTTTTTGTTTTTCATGTCACAACATGTTGTAGATGCAATAGTTTTGTAATTTTGATTCAAATCTTTTAAATATGAATTTTAAAATATGAGACTTAATTCTATCTACCGGTACACTATGACTACATGAATATATATGTTCATGCTAAATTTGGAAAATTCCACCTCGGTTTATCATATAAACATTACTTTTTTTTTTTTTTTACCAAAAAATTGATGGGCACTTCCAGGCTACTAATAATAAGAATATGAATGTTTAGTGTAAATTTAATACTTTTGAAAAAATACAGTGACTTTCCCAAATATGGAAATGTCTAATATTTTGAAAACAGAAGACTAAATTTGCAAGTGAAATTTTCCACAGGTATCAGAGAATACTAAATTTATACCACTACTAACAGAAAAAATCAGCTAATCATGCATGATAGATAATATACTGTTCTGTATAGCCCCTAACCTAAAGATCAGAAATATTTACAGCTTATGGAACAGATGTACAATTTGTTTGAAGCTCTTGATTAATACAAGGCCATTTATACACAAGCAATGATACAATATGGTTCAAACAGACTGTCGAGAGAAAGAAATAATATAGAACAATATTCTGACATGCATTATATATATATATATATATATATACATATACAGTCCCTCTGCCTGACCATCTACTATATAACTATTGACCAAACTTACATTGAGGATCTGTGAAAATAATATATCAATTTTTAAAAAAAAAATAATGTCAAATGCTGTTTTGTTTTATACTGTATTTTACATAATATTTCTGGACAGTGGAAGTGAAGCTAAATTCAGTTCCATTACCTGAAATCAATGAGTAGCATCTGCTGCATTATGTCATATAAAGAAGACAGTTTGTGATAAGAAATGATATATGAAAGTCAAGGAGCTGACAGAAATTCAATATGACACCAAGTCCTGTTATAGAGTGGGGACATATGTCACCATTAGTAGTGGCGGAACATTGCATCAGCTGGTCTGATATCTGACAACAGTAGAGTAGGAGTGTTTGAAGGCCAATCAACACACCAGTCCCGGAAAACTGCAGATATTGTCAGTCATATGGACTCTTTCTAATGATAATGGGGGTTTATATTAGAACACCAATCCCCATGTTACATCAGCAGGATAAAAAATATAACTTAATTAGCTGTGCCCGTAATACGGAAGTCATAGAGAATTCTGTACCGAGAGGAAGTCTGGTCAAGTCAAAGTTAATTATGACATTTACATGTAGGATAATATTTTTCTTCATTTCATTTAGAGATCGCAGACTGTCATGTCTTTTAAGATTAAGCTCATTAGCATTCAAAAATATACGCTTGTACAAGCATGCATGCATCTCAAGTATTGGTCTTATTTGGTAATTGTATAGTTTACCTGAACCCAGAGATTTTTCAAGCTTGTTTGAACAATATACCATCAAAACCCTAATATACACATTTTGCAGATCAATACTAAACATTACTATACAGTATTTAAGGGGAGAGAAGTACGGGGGACTTCCTGCTAATTAGTACCGTGTCATTTCAGGTGACATTCAGTGATAACAGCCCAAGGCGTTCGTTCTGACACAATGATAAGTGACCCTACATATAATACAAAACATCTAACTTCTTCAAATGCAAAACTGATAATTGCTGACTGTGATAAATTTAACCATGAAATAACACTATGAACACATGTAACTAAGAGTTTATCTGATGATGCATGTTTTTTAGAGGCCTGAAACAAAAAGAACTTTAGAGTGCAGTTTTTCTTTCTGGCAGCAAGAAACACTGTAGCTTTAATTGAAAGTGCTTATTATGATCATGCAGTTCTGTAGAATTTCACAAATATCGATCAATGTACACAAGAGTGACTGGACTGATCTGGAGATCAGACAGTGACTGGGCCTTTACTGTACGGTCCCTGATATAACGACCCCTCCAGACCAAGATAAAGGTGACACAGTTGACTTGTAGTGGGAGTTATGTAAGGTCTTCCTTTAGTAACAACATGTTCAAAGATAAGAAACTATATAACTATAGGACTACACCCTGCTTATAGCTGTATTGACACATTTCAAAAGCCAATGTCAGTTTTATGTATAAATTCAAAAAAGAACATTTAGAAATCTAAGACTGTACAGATTTTTCCCCCCAGTGCACATGCAAACTAATGACTAAATGTTATCAGTACACCTTTGAAACTTCTTAGCATCGCTATCTCTCAGGGCTATTTTTTATATCTACTTCATTTCACAGAAATATTACAGATGTATATTCATATTCAAATTGCCGTTGTCTTCCCAGAATTAGTTTGTGGAAACATTATAATTAATTGATAGTGATACATCAATTGTACTGTAGCAACATAATGTTAAAATGTCAACCAATTATGCTGAAAATTCTTTACCATGTCTACACCTTACAAAAACCACACACAATAAACTCCTAAAACATTTATTCTTATTTACCAGGAAAGCACAAAATGTCTTATCATAATAGATCAGTTATTACTAGTGTTGTCTATAATTTGCTTTAACCTATTGATACATCTAATTAAAATCATTCTTACTGAACAAAATTGACTGTAGGTGCATGGTTATAAGTGATCTAACAAAAGGGCCACAACTCTAATATTGAATCTTTACCTTGAAGTCCCATGATATGGTGTCTATGGAGATGACCTTCTTTCTGGCAAAGTTCTGCAGGGTACCTGTCAGGAAAGCTTGTGGAAAGAAGAATCCAGAAATCCAGTAGACCTAGAGTAAAATAAACAGCCTATCACAAAAAAGCTTATAGACCTACAGTAAAATAAACAGCCTATCACAAAAAAGCTTACAGACCTAGAGTAAAATAAACAGCCTATCACAAAAAAGCTTACAGACTGAGAGCAAAATAAACAGCCTATCATAAAAAAGCTTACAGACCTACAGTAAAATAAACAGCCTATCACAAAAAATCTTACAGACAGAGCAAAATAAATAGCCTATCATAAAAAAGCTTACAGACCTACAGTAAAATAAACAGCCTATCACAAAAAATCTTACAGACCTAGAGAAAAATAAACAGCCTATCATAAAAAAGCTTACAGACCTACAGTAAAATAAACAGCCTATCACAAAAAATCTTACAGACAGAGCAAAATAAACAGCCTATCATAAAAAAGCTTACAGACCTACAGTAAAATAAACAGCCTATCACAAAAAAGCTTACAGACAGAGCAAAATAAACAGCCTATCACAAAAAAGCTTACAGACCTACAGTAAAATAAACAGCCTATCACAAAAAATCCTATAGACCTAGAGCAAAATAAACAGCCTATCACAAAAAAGCTTACAGACCTACAGTAAAATAAACAGCCTATCACAAAAAAGCTTACAGACAGAGCAAAATAAACAGCCTATCACAAAAAAGCTTACAGACCTACAGTAAAATAAACAGCCTATCACAAAAAAGCTTACAGACCTACAGTAAAATAAACAGCCTATCACAAAAAAGCTTACAGACAGAGCAAAATAAACAGCCTATCACAAAAAAGCTTACAGACCTACAGTAAAATAAACAGCCTATCACAAAAAAGCTTACAGACCTACAGTAAAATAAACAGCCTATCACAAAAAAGCTTATAGACCTAGAGTAAAATAAACAGCCTATATCACAAAAAAGCTTATAGACCTAGAGAATAATAAACAGCCTATCATAAAAAAGCTTATACACCTAGAGCAAAATAAACAGCCTATCACAAAAAAGCTTACAGACTTAGAGCAAAACAAACAGCCTATCACAAAAAAGCTTACAGACCTAGAGCAAAATAAACAGCCTATTTACAAAAAAAGCTTACAGACCTAGAGCAAAATAAACAGCCTATCACAAAAAAGCTTATACACCTAGAGCAAAATAAACAGCCTATCATAAAAAATCTTATAGACCTAGAGAAAAATAAACAGCCTATCATAAAAAAGCTTACAAACCTACAGTAAAATAAACAGCCTATCACAAAAAAGCTTATAGACCTAGAGTAAAATAAACAGCCTATATCACAAAAAAGCTTATAGACCTAGAGAAAAATAAACAGCCTATCATAAAAAAGCTTATACACCTAGAGCAAAATAAACAGCCTATCACAAAAAAGCTTATAGACCTAGAGCAAAATAAACAGCCTATTACAAAAAAAGCTTACAGATCTAGAGCAAAATAAACAGCCTATTACAAAAAAAAGCTTATAGACCTAGAGCAAAATAAACAGCCTATCACAAAAAAGCTTACAGACCTAGAGCAAAATAAACAGCCTATCACAAAAAAGCTTACAGACCTAGAGCAAAATAAACAGCCTATTACAAAACAAGAGGCCCTTGGGCCACATCGCTCACCTGAGTAACTTTGGCCATGCTGTTCTTTACCAGATTTCCCCCCTTTTAATATACCTATTGTGGCCCCGCCCTACCCCCGGGGGTCATGATTTGAACAATTTAGAATCTACACTACCCCAGGATGCTTCCATATAAGTTTCAGCTTTTCTGGCCCAGTGGTTCTTGAGAAGAAATTTTTTTAAAAGATTTTTCTTATGTATTTCAATGTAAAACTTGGATTCCCTATTGTGGCCCCGCCCCACCCCCGGGGGTCATGATTTGAACAATTTAGAATCTACACTACCCCAGGATGCTTCCATATAAGTTTCAGCTTTTCTGGCCCAGTGGTTCTTGAGAAGAAGATTTTTAAAGATTTTTTTTATGTATTTCAATGTAAAACTTGGATTCCCCATTGTGGCCCTGCCCCACCCCCGGGGGTAATGATTTGAATAATTTAAAATCTACACTACCCCAGGATGCTTCCATATAAGTTTCAGCTTTTCTGGCCCAGTGGTTCTTGAGAAGAAGATTTTCTAAGATTTTTCTTATGTATTTCAATGTAGAACTTGGATTCCCTATTGTGGCCCCGCCCTACCCCCGGGGGTCATGATTTTAACAATTTATAATCTACACTATCCCAGGATGCTTCAACATAAGTTTCAGCTTTTCTGGCCCAGTGGTTCTTGAGAAGAAGATTTTTAAAGATTTTTCCTATATATTTCTATGTAAAACATTGATTCCACATTGTGGCCCCGCCCTACCCCCGGGGGTCATGATTTTAAAAATTTAAAATCTACACTACCCCAGGATGCTTCCATATAAGTTTCAGCTTTACTGGCCCTGTGGTTCTTGAGAAGAAGATTTTTTAATGACCCCACCCTATTTTTGTCTTCTCTTGATTATCTCCCCTTGTGAGGGGACTTGGCCCTTCATTTTAACAATTTAAATTCCCCTTCACCCAAGGATGCTTTGTACCAAGTTTGGTCAAAATTGGCTCAGTGGTTCTTGAGAAGAAGTCAAAAATGTGAAAAGTTTACAGACGGACGGACAGACAGACAGACAGACGGACGGACGGACGACGGACAAAATGTGATCAGAAAAGCTCACTTGAGCCTTCGGCTCAGGTGAGCTAAAAAGCTTATACACCTAGAGCAAAATAAACAGCCTATCGTAAAAAAGCTTATAGACCTACAGTAAAATAAATAGCACAAAACAAAATGCTTTCTTTGTTTGTTAATACAGGTCTGAATTAGCATTTGCAATCATTTCAGAAAAAAATACATAACCCGTGTTAGAGTTTTTCTCTCTTTTATTAAGGTTAAATCCTACGTAAGAGGGTTATGAAAATTTTGTGTAAATCTTGTTTTGACCCATGACAACAAAGAAAGATAATTTAATAATGTTCACATCTGTATAAATTACTCAAATAAATAAAGGAAGAGTCCACTATGTAAGAAATTTTTCAAAACAATAGCTGCTTTAAAAAACTTATTCTTTCTAGTCTAGGGTTTACTGAGTAATGGAATCAGTTTTCTTTGAAAATAAAGAAATGTTCAGGGGATGTAAAAACAGTTGAACTTCAGTATCTCGAATACCATGGATATGTCAAAGTGATTTGGAAGTCCTAATCACATACCGGTATTCCATAAGTATTTTACTCTTGATATCTCGAAGTTTTTTCTCGGTCCCATGGAGTTTGAGATAACAAGGTTTGACTGTATTAAACAGACAAACACAGTTACAGTATACATAATTAAAATGACTTCACTCTTATCTAGGGAAGTGATTTCTATTCCCTGAATTTTTGAGACATATGAACTTATTGGATATAAAAAATTATGTTTATAATAAATCAAAATTATTCATCACTGGCACTTTGCTGTAAGTGTTTTAATGTATAATTGTTGTATGCTTTTCATGTTTGTTTTTAATCAACAAATTTTATCTAGAGAATTTTATTTATAGTGTCATAACTTGCTATTCAATATCACTACCTTTTTAGCTGTCCAATTCAAAAAGCTTTTTGGTATTTTCACATTCACATTGCCTACATTTCTTAGATGCAGCATAAATGTTAGGCTTAAGTTACTATGTCAAATGTTTTAATTGTACAAATATCATTTTTTTTTCTTTTAATTTAATTATGAAACACGATTTATTTAAAAAAATTAATCAAGTGATCAAACACATTATTGATCATGTGGAACTTTAAGAATACCATGGAATTAATTTTTTTATTCACAGATTTGTGATCACTAAGAAAGGACAAGCTTACTAAACTGACATAGAATTATGTGAGTGGTAATCCATTTAACTTACAGAAGGCATGCCATTTTCAATCCAATCATTAATGAATTTCATTCGAGCCACAAGATCTATCACCCAGGATGCCAGAGGCTTCAGGGATGGATATGCCTGTAAAAAAATATAGTTAAAGATATGTTTTCTTAAACCGTGGTATATGAGGTTTGATGGAAACTAGAGACCTGAAGAAGTATTCACTTTAATGATGTTACCTTTCCGGCCCACATGGTGGGCACAGCGTTGATGAAGAGACTGATAGAAGTGATGTTACCTTTCCGGCCCACATGGTGGGCACAGCGTTGATGAAGAGACTGATAGAAGTGATGCTACCTTTCCGGCCCACATGGTGGGCACAGCGTTGATGAAGAGATTATAAGTAATGATGTTACCTTTCCGGCCCACATGGTGGGCACAGCGTTGACGAAGAGAATATAAGTAATGATGTTACCTTTCCGGCCCACATGGTGGGCACAGCGTTGACGAAGAGACTATAAGTAATGATGTTACCTTTCCGGCCCACATGGTGGGCACAGCGTTGATGAAGAGACTGTTGGCCATGTTTTCCAGCTCCTGAGACATGACAACCAAACCTTTGAGGGCCTTCAGTAGATCTTGTAGTGACTGATGGACAGCACCCAGTAATCGGTTGTACCTGTAACCATGACAGAAAACATTTATACTTCACTTAGGTCATCACTCCTTCACTATTGCCCTTCCCCTTTCCCAAAACTCTGGATCCAATGGCTCAACTCTCAGAAATAAATCAACTCTTGCTAGTCATTGTGAAATATTATTAATATTATAATATTACTGGTCTACATAATCTTGCTAAAAACAAACATGCACACCAAACAAAATAATAATAATTGAAATAAAAAACAAGAGGCCCATGGGCCACATCGCTCACCTGAGCACAGTGGATAGGCAAAAGCACAAATCAGTTCAGTATTGAAAAGATTCCGGGGGGGGGGGGGGGGGGGGGGGGGGGGGGGGGGGGGGGCTTGAATTTTAAACTACCTGATGATGCTTCCAGGTCAAAATAACAAATGGCTTTGTTGTACTTGAGAAGATTTTAAAAAAAATTTCTGATATATTCCTTTGTAAAAATTTGATCCCCCCTTGCATCTTCGCTAGCCAAGGGTTTCTGATACGCTACTCTCCTCATAAGCCCTTGGCATACGGTGTTAAAAAAAGTTGGGATTTTTTTCTCAAGTTGTGATTGGAGTTGATCGACATCGTTCGACCAATCAGCAATTGTTTTTTGTAAATGACGATATTTGCGTTCGGGATATATCTTGACTCTTTAATATCGGTAATGTAAAACGCAAGTAAACAATGATCCGTAAGATAACATGCCATTCTATGAATAGCTATATGGTGTCATCCAATATCTAAAGCTACGTGCAAAATATGTGATTAAGAATCTATACTGAAGATGTAGATTTGCATTTTTACATGTTTAAATAACAAATTAACATATCTGGATACCTTCTTGTTAATTATTCTTTAAAAACAAAATTTTTTTTTAAATACGCTTTTTATTTCTGTCGATGACACAATCTGTGCATACCTGGTAAGAATCATGATCGCGTGACAAAAACAATCCCGTCTTTTGTCAGCACCATATGCCAAGGGTTTATGAGGAGAGTAGCGTATCAGAAACCCTTGGCTGAGCGAAGATGCCCCCCTTGTGGCTCCTCCCTATCCCAGGGGTCATCATTTGAACAAACTGGAATCTACACTACCTGAGGATGCTTCCATATCAATATGACTAAACATAGCTTTTCTGTTCTTGAGAAGAAATATTTCTTCTATATGTTCTTATGTAACATTCGATCCTCCATTGTGGCCCCGTCCTACTCTCGGGGGTCATCATTTGAACAAACTTGAATCTACACTACCTGAAGATGCTTCCATATCAATATGACTAAACATAGCTTTCCTGTTCTTGAGAAGAAATATTTTTTCTATGTGTTCTTATGTAAAATTTTCTATCCCCCTATTGGGCCCCACCCTACCCTCGGGGGTCATCATTTGAACAAAATTGAATTTACACTACCTGATGATGCTTCCATATCAAAATGACTAATCATGGCTTTGCAGTTCTTCATCAGAAGAAATCTTCCTATATATTTCTATTTCAGACTTTGATCCTCCATTGTGGCCCCACCCAACCCCAGGGGGGCAACATTTGAATAAACTTGAATCTACACTACCTGAGTATACTTCCACATAAATATGATCAATCAGGGCTTTGCTGTTCTTGAGAAGAAGATTTTTAAAGATTTTTCCTATATATCTCTATGTAAAACTTTTATCCTCCTTTGGGGCCCCACCCTACCCCCAGGGGTCATGATTTGGACATATTTAAATCTATACTACCTTAGGATGCTTCCATATCAATATGATCAATTAGGGCTTTGCTGTTATTAAGAAGAAGATTTTTAAAGATTTTTCCTATATATTTCTATGTAAAACTTTGATCCTCCATTGTGGCCCCGTCCTACCCCCAGGGGTCATGATTTGAACAAACTTGAATCTACACTACCTGAGGATGCTTCCATATAAATATGACCAATCATGGCTTTGCTGTTCTTGAGAAGAAGATTTTTAAATGTTTTTCCCATATATTTCTATGTAAAACTTTGATCCTCCTTTGGGGCCCCGCCCTACCCCCAGTGGTCATGATTTGAACAAACTTGAATCTACACTACCTGAGGATGCTTCCATATAAATATGACTCATCATGGCTTTGCTGTTCTTGAGGAGAAGATTTTTAAAGATTTTTCCCATATATTTCTATGTAAAACTTTGATCCTCCATTGTAGCCCCGCCCTACCCCCGGGGGTCATGATTTGAACAAACTTGAATTTACACTACCTGAGGATGCTTCCATATAAATATGACTCATCATGGCTTTGCTGTTCTTGAGGAGAAGATTTTTAAAGGTTTTTCCCATTCATTTCTATGTAAAACTTTGATCCTCCATTGTGGCCCCGCCCTACCCCCGGGGGTCATGATTTGAACAAACTTGAATTTACACTACCTGAGGATGCTTCCATTTAAATATGACTCATCATGGCTTTGCTGTTCTTGAGGAGAAGATTTTTAAAGATTTTTCCTATATATTTCTATGTAAAACTTTGATCCTCCATTGTGGCCCCGCCCTACCCCCGGGGGTCATGATTTGAACAAACTTGAATCTACACTACCTGAGGATGCTTCCATATAAATATGACTCTTCATGGCTTTGCTGTTCTTGAGAAGAAGATTTTTAAAGGTTTCTCCCCATATATTTCTATGTAAAACTTTGATCCTCCATTGTGGCCCCGCCCTACCCCCGGGGGTCATGATTTGAACAAACTTGAATCTACACTACCTGAGGATGCTTCCACATGAGTTTCATCTTCCCTGGCTTTGTGGTTCTTGAGAAGAAGATTTTTAAAAGATGCTATTAATTTTTCACTAATTCTTTATTATCTCCCCTTGAAAGAGGGCGTGACCCTTCATTTGAACAAACTTGAATCCCCTTCACCCAAGGATACTTTGTGGCAAGTTTGGTTGAAATTGGCCCAGTGATTCTTGAGAAAAAGTCGAAAATGTGAAAAGTTTACAGACAGACGGACGGACAGACGGACAGACGGACTACAGACAAAATGTGATCAGAAAAGCTCACTTGAGCCTTCGGCTCAGGTGAGCTAAAAACAACAAAAATCAAATAAATTTAATATGTTTGTTTCTTTCCTAGGTTATAATGTGAATTTAGTGAGGTGTGCTTTGTAAAGGTAACTCTGCTTCTGCTGATGAAATGCATAAGGATGATTGTTGTGTGTCTCTGGAGGGAACTCATACCTGATGACTTCCTGGACCAGTACTGTATTCATGGACTGTTCATACATGACTGGGTACTTCTCAATGAGAGGATCAAGAGGAATTGGTTTGGGGACCTTCTCTAGGATTTCCTTTGCTGTCTCCTCCATAACCTACAATCCCAACACACATGTACTCATTTTCTGTAAACTTAAGATTTTGTTTCTGATATGAGATTCCAGAACTTGTATTGGCTTGAGGTTAGGTATATTCTTCAACAATTTTTCTAGCTCTTACATCAATTATTGCTTAAATAACACAAATCTGAAAAATTCTAATATCTTAAACATCAAACAGTTGTTTTCTCAAGCATCCTCCTTCATGCACTCTATATGTAAGAATATTTTAATAGTTTAAGCAATAGTACATATACATCTATTTGGGCAGTGCCCACTTATTGACCTGGAGGAGTTTGGACAGTGCCCACTTATTGACCTGGAGGAGTGGACAGTGCCCACTTATTGACCTGGAGGAGTGGGCAGTGCCCACTTATTGACCTGGAGGAGTTTGGGCAGTGTTCACTTATTGACCTGGAGGAACATGGAGGATGGTTCATCATTCAGGTCAGGTGTTTAATCTCAGTGCTAAGCCTACCTCCTCCCTGGATTTGCCTCCCCCTGACGAGGATTTGGGCTGAAGCAGCAACAGGCCTGTTAACATGGCATTGGTCTCATTCTGGGCAAATGTGATGTTGGCGTTCTCATGCAGGGCAAATATCTCGGGTGTGTCGTTGATGGGCAGGCTCTTTACATAGGACATATACCCCTGGGGAAAGCATACATGATATTGTTAGAAAATACAGGAACATTTTAAGAAATAAGCTTCTACAGAAGTTTAAGGAAGTTTCAAATATTGTTGATTCTGAACTTCTGAAACAAGTTATATTACCAGATTTCTCTCAGTATCAAATACTGTTTGAACAAGTTATATTATAAGATTTCTCAATAATAATGGTATGTTATGAATTGAAAATAATCAACTCTGACAAGCATTTTGCTTGACAGACACATTCGTAAAATTTTAATGCATAAAAACAACAGGACAGAGTACTGATTGGTCAGTCACATCAATATACAGAAGGTCAGATAAATGACCATCTCTCACAGTCAAGGACATACAAACTACACTCAGCTCTCCTACCCACAGAGATGTAATGTAAACTCTGACTATTGGATTCAAAGTTATTAACTTCTGTTGAAATCCAATCTGCCTAATGAAATGTTCAGCTCCGACCTGCCTAGAAAGCTATACATAGAACTACAGAGTTCAGAGTTTGATCATGCTTCCTTAAGAAGTATAAAAGCAGAGTCATTGCTATAGAGCTACTGAGTATCAAGACTATGCTGCTATGCTTACAAGTATGTAAGTAGACTTGTTGCTATTGATTTACAGCTACAAAGTATAAAGTCTACGCTATATATACGCTTCCATGAGTAGTCTGGAAGTAGAAGTTGTTGCTATACATGTAGTTTGAATACAGCTAGACTATAGAGACTATGCTATTTATGTGTCCCTGAGAGTAGAGTTCTTGCTACATACTGAATAGAGCTACAGAGTATAGAGTCTATGCTATCTAAGCTGTCATGAGAAGTAAGTTGAGTTTTTTGCTATAGATTGAATACAGCTACAGAGTGAGATTTTATGTTTTTTATGAGAAGTAGAGTTTTTTGCTTTAGATTGTCTAGAGCTACAGAGTAGATATGCTTTCATGAGAAGTAAGCTATAGATTGAGTAGTGCTACAGAGTATAGAGTCTATGCTGTTGACTATAGAGATGATGTCTGTCCTTCAGTATACTGACAGAGGACCACTATATTGCTCTACAAACACAAACTTGTGCTCCAGAGATTAAAACAGGAGGTTTGTTTTTTCCCCAAACTTCATAATTTACTTTTTTAAAAAAAGAACAAATGATCATCTGGAGAGCAAGTCTTGTGTACTACTAGTAATTAGGCTAATTAACTTGATTAGTATAAGCTCAAAAGTAGAATTAAAAGAAAACAAGCAGAAATCTAAATGGAGCAATGAAATGTTCAGCTGTGGGAATAAGACAGTAAAAAATTCAGAACTTTTAGTTTTACATTGAAGCTGACATTTCTGTGCAAAGTTCAAAAAGGGTCATTCAGCAATTTTCACTTAAATATATAACTTCACATCAGTAAATGGAAAAAATCAAGAAATCCAAGTTGGTATTCCCTAGCTGTTAACTCAAAAACAAAAGTAGCATAAAACAACACACTTATCATTCAACAAAAGCATCATCTTGTACAGAGTGGAAAGTTTACAACTGCAGTTAATTAGTGTTAGTTATATTAATTAAAAGCCTTGTGTATTAAAGACACCAGGGAACACAACACACACACACTGTTAACTTATTGAACACACACAAACAACAACCACGCTCATCTCGCACTCCGAATGTCCATAAGTTAACGGTGATACATCTACAGGAAAAATCGCATGAAAGAGAAATACAGCTGTTGCTTAGGGCAACAGACTACTGCACATGCTCAGAGATGTATCACATAATTACATTATGGTCATTGGATGGTGGGATTTGCTTGTAAATGCCCGATTCGGAGAACTTGAATTCTTCATCGAGAACTTCTCGTTTGTAGAAGTCGTTCAGGATGCTCATCATACAGCGACGATCCCAGTCGTCTGTCACACGACCTCCATAGTTAATGTGGCCAGCGGTGTACACCAACACCTGATAAAGAGAAAAATAGGATGTAAATACAGCAGGGTATATAATATATGTGGACCTCTAATCATATTTTGTCCAAAGTTTACCATCAATTTGAAACTCTTTTGTTACCTCATCTGTCTAATTACTGATGAAAGCCAAGACCAGTGCTGCATTCAAGACTGTAGCAGCTAGCTTAGCTGCTAGGCTTGATATCTAAGTCTATACTGAACGCACTGTACGAGTTAACACACGTTATCAAGAAGTATCAGCTAAGCAAACACATCACTTATCTATTGCAGTCTTTAACACAGACTTGACTACTTTATGAACACTGACCTTGAATGTGAACACTGACCTTGAATGGAATTTCCTTGTACTCCATTAAAAACATCTTCAGCTGACTGACACAGATTCGGAGGTCACCGTCTGTGAACTCGTACGGAATGTTAAACCCGAGGGCTCCAAACTTTCTTCTCTCGATGATTACACCATGGAAGAAGCACAGCGACAGCAGCAGAAGTTTAAACTCTATGGTCTGTAAAACAGAAAGTAGAAGGTCAAAGGTCAGAGACTTGTAAGTTTCACAATAGATCCAGCCAATTAAGGTGCCACTCATGCATAACATGCAAAACATAATGATGATTGAAACAGACAACATTAGTACAGGTTAATAAAAGAAATTGAAAAAAAAAAATAAACAAACTCATTATTTCAAGGCACAAGATGAATTTTTGATTACATTTTCATATTTAAATGTGATGACATTTTGAACTTTATAAAAATAATTTACAACATTCTTGTACAAAAAATGTATTACTTGAATGTAACCTTTACACCAAAAACCTCTAGGCATCCGTAATTCCCAGAAAAATGGCAAAGATAAAAATAAACACCTGACCTCTACATCCACAGTGCATAAATGATTAATATTACGTGTGATGTAGGATTGACCTACTTCACTTTATATGATAAATCATAATGTTTAACAAAGTATACAGCTATATCTGCAGCTATGATTAAAAATGATCTATTAGTTACAGAGCTAAAATATGTGGAATAATGCTGAAAATTGTTTTCCAAATCAGAGGTCATGCATATCAAATGAAAAACCTACTCGGTGTACATTCCACTACTAACCATGCAGTCACTCTTATTGGGAATGCCATGCATGTAGGGTGCAATATGTCCGTGCAGAAAATATCAATGAACATGCAGATAATAACACATAGTGAAGGTGGTATTCAACTAAGTGAAAAGAAGAGATAGAAAAGGACATTAAGAGCTAGAATTTGTATGTCATAATGTTGTGTTCATTTATCAAAAGACAAGGAACCAGTATAATGCCGCCTTCATTACGTCTTTTTTTCAGATGAGAAAGATCAAAACAAAATAACTGGATCTGTAACAGATATGATTTTTTTCTCTTTTTTTTTTTTTTTTGCATTTTGCCTCCTTCTTCCAAATATTCTTCCATTTCAGTCAGCAGAAATAGCGAGGTAAAGTATAAAACGTGAGGCTGGTTTCCTGTCATTTGATTGGTCTATAGGCTTGATAACGTGGAGACTGATCATATGATCTACCCTCTACTCTGTGTACCGAGGGCTTACCCGAGGAGATTTCAGCTGATTAAATCAACAAAGTTATTAAACCAATAAAAGAAGTCACTTCTTATATCATAAAAAAATTTGATTCAGAAACTCAATTTCAATCATAACTTATGTATTATAATTCTTTATTTATTTTCATTTTTTTCAAGCTTTATAAAATCAAATTTAAATATAGCACAAGGGTTTGCTTTAGTCATACCTTATCCCCACATGAGTTGAGGAATTCGTCAGTAAATCCTGAGTAAGACTTGAGGAGGTTAGCCTTCAGACCTCGGGGTGGCTCCACGGTCATCTTGGAACCGTTCTGTAGGATGTAGACGGGGAACTTTTCGCTGGGCATACTGGTCAGCCACAGACGGAAATCTCGGTGGACCTAAACAACAGAAGACAATCACAAGATACAATAAACCTACATAAAATGTTATCCAAAGACACAACTTACCTATGTAAACTCATAACAATAAGTAATCAGCCAATGACAGCAATTCAGCATTCTGTAATTTTTTACCTTGCATTTCATTCTTCTACTTTTCAATCACTGATTTTTTTTGGGGGGGGGGGGTAAATTTTATCTAAAATGTTTGCAGAAGTTTCACATGAATTCTATGTAGCACACATTTGCAGACAGGTGGCTATTTACCGAGTTCTTACCTTGTCTGGATCAATCTGCTCAATCAGTCTGGCTGTTTACTGAGTTCTTACCTTATCTGGATCAATCTGCTCAATTAATCTCTCCAAGCTCGGCATCCAGCTGGGAGCCAAGTGACAATTCTGGAAAAACACCCATTTCCCTCTCTCCATGGCACTCCGCATCATAGCCTCAGCCCTAGGTCCCTGACAAATAATCAATAAATCTTCATTATCTAAAGCCCTCTTTCTAAGCATAATCACAATAATCAACATCAAAAGGAAAGGGACAAGCAGTATTTGATCTAACTGAAAATGTTAAATAAAAGTAGCCCCACTGAAGGACCTGAACACATACCTAAAGAAACATGAATATCACAATTCACAGTGAGTTATTTACCTGGCCCTGCCCTAGGGAGATGGCAGACAGCTTCTTTGAGAACCTCATCTCGTCGGCAAACTTGTACAAATCAGCAGCTGGGTCAGTGCCTGTAGACAGCACAAAAATAAGCGGAGTGGTCGGGGAGGAGTCCTTAAACACTAAATGTAGGTCAGCGGTCTGGGGCTCGATAAACCTCTGACCCAGATTGTTAGCTACATAGTCCTGCATAGCATTGGTCACTTTATCTGGTCGCAGGCACTTAAGGACAATCAGTTTTTGGAAGGAGTCAAGGTCCGTGTTCCATTTTCCAGGCAGCTCCTCACGGTGAGGGTCAGGGCTGTCAAAAATCTTCTTGAAGCCCTCAGCATGATTTTTGAATTCCTCTGGGAAGGAGGCAAATTTAGGGAGGACTGCAGTGGTCAGAATGTCATTCCATGACCGGTCAGACAGCCAATCCTCACAAGGATTGGGGATCTCCTTAGGTTTACTGGTACCCCCGGCTAGGAGAAAGCGCCATTCATCCTAAAACACCAAACAGAGGAGTTTAATTAATACACAGAAGTTTACAATAATAAATGCTGCATAACAAAAGTGTCAATGCAAACAATATACTAGAAAATTACTGTAATTCAGAGGATACAAGCATTAAAATATTTCATATCATGGATTAATGATTTCTTCATATAATGTTAATGTCCTTTACTCAACCCTAATTAATTTTACATGTACTCCTTTCATAATTAGCTTAAAAGATAGATTTGTTTTACCATGTCAATTTCTCCCTGGTATTGTTTGATCCTGGAACACAAGAGGAAGGCAAACAAGAGCTTGTGTTTCTCAAACAGAGATCGACAGACATTGCTGTACAGACTGAAGGTGAAGAAATTGTTGATGTTTAACACTCTCTGCTTGATGTTGTTAGCTTCTGTAAGAAAGGAAATACATATAATTATGTACATCTAGTAGTACTGTACATCTAATAAACATATAATTATGTACAGCTAGTAGTACTGTACACTTAATATTGATATGTCTCTTATGGAACAGTATGTCCTTGATGGTTTATGTGACTGAAGGAATATTTACTTATTTCCTAGGTTTCTTTGGAAAAAAATTAATGTTCATCTAGTCAACAACAATCATGGACGATTAGGAAAATGTATATGCTTTCTTTTTTTCTGGTTTTGTGTCATACAATTATATGCATTCTTGATGTTTGATATAAGAATCCCAACTTTTTCAATTTCTAAGATTTTAGCAATCAGCATCCCCACTCAAATACCCATGCAACCAAATATCAATGTTTAAAAGAAATTAATGTTTAGATGTATTACCTTAAGACAGAGTAGTTTACCTGCTCTCTCAGCATGGGCGATGCCCCCAAGGAAGATACTGACGAACCACTCCAGGGAGTACTGGTACATAGGGTCAATGTTAGCCATGTCCGCCACACAGAAGAAGAGGATCTGGGTGTTAATAGCCACAGGGATGTACTGACTGCGAGTCACGTCAATGTCCTTCTCTGTCTGCTCTGCCACCATCACTTTAGCCTGAAGAACAGCGCAATAGAAAACTGGTTGTATGTAGAGGGTAGCAATTGTTATCGTTTATGAAAGACATAATACAATGTACATACCTGATAAAATTATCACAAATGAAAATTGAGACTTGGGATATAGTAGCATATTTTTACTGTAGTTGAATTCCGAGTTTTACCTTAATTTCCTGTGATTTAATTTTGGATGCCTCCAGTACAGCTATAAGGTCAAGGTCATCTACAGGACTGCCCTCGGAGGAGCTCAGTCTCTCCAGGATCTTGTCCTCAATCTCCTTTAATTCCTGCTTCATCTTGGCATTACTGATGATCAGCTGATTCTTAGCTTCCTCCAGATCGGGTCTCTCTTCTGCCACAACAATACCCAACATCTGGTCCTCCAAACCGCTGTAAACAAATACACAGAATCTTACATAAGTAAAGTTAGGTCCTCCAAATTGCTGAACACAAATGCACAGAATCTTACATACTTAAAATCTGGTCTTCAAAACCACTACATAAATATACATAGAATATTAGATATTTAAAACCTGGTCTTCCAAATGTCATCTAGTCAGAGAAAAATTTCGATAAGTTATAATAGCTTTTAAGACAGAAATATCCAACCTAGCTGGTAGAATAAAGTACAAGATAGTTTCTCTGCAATTGAAATCCAATAAACTTACCTTGGGGACAGAGTGAAGTTCACGAGGGTCACCTTGGTGGAGACCTCAGGGGTGTAGTGAGGGTTGGGAAGTTTAGTGGTGATGTAAAACTTGAAATCATCATGGTATGGAATAATGGCATCTCCCAACTTTATCACCATACTGCCTTGTTGTTTGAAAGTCTGAAAAAGAAGTTCACAAACATTCCCTCAATGTACATGTATCTAGAGACTGAATGAAGGAAATCAAGAACTGGACACACTAACACACACAAACAAAAAATATGAAGGATATGCAAATTATCAAATAACCTGCTTCAAGAGAATAGGCTCTAGGGCCGGGTCCAACTCAGTTCCAATGTTCTCCAGCAGACAAGGTTTACCAAATCTGACAGCATTCTCCAAACTTCTCAAGAAGTCCTTGTCGGAGAGCTTAATCACGTCTAGACCAGCATCACGCTCCTGTAGTATGAAGAAATCATGAAGAAATCTATGTATCTTTTTTCTAATCTGAACATCCAGTGTACACTTTACATTCCTTTTTCATCTTTAAAAGTTTTATATTTGACAGAAACATATAGATACTCAGTTTTCTCTGTCTGAAATCTCACCATGTTCTTGACCCATCTATTGGCCTGTCCCTGGGGGTCAATGAATAGAGGCCATCTACGGGAATACTTGACAATAACACCATTCTCAACAGACAGGTTATCTTTGGGGAGCCCAGCAATTTGCCAACTGCGGACCTTCACGGGGTCGGCCAAGGTGGCAATCAGGGTGGGTTCACTGGTACGAGGGACCTTGTTCTCATCAAGTTTCCTCACCCATTCCTCCTGCATGTCAGATCGGTACTTTCCCTGAAAAGACAAAAGGGTGGTTGAGAAAATTAAGGCATAGAACTGGATTTTCATATGAAAGTTGTTTACCTGATATATATGAGCAATGCTTTGTGTTAAATGAAGTACACTGACAAGTAAAATATTGCACATCATAAGATACGAGATTAGTAGTACTTTGTTACTTGAAATAGCATTTATAGAAAAAGTGTAGCTGCCATTGATAGTGAGCATGTCTTCTGTTACTTTTGACTCTACTACAAATAAAACTGACCTTCAATCTCTTTCTTGAAAGTTAATTTGTTGATATTAGGATTACACTAGCATATGTCAATGTGATTACAACATCCCAACCACAGCCCAAGTTTAAACTTTAATTTTGAACACTCAGAGAGCTTGAAATTGTTTTTACTCTGATAGCAAAAAGCATTTCCCCCCCCCCCCCCCCCCCCCCGCCTAAAAGTTTTTCTTTCAGTCCAAAATGAGATTGAGGATTGAGATACCAATGTATAACTGTATTATTCAATAGTGGTAGGAATAACATCTTACAGTGAAGGGGCCCAAGTAAGCGATGTATCCCGAGGAGATTAGTACATCCCCCACGTAGTTGTTAATGATGGACTCCAGCTTCTCTACAGACTCCTTCCATCTGTCCTTCTCATCAGCCAATCCACCAATCAGCTGTAAAAGATTAATTCAACTTAACTCTCTATAATCCACCAATCAGCTGTAAAAGATTAATTCAACTTAACTCTCTATAATCCACCAATCAGCTGTAAAAGATTAATTAATTCAACTTAACTCTCTATAATCCACCAATCAGCTGTAAAAGATTAATTAATTCAACTTAACTCTCTATAATCCACCTATCAGCTGTAAAAGATTAATTAATTCAACTTAACTCTCTATAATCCATCAATCAGCTGTAAAAGATTAATTAATTCAACTTAACTCTCTATAATCCACCTATCAGCTGTAAAAGATTAATTAATTCAACTTAACTCTCTATAATCCATCAATCAGCTGTAAAAGATTAATTAATTCAACTTAACTCTCTATAATCCACCAATAAGCTTTAAAACATCAGGCATTTTAATTAATTCAACTTAACTCTCTATAATCCATCAATAAGCTTTAAAACATCAGGCATTTTAATTAATTCAACTTAACTCTCTATAATCCACCAATAAGCTTTAAAACATCAGGCATTTTAATTAATTCAACTTAACTCTCTATAATCCATCAATAAGCTTTAAAACATCAGGCATTTTAATTAATTCAACTTAACTCTCTATAATCCACCAATAAGCTTTAAAACATCAGGCATTTTAATTAATTCAACTTAACTCTCTATAATCCACCAATAAGCTTTAAAACATCAGGCATTTTAATTAATTCAACTTAACTCTCTATAATCCATCAATAAGCTTTAAAACATCAGGCATTCTAATTAATTCAACTTAACTCTCTAAAATCCATCAATAAGCTTTAAAACATCACATTTTAATTAATTCAACTTAACTCTCTTTAATCCATCAATAAGCTTTAAAACATCACATTTTAATTAATTCAACTTAACTCTCTATAATCCATCAATAAGCTTTAAAACATCAGGCATTTTAATTAATTCAACTTAACTCTCTATAATCCATCAATAAGCTTTAAAACATCAGGCATTTTAATTAATTCAACTTAACTCCTTATATCTGAAATTACTGCCATAAAATGTCTGTTACTGGATAGTCAAATTAAAATGAACCTAAAATGGATTCTCTATTAGTGAATTTATTAAGAAATTCATGAAAGTGTATGCAGAGGGGGGAAAAGCTGGGATTTGTAATTTTTTTAAAGGAGATGAGTACTTGCAAGTTGATCAATATAACAAAAATGTTTAAAGTTTGAGAAAGGACCCCATGCCTTGTTGGCTCTGAATAAAATAGAAACATCTAAAATCTGTGTTGAGGTCCCCATACCTTGTCAGCCCTGATCAGTCTCTGTTCACACTCGGTACATTTCTGGTCTAGTTCGTCCTTCTTCCTGACACAATCCTCGTACTTGGCCTGAAGCGTGGCGATCCCTTCTTGTACATCGTGGAGCCTCATTTTGGCTGCCTCTAGAATGGCCTGCGTCTCAGCAAGCTCGGCCTGGGCATTGGCCAGTCTCTCTCTCTTGGGAGCCACACCCTTGGCTACAAAGTGGTACTTGTGCATGGCTCTGACCCACAGGCAGATAGATGTACAGGCCTTGGATACCTACAAAACGATAAAAAGCAGTTTATAGAAAAGTCTAAGTTATACAACAAAAGCTAGCAAACTCACTCCAAAATCTGAAGCTATTTCCACTTCTTAGTATCTTGTAAGTGTATGACTGACTTGTGATTCAAGACCTTTCTTATGTGTAAATGTAAATTAAACCAGAGGTGCAGTGAAGAGTGCATACAATCAGTTATCTCCTGCCTTTTTATAATGGTTCTATACACACCTTGGCAATAGCAGCAGGTGTAAAGTCAGGATTGTCTATCAGAGGCTGGATCTTCTTAATGACATCATCAGGGATGTTGTCCTTGTCAAACTTAAACAGACTCTCCAGGAATTTTCCTGGGTCAGACAGCAGGGCTTTCCCGGGGTCCCAGAAATCATTGATCTTCTCTCCTGGTTTGTCTCCAGCCACTTTCTTTGGTTTGATTTCCTTCATGATACACACAGCCTCTATCACCATCTTGACCCCCACTGGAGGTCGGGTCATGGCCCTGACCTCCACTACATCGTTCTTGTTCAAGGACTTCAAGCTGGCCACTGCCTCTTCCTGTAGAAAGAAATTATCATGTAGGTATACGCCTTGTGGAAAAATATAATGTGACAAATTTAAAGGAAACTTGATCAAGATAGCTCAGAATCATTACATATAAAATTGTTTCCTTTTTTTTCATAAAAAATTGTACTGAATAAAATTACACCAGAATTTTAATAAAGACAATAGATCCATGATACTTGGTCCTCTTAAAAATGATTTCATAGTGTAATTCTGCTCTATGCTTTGACAGCTAACAGGGAAATTCTAAGCAGGTCTTACCAGAGCTGGCAGTGCTTCATTGAGGTCACGCTGGGCATCATCAGCGATGGCCTGTGTTTCTTTAGCTTTGATGGTAGCTTGAGCTTCCTCCCTCTCTACCACCTCCATAGTCTCCTTAGCTATCACCTAAACACAAAATCACACAACAATGACGGATGACTCTAACAAAGTTATTAAACTCATTAACTCCTGTTATCTAGGTCATGTATATCAAACTTAGCCCAGCCCTCACCGTATCTTTGGAGATCTGTTCCATGGTGGCCACCGATTCTTTCACTGCCTCTGCCAGCAGTGGCTTCATGGTCTCCAGCTCAGCAGACAGTTTGGCCACTTCATCAGCAGTGGTCAGTAGCTTGTCCAGACCAGTCTTTAGCCGATTACGAGCTGTGTTTAGCTCTGTCTTCTTCATACCCACGAGTTTAGAGAAGATACCTAACAGTTCCAGGTAACTTGTGGGAGTGACATAATTATATCGAGAAAGTTCTGCCAGGAATTTCTGTGAATGGTTAAACACTGACATCTGGATCTCCTGACACATCACCACCTACATAGAAATAAAAAAACCACACTTAATGTTCATCTGTTTCTCAGAATATTATCATTTCTTTTTTTTATTTCTTTCAAAAACACAATTTGATTTAAAGACTCTACACTTTACTGTTTTGATTTTCAATTCAAAATATACGTATTATAAGAAACATCGACTGAAAAAGAACACAGAAATGTATAATCTCCTACCAGCCCCTCCATAATCTGGTCAGTGGTGTCTAGTTCTGGAATGTCCATCAGGAACCTCAGAGCCACAGACCTCAGAGCATCTGCTGGCCACTCAGAAAACCAGTCAATTGTACAGCAGTTAACCAGGGCTGGGAACTGTCTCAAACGAGCTCGGAAAATCTCACCCAGGGGACTGTAATTACAAACAATACAGGGTCAAAGGATTTACCAAATATATTTCTAATTTTGTTATAAGTTAGGTGTATCAAAGCTTTTGACCTTATATTTTTTGAGTGTTCCTAAATTTAACCCAGTCTTTAAGACAACTGACCTCATAGTAATGACAGTATGTAAGTTACTGCGGACATTTTTTGTATACAGCGAGAACAGATTAGTCTTGGTGGGCTGTAATCCCATGTCCTGACACACTGGTTTCATCGCTGTATAAATACTTTCCAGGTCATCAAAGGCATAAATATTTGGCACATCGCCAGAATTCAGAATATTGTTCAAATCCTCCAGGAAAGACTCGGACTTAATCTGAGTGTCACTGAATAAGAACACCATAGGCTTGTTCTCCAGCCCTGCCTTCATCATCGCGGTCTTCAGGTCTTCCCTCCACTCAGCTATACCGTAGTTCTTGGCCAACTCAATTTGGAAACAATCGTACTCATTTCTAGAACAACAAATTTCATTATGCAATCATTTCAATAAACCCTGCACAAATACAAAATTCATCACATGCAAACATAGATCCAGATTTATACTGGGGAAACATCACACATGTTTGACTTACATGTGGGCAGCTAGCCTAGTGAGTGATTGGCGACCACTGCCCCCCATCCCCAACAGAAGGGCATTACCCAGGGGCTGTCGAATGATCCGACTGATGCGTGACACATGCTTCACAGCATCCATAAATAAGACGAGCCTCATCTGTGCTGTGTTTATCTGGTTATAGTCATCCAAGTACTCTTCCAGTAACTTCACCATCTACAATAGAACAACACTCAAATGAAGCATCAGTCCTAGTTAGTATATCAGTTTTAATACAGCATATCATTAAAAGTAACTTGAGAAGTAGAATCAATAAACAAAATTGCATTTTGATTACTCAAAAAAAAAATCCAATTTAGAAACAGGTTGTTTGCTGTTTGTTTGCTATTTGTTTGCCGTTTGTTTACTGTTTTGTTTGCTGTTTGTTTGCCGTTTGTTTGCTGTTTGTTTACTGTTTTATTTGCTGTTTGTTTGCCGTTTGTTTGCCATTTGTTTACTGTTTTGTTTGCTGTTTGTTTGCCGTTTGTTTGCTGTTTGTTTGCCGTTTGTTTACTGTTTTGTTTGCTGTTTGTTTGCCGTTTGTTTACTGTTTTGTTTGCTGTTTGTTTACTGTTTTGTTTGCTGTTTGTTTACTGTTTTGTTTGCTGTTTGTTTGCCGTTTGTTTGCTGTTTGTTTGCCGTTTGTTTGCCATTTGTTTACTGTTTTGTTTGCTGTTTGTTTGCCGTTTGTTTGCCGTTTGTTTACTGTTTTGTTTGCTGTTTGTTTGCCGTTTGTTTGCCGTTTGTTTACTGTTTTATTTGCTGTTTGTTTGCTGTTTGTTTGCCGTTTGTGCGCTGTTTGTTCGCTTTTTGAAATGTTTTCATTCTGTTACCTTGTCATGATCGGCTATCTCTACGTAAGGTTTTTGGTCACCACCCTGAGACATAAAGTCTCCGAATATCAGAGGCTGCTGCTTCACAACATCATCAAATTCCACGTTAAACTCAGACTTCATGTTGGTTTTGATGAGGTTATCAAACCAGCTCCTGTCTTCATCGTTGACGAGTCGATCCTGGAAGACTCGACAGCTCTCATGGTACCACAGCTTTAACACGTCGTTAATTGACTAAAAAAACAAAATCGAGTTAAATGCAATTATTTATCAGAATAAATGACATGTGTACATTTCACTTTTATAATAGATATAAATGGTAACAGATTATATTCAAACCTCTCCACACATAAATTTACATTAAATTCTATTCTAAAACAAAGTGTCCAATAATTCAAAATAGTAAGATAAAAATAAAGCTCTCTTAAATTTCAAATCTTGCAAAATAAAACTCTCATTGCAACCATGTCTACAATTCTACATTTAACTTAATCAAATCCTGAAAAAAATCTATCATGACAAACTCAGCTCAACACAATATAAAACCATCAACTCACAACATCCTCATTCTGATCAACCTTTTGTCAACATTGAAAAAAAATATACAACATCAAATGTTTAATAAAATGTAAATAACGAAGAACTTGATGATCAAAGAACCTTGAGAATAAACTGATGAATGTTCAAACTTACAACAGGAGTCTGGTAAAAAAAAAGTCACTCAATTGACAATGTATTAAAAAAAAAAGTTGTGTTAAAATATCGGATCATTTCTGCCTTAGAAAATATGGTACGTTTTTTTTAACCTTGTTACCCAACTGACCCTAATTTTATGCGCTGAGCCAAATATTTTTTCATTGTAAAATACGGAAATTGCATATCTGTACATTTTTCTTCAATTATAATGGTTTATAGGTCATAAGGTCAATTTTTAGTAGCAAGTTTTAGAGCTGCTGGATAGATTGTTAAATAAAAGATACTTTATGACTAAAAAAAAAGAGAGCATCAAATGTCGTTAAAAGTTATACCTTTATGTAAAAAAAAAAAATATACGAAATAAAAACAAAATCCTACCTACTTCCCTATTTTTTATTAGTAGGTACATGTAACAGTAAACAAACATATATTTTTCTTTGGCCTGAAACAATTTATTTTTTAAACCTTTGATTTCAATTCAGAAGTATGGAATTATACTGGAAAAAATTTACCTCTATCTTGGCAGGTTCCATCATCAGAATTCCCTGGAAAACCTTGGAGAGATCCCGGAGGTTAAAGGTGTAGTGAGATTTGGCGGGGGTGGGGAGGAGCTGGGTAATAATCGTGTTATACACCCTGATACAAGTCTCCACCATCTTTTCTGTGTACTGGGCAGAGTTGTTAGCTGAACAGAATTGTACAAATAAATCAAACAGTACATAGTTACACATCAGAACATGTGTTTAACAAGTTTACCAAATTTATTTTTAGAAAAAATAAAAAAACTTATCTTGAAAAACAAACACACTTTTAAGTATATCTCTCAAACAATGCTATATATGGACTTACGCATCCAGGATTTGAGGATGGTTCCAAAGATCTTCTTTTTACTGGGGTCCTCCATCTCTGTGAAGGCCAGGATGTTGAAATGTCTCTGCAGTCGAGCAGTGATGGGGTTCCTACCCCCACCTGGTGGTCCCATGGCACAGCAGAAGTTCACGTCCACCAAGTTACGGAAGTCACCTATCAGAACAATATCACAATCATCAGGTCCTAGCAGATGTCATCTGATCTTCATCATTACAGAGGTAGTAAGAACTTAGAGATAATGAAACTGACCTATGACCTTTATTTCTTGTAATACTGACCTATGACCTTTATTTTTTGTAATACTGACCTATGACCTTTATTTCTTGTAATACTGACCTATGGCCTTTCTGTCATACCAGCCATTGAAGTCCATCCACTGACGGATCAATTCAATTGGAGGCTGGGCCCCATACACCTCTAGTGCTGGCATGTTAAGATCGTCAATAAAGAAGATGAAGTATTTACCCAAAGGTGGACCAAACACTCCCTTACGCCTGTACAAATGATATACATTTCATTGAATGATCAGCAAGAAAACATCACGTCATTTACACACAAACCAAAAAAAAAATTCTTCTCTGTTCATAATACAGTTACTGTAAACTCCTAAATACATGTGTGTAATTTATCATCACATAATTTCTGAGAAGCAGAACTCATGAAATGAACTCTTATACAGTACTGTATTTTTATATTGCTAAAATACATGTAAAACTCTTGATCAACAGTCCACTCACAAATTCATATTCTTGCAATTTGTTTTCAAATCATTTTGTGGTATTAAGTACTTGCATAAAATAGGAAATTTACAATATACACACAGAGGTGGGGATATTTTACATCCTTTCTGTGTTGTACCTTTTGTCCAGTTTGCCATCAATCAAGTCCTGTGTCTGGTTAGCGCTGGTTTTGGCGGAGAAGACAATGAATTCTGGGAGAAATTCCTTTGGCATCTTCGTGGTCAGTTTGTCAGCAATGGTCAAAGTTTTACCTGTACCAGTTGGTCCAACACACAACACCTGTAAATAACAACACACAACACCTGTAAATAACAACACACAACACCTTTAAATAACAACACACAACCCCTGTAAATAACAACACACAACACCTGTAAATAACAACACACAACACCTGTAAATAACAACACACAACACCTGTAAATAACAACACACACCCCCTGTAAATAACAATTCAGACTACATGCTGGGGAAGGATACTGGGAGAATGTAATCCAAAGAGCTATAAAATAATGTTTCCTATTTGATATTACTTTGGTCTTTAAAATGCTATATATATGCTGTTATGTTTCATAAAGATATTTTCATGTTATTTACTGTGCATATACTCAGGAAAAGTACATATTTTGTATAAATTATATAAATTTCAGGCAAGATTTATATGAAATGTGTTCCCTAACTTTGATCAGCAGTCCACAATTTATAGGTATATCCCTATTGGCTAGTTTTTCTTTATACCTTTTTCTTGTTTTTGAGGAGCATCTCCAGAAGATGAGAGCTACGGATGGTGTCTATAGTGGGGACAATGATATCAGAGAACTTGGTGTCCGCAGGGATGTTAAATTCTGGCACTCCATACAACCAGTTTCTCCATGTCACCTAAAACAGAAGTTTGTGAATACTGTATCAGCCTGAGAATTTCACAATTTCAGGGTTTACAGTTTAAATACTTATTACTTTCTAACAAAAGGTCAAGTTCCATTCCCTCACACAATCTGTATTTCTAGAATTAACATAAGCACATTTTATTATAAGTATTCTAAAAGCATATAAAAAAACAAAAAAAAACCATCTTTGAACAGCTTAAAAAATAATGAGGTATCTATTACACTGATGTATGTTTTAGTGGATGTGTGCCTTTAACGCTGGGGCTACTATTGCTGGACCGATCTATCATGACCATAGTGGGGCTACTATTGCTGGACACAACCTATCATGACCATGGTGGGGCTATTATGGATGGTCATGGCCTTTCATGACTATGGTGGGGCTACTATTGATGGACATGGCCTATCATGACCGCAGTGCTTCTGTACCTTTTTGACATCCGTTTCTTCGTCCAAATTCTCATCATTTTCACTACTGCTGATTCCAGCATCGTCCAGACGGTAGTCGTACACTAAGCCTTCTTCTGGGAAGGGCAACTCGCACTAAAACAGACATTTCATCCATTACTGGACAGTTAATTTTTGCACTGTTTTATTTTTAATACCAGTCCTTTGTTTTTTAATCTGACAAATCCCTATAAATATACTCACCTTTTTAATAAAAATTGAAAAAAAAAGTAAACAGTTCAAAAACTCTACCATATTTAATATAAATTAGGTATAAGGATACCTGAAGTTAATCAAAATCTTTGGGGGAAAATTAGAATGACTTTGACATCTACAACTACATCTACAACTTAATACACTGACCCCTTCTTTTTTCATTTGTTCTCGTATCCAGGTAGAGAATTTAATCCAGCTGTTGTTATCCCCAGTACAACCAATAGACCATGTTAGCGCAAAAAAGAACCATGGCTCAATGAGCTCCACAATACGGTCCAGTCGAGCCTGCGGGATCGGCTTGTCTCCCTGTAGAGATACAACACAGGATTAGTGTTTTGACATCAGTGATGTGACAGTTTTACAACATCAGTGTTAGAAATGTAATAAAATTGATAATGTTAGAGAAATAAAGATTAAATCAATAATGCACCGGAATGAAAATTGATCAATATTAATTTGTTCAATGTACTGAATCATTACCTACATGTAATTAATAATATGGAAATGAATGTCTACATAATTATTAACAATCTGTCTTCATGGGGTATCTTCAGATTGGTGGTATTTGAAATTGAACAAAACATAAACAATGTAAAAGAACCCAGAACAAATATTTTTATAAAGTTTTTTGCAGCTTTCAACAGTAAAATAACAATACAATATACACAGGCCATTGTTTATCTTACTTTATTCTCCTCCTCCTCACCCAGTAGTAAATCCTGACAACACACGAGGCAAATCATCATTCAAACAGTTTAACAAATAAACACTGATTTCATAAATTAACTCATCTTCTTCACTTATGTCACTTTTTTGGGGGGAAATAAATTGGGGGAAAAAAAATTACAAAACCCCAGAAATTCAGATTATTTGCAAAATTCAAAACATTTTTTGCACTGTTTCATTTTTTTTTTTATACACTTTGCTTTATCCATTGGGTTCTTGATTTTATATTCTAGAATTTATCCTAGTTAGCTATATAGTTTGGTGATTCGATAAGCTACAATAAAGATTATAATACAATAGGCTGGCTAAACAACAGGTTAAATATATCATTGCAACTACACATAAGATACACTACAGTGATGTATACATTCAAGCATGCAGTTTGTTTGACATGCTGCAAAGAAATGTAAACGAAGTGGTGTGATATTTCCTATTACATAAAGCTTCATTACATAATTTCAATCATATTCTACACTTCTCCCTGCTGGAGATAATCAACTGAATCATCAAACTTGACTGATTTTCCTGTGAGATGATTCACTTGATTGAATTCTTTTTTTCAATTTTTCACCCAAATGATAGACTAGAAGTTGGAAGTTATAAACTTGAAATAATGACACAGTACAAATGGCTAGGTGTATGTTATTGTGTCAGGACATCTGACCTGGAACATGTGGAACAGTGACCCCTATCATAGTCACGGTTGTGTAATCATTGTCAGGACCCTGACCTTCTAGTACCATGACCCCTATTGTAGCCATGGGTAAGTTATCATGTCAGGACCCTGACCTTCTAGCTCTGGTACCATGACCCCCATTGTATTCATGGGCAAGTTATCATGTCAGGACCCTGACCTTCTAGCTCTGGTACCATGACCCCTATTGTAGTCATGAGTAAGTTATCATGTCAGGACCCTGACCTTCTAGCTCTGGTACCATGACCCCCATTGTAGTCATGGGTAAGTTATCATGTCAGGACCCTGACCTGCTAGCTGTATACCATAACTCCCTATTGTAGTCATGGATGATTATGTCAGGACCCTGATCTGCTGGCTGTATACATGACCCCTATTATAGTCATGGTTATCATATCAGGTCATCCGACATACTAGCTGAGGAACCATGACCCCTACTGAGGTCATGGCTGAGATACCTTGTGTCTCATTGAGTGCTGCCCTTGCTGTGTGAGAGAGACAAGTCAGATATATATACATCTATATACATATAACAGAGGAGGCATGCATGGCTTACCCATTTTCTTTTTTCTGGCTGTTTTATGTAGAAGTAGGATTAATTGATTAGCAAACAAAAAGGTCTGGAACCCTCCATGTAAACTTCTTATCAATAAGAGGCTCATTCAACTTCACATGTAGGCATACTTTGTTATATAAACCAAATAGGTAAATTTGTTGAACATGTATAGCATTACATGGAAGGATCCATTTTAACACATTATAATTAACAAGGAAAATTCAAATTATGAAAACAAAATTTATAATCATTAAAAAAAGTAAAAAATGTTAATGATAAACCAGGGTTCTTGTATATTTAATGTGATATCAAAGAGTACTAGGGCCAGTCCACACAGGTAGTTTATCTGAATCAACTTACTCTAAATCACCAATTGTGAGAACTCTATTTTTGCACAATTACACAAGACTGTCTGATGTGAAAAATTTCATTTCCACATATATTTGTATTATCAATGATTATATACAACAGTATCCCAAATTCGTGTAAATTTTGTTTTGAAAAAAAAATAAATGCCTCTCAAAAATAAGTGTAGTGAAAATTTGATCTATATGCAGTACCACAGTGATCTGTGTCCAGCCTGCAACTGTTTTGTGTCAAGTGGATGTTATCATGAAATAATTATAACAATGCTGCTTCTGGTTAAAGTTAACCCACAATATGTTGGAATGAAAGTTTACTTTACCATGTAAAAGTGATGTCAGTTAACCCATATTTACAGATATAACTGTGCTGTTAGTGTAGACCATCCCTTAGTGTGGACCAGCCCAACATAAACAAAAGCAATCATTGCAACATAATCAAAGCCAGCATTAAAAAGAATAATTATTTCAAAAGATTAAAAAAGTATGAGCATAGGTCTATCAAAAAGGCTTGGTTTAGGAAGGGGAACACACACACACAGTGGTAGCATTAACCGACAAGGAGTCAGGTTATGACAAGGAGTCGGGTTAACAAGACATTACCTCCTGAGGGACAAACGGCTGGAAGAAACAGTCCATCAGTTTGAGGAGGCTGAAGACGAGATTACAGTCTACGGTGGGGACGATCTCCTTCATCTCCTTACGGACAAACCGGATAGCCGGCTAAAAATAGAAATCACAAACCTTTTACTCTGGTGTCCAACTAGCTATAGATATATCATTCCATTCTTTTCATTTCTCAAGTGAAAATTGTCATGTTGTATTCCTAGAATTTTTTCACTTAATAAATTAAGTCACTAAAAGATGCTATTGGCTTTAAGAGCAGTGTACTTTTTTTTTAATAATAAAACCTGACCTTCTGTTAGAGAAGAGTAAATTTTTTTTCTCAATAACCCCTTGTTGTCTGTTGTGATTGGACCAGCGTTATCATTACCACTTCAGGCTGTCACTCTATCATCTGACCTTATATTTCTTTGTAATGATTTTTACATAGTCTATCGAAATGTGTAGTAACACCGACTTTTGTATGATAAATATTGAAAGTCAGGACTGATTCCTGCACTATTATTTTGAGCAAATAATTTCAAGCACTAGAAAACTTTTATAGGTTTCCCTTGATCAAAATCATTTCTCTTGCCTCTGCCTCAAAAAATACAACTGTGTCTTTGAGAAAAACCTAAAATTTTACTTCTCCTATAAAGATACTTTGAATAAATACAAAAGCTGAAAGTAGAAATATCTAGGAGACACAGACCTCCATGAATTTATCAAAGAGCCCCTCTAGTTTCTCTTTGTGAGGGTAGATAGCATCTGGGAGTTTTCTGAGCCAGCACTCTACAAATGGTGGCAGGCCGATATAGCTGGGCTCTAAGTACACCATACCACAGCGGCTTACAGTGGCAGGGGAGGCAACTGCCAGATCCTGAACTTCAAACATCATCGTCATGTGCTGTAACAAGTAATTATACAATCAGTTTGCCACTTTCTACATAACATAACTGAAATTGTATGCTTTTCATAGGAATTTATATGGCCTTTTATTTCAGAGGTATGAAGTACATGTATGTATGCATATAAATGTATGATATAAATTGAAGAAAAACATAAAAATCAAATGCTGAATCAGGATAATCAAGGTTTCACAACTTTCCTCAGAATTTGTTTTTGTGTTTCGTTAACTTAATTTTTATTTCTTAAACTGTAAATTCTCTTTATTTTTAATGAAATGTTGACATTGTGCGTACCTCAGTCAGTTTGATGATTTCTCCACTACTCAGGCAGAGCTTCTTATTATCGTCCAGTACTGTGTTCATGTTCTCAATCCATACCGCGTCAACAGGGCCATCAAAAATGTACCACCGCTTCTTAGGGTCTGTAGCTCCAGATCCAATACGGATTAGTGTTGACAGAATGCCGTCAGTCCTGGAAAATTCAGCATTATTTTCAGATATTCTCAGCATGTGTACAAAATGATGTTTCCTGCAAGATTTTACTCTCTTTTCTCAAGAAACCTTGTCCTTTTGTAAATTGGAGGTTCAGGTCCAATTATTACATTTTTTTCTTCCAATTAACCTTGAACTTGCTTTTTTCAACTTTAGTTAACATCATGACAACCCCCAACCCCCTTCCCACCACCACCAAAGGTTATAAGGAATTTTTGTGTGAAGTACGAGCTTACAATCCTTGTTCATAACAAAGTTATGATCCTAAAACAATTGTATGAACAGCTGGACAGACAGATGTTACATTTATACCTCCCCAAAACTTCATTTTTAAGGGGTACAAAAACAGACATGTAGGAAGCAGGTAGAGTATTATCTAATGAAGACTTGAGAACACCATCCTTTAATAATAAAACCTCACCATTCGTGTGTGAGAAGGTCAAACTCTCCGTACAGCTGACCCATAGTGATGGATTTAGGATTCAGTATGTAGGTCAAGGTCGTCTCAAACTCTGTCCCTGCTGGTGACATTTCTCCTTTCAATGAGGTCTGCGCATTTTTAAGAACCTCATAACACTGAAAAACAGAGGAATCAACTTAACTGCTGAACCACAATAACAGTGACAAGAACTTTGTAACATTGAAAAGCAGCAAAATTAACTGCTGAACCACAGTAACAGAGAGGTTTCTACATGGTTTTTTTTAGTGTTTCACTAACCTTGGTTTTGCCGGAGCCGGTCGGACCGACCAACATGAGGCCGTGTCTGACAACAGTAGTCTCAAACAGCTGGATACACTTGTTGATAAAACCTAAAGACAGAAGTCAAAACAGCTGATGTCAAACTAGCAGAAAGAAATGTTACCAGACAATTCTCTCAAATGACACATTGGCCGAAACTGTTTCACTGTTTGGCTCAGTCTCATCACTGAAAGATAACACTGCGACTGAATTTCTGAGACTGTTTACTTAATATTTTTGCCAAAGAAATCTGGAAATCAGATCTGAATACTAGCATATTCCACCCTTAATTACTGTAAATTATTTTTCTTTGGCAAAATTGTCTTAAGTTGAAAAATGGTGGGCCAAAGAGTGAAAAAGTTAAGATTGATTGGTTGTGTCCAAGGTGAATGTCTTACATTAAAAAAAAATGTCTCCATGGGCAAAACTCAATTAAAATTGCCCTAAAAGTCCCTTTTCTCTAATATCCTACTACATTTATGCCTGACTACTTGTTTAACATGTACTAATATAAAGGTTGTAGAGATTTCCTGACACTACTACAATACCTTCTACGTCCTTTAGTCCACCTTTAACACACATCTTCCTCAGTGAAGTGTCCAAGGCTCCATAATCAATAGGCTCCTCCCTAACATAATGTTAACATCATACAATTATACAGTACAGTTATGTAAACCTCACCCTTGTCTCTCTACCACACTTCACACAGAGAGAAGAAACTCATTTCAGCACACCCATATTTCTAATAAACATCTGAATTCATTTATTTAAAGGACTTAAAAATAAATTTACAAATGCACACCAGTAGTCAACAACTGATTGAATGTCTACAGTCAAACCTACAATGTATTTTAACACCTCGACTTACTCCTCAGTGTTCTTACTAGACTCGGGAAAAAATGGAAGAATTAGATAAATTACTGCCGTAATCAGAATCATGAGATTTCGGATAAATCAAGAATAGCTACATTATACGAGATAGAACAAGTCCAATTTAATATGAGAAATTATAAATCAGGTCATTAGTCTTTGAAAATTATAAAAGTACCAGATAAAGCTGTACTTACTTGATGTTGGGGAACAGATCTGATACAATGCCACTGAATAACTTGAGATCCTCCACCAAGAACTTAGGTACATTGACATCTCTAATGGCTCTCAGTACAATCAGTTCCTAATGAAAACAAGATATAAATTGTCAAACAACTGAAATCTCAACTGAAGAAATTCTACTACCTTATACATTTTGTACTGAGAGAAAACATGATGAATTCCTATTTAATTATACGAATACAGAAGTTTTACCATACAATAAAACATAACTCGTATCTATTGGACTCTCCATCTAGGTGTATATACTAGGCAGTAAACAGCTGATTTACCTCGTTCATATCTGGGTACTGTCTCTTGAGGTTACCAGCAGCAGAGATGACAGATTTTACAGCTCTCATTCCAAAGTCATAGTGATCCTACAGATAAATCCATTGTTATAAGAAAGACATCCAAATATACCTTATAAAAGACCTGAACATTATTCAGTATAATATTTATGTGGACCAGTCCTTTGGATGATTTAATTGTGTAATCTGGGAGTTGTTTAAAGAGATTTTGAACAGTGTACATTGTCAAGTACCTGTGAGCTGAGCTGTTCTGAGGATAGTTTGAAGGTGGTGACAATTTTCTTTGCCAGCACTCGAGCATCAGAGAAACCAAAAGAAAACAAACTAATCTCTGCAATCAAAGCATAATCTGGTACCATCATAGCTACTGGTCTGAAGAGGGCCTGTAAAAGAAAACCTCAAAACAATCACTCCTGGCTTATCTTTAAAAGCAAAAGTAGTGAAGTAAGAATAGGGCCTGTTAAAAAATTCTTTGAAACGGCAATCTGGGGTTGTGTTTAAAACCAGAGTAAGGTATAGAAGCACGTTACAAGAAGCTGTATTAACAGCCAGCTTACCTTAAGGTTGTCAGGGAGCTCGGTTCTGCCGGCGTATCCTGGGTTCATTGTGATGAAGACAGCACACGAGGGCTTGAGCATCAGCTCCACCCCCTCAAATATAAATCTGTCCACCTAGATAAGCACACCAAAAAAGTCAAAGGTGTAAACAGCATAGGTAGGAATCACAAAACAGTGTAAAACTTGTAAAATTCAGAGATTATCTTACCCTTCATTGGAAATCTTGACAGAGATTACTTAAATCCTCATACATTAATCATAAAAATTAGTTTGTTATTTATCTTTAATTATCAGCAGTGCTGTATAGTATGTTAAATCATTATTGCACTTGTATGTAAGAAAAGAAGCAGAAGGCCTCGTAATCTGAGTTAAGGACACACGTCCTCGGTTACCTTAGCATCCAAAGCCTTCTGTATGGTTATAATTTGCATGGCTACTACTGACAGCACTTCTATGTTTATTCTGTTGAACTCATCAAAGCATGCCCATGCACCAGAACTTAGGGGAAAAATAGGCAGGAAGTGAACGACAAGTCCCCTGGCACATGACAGTCATGTGACCTCAAAAGCTGTACCAGGGAACTTCTCAAAGTCAGGCTAAGGAGACATCTAAGAGTTGCTTCCTTGGAATTTAATCCATATATAGGAATGTTTATGTTGTTTATGGTGACAACTGTCAATCACAAGCCCTTATTTCCAAGGAAACAACTTTTTAAGTGTGAGTGAGGAAATCTAAATGTGGTTAGTGATGGTTTAGGTATATTTACTGTATGTGTACTTATTTTTTGGAGTGTATTCAAATCCAACACATTTATCAGACATGAACAGATTCAAGCACAATCATGAATTTATAGCACTTCTGTGCTTTCATATTATTTTTTTATTCTGCACCAAAATTTGAATACAACTCACCTAAGTACAGATACAGTATACCATTAGAGCTCTACAAGAAAGACTTGTTAAATTATACGACAGGATACTGAAAGATAAAGTTTGTTACTATAAATAGCTGGAAGAAATAACTAAAGGTAATATGACATTACTAGTAGTATGGGTATAAAGCCACACCCTTAAAGAGAAAGTGTCATTAGTACTAAACCTGTACCATTAAAACAGCCAGGTATCATATGTAAAAGTCTATCTAGGCTGGTAACACAGTACAGAATTTGTTGACAGTTAACAGAGACTATGCAGTGGGATACAAGCATGTCTACAGAGGTTTAAGGCAAGAAGCCCTAGCAAAGACTAGTCAACTTCTAAGGGAGATCATTCTGCAAGGGAATTACCCTTTGTTGTTGAGCCTTTTGAATGGTGGTAATCTGCTGGGCTACCACAGACAATACTTCAATATCAATACGGTTAAACTCATCAAAACAGGCCCAAGCTCCGGCACTGAAACCACCTCATAGTGTTAATAACAGAAATCAGTGAACAGTGTCCTTATCTTAAACTTAAAAGTGGGTAAAAATTGGCTGAATGTACATGTAATATAATGGGGATTTTCTGTGAACAACTAAAGTAAAATTACATATCTACACAATAACTGTGAATGTGACAAGTGTTCCTCAATATATAAAGCGACAACATTTATCTTCAAATTTCTAAGATTTTTTTTTCAATTTCTGTCTCCAAGATCTCGGATCTATATCTTTTGATGATGATTTTGTTCTGATCTCCTACCTGGCTAAACCTTTGAAGAACTTTCCCATGGCCATGAAGTCCAGCTGATCTGAGCAGTTAAATACCACACACTGAATAGCCATAGCTTTGGCCAAATCCTATAATCAAAACAGGCAATAGAGTACCTAAGTCATCTTATTGTAATGTGATTTATACTGTACATAAAGAAATAGCTAGGATTATTTCTGATTCACATTTTTACGTTAAAACACAGTTTATACAAAGGTCCCTTACTTTAGTCGTCTCGGTTTTTCCTGTACCAGCTGGTCCTGCAGGAGCACCACCAAACTTCAAGTGAAGGGCACCGGTCAAGGTCAAGTAGCATCTGAAAGGTCAAAGTATACTGAGAGACAATCATACATGTACAGTGTCCATGTTAACAATAGCTTATACTCAAGTATGTCAGTTAAAATTCTGTGAAAATAATCTTCAGATACAGCTGGAAAATGAATTCCCTTCAGTTGTCACATAACTACACACCTGTCAGTGAGAGGAGTGATGACCAGACGTAGTGTATTACCGAGGTACTCGTATCCGTAACTAAACTCCGCATTCACAGCCTGGATAAACAGGTTCTCCTCCTTCCAATAGTACCTAAATAATAAAATCCTCATGAATATAAAGGACTAGTCACGACTATAGAATGTAAAAAATATTATAGGTAGAGCTGTTTTTCACAGTTTTTGAAGTACAATTCTAACAGATCTCAAGCAAGTACCTGCCATGATCAATGTGAAATGTTGCAGTTCCCTTTTCTTTTTACCTGAGTTGACTGATCCATTCAAAGTCGTTAGCATAAGAGACCTTCTTTTACACATTTTTACCTGAGCTGACTGATCCATTCAAAGTCGTTAGCATTAGAGACCTTCTCCTCCACCATCTTAGCCACTACATCGCGGGCGTGCACCTCGATGACGATGAGGGCAGACAAGGTCATCCTTTCGATCTTCTTCAGGTCAAGCCTGACGAGGTTCCGTAAATCATCCAGCTGACTCAGCAGTTTCTCGTATCCCTCCTTCAGACAGTTCTGTTCCAGCGCCTCGGTCACCTCCGAGGTCCAGTATGTCTGACATCCAGCGATCACGACCTGACCTGGCCACTTCAACACCCACTCTGTTCTCTTAGTCTAAACACAAAAAATTACATAAAATGATTTGTTTTTGTAAGGATTTTTCTCATTTCTTTATGTGTAAATAGCTGTATCTGATTCATAAATAGTTTCCCTCAATTAATATTCTATAGTTTTACACAGTTCTCTCTGAAGTCACTAAGCCTCCAATACCCATTATCAATCTATGAGAGCTTTCCTTGAGGAAGCTTCTGATGTATTTTTATCTGTTTTTAGACTTTCAGAGAATCCTTTCCTGTACTTTTAATAGTCTCTAAGGGAGTCCCTTATTCTATTTTTGCTATTATATATAGTGTTTGAGAAGTTCCCTTAATCTGTTTTTACCTCTTTATAGTCTTTGAGTGAGTCCCTAATGATGATCCTTAAACTCTCTCTCATGCATCTCTCAATCTCTAACATCCAGTCCTCCACGTTTCCTGTGGGGTACAGTGTCTCCATAAAAGCGACATCTTCGCCCTCAGCTGAGTACATCCTTGTAATCTTCAGATCCTCCTCAAACTTCAGCTAAAAACAGAATAACAGTCAATATAAAAAATAGTGCAGACAAAGGGGTCACAAAATCTGAGAACTGATGGCACAGACGAATACAGAAATTAGAACAGCACAAAGGAATATCAGGGAGTTAAGTCTTTAACCCAACACTTGTACTGGTATTTTAGGAACATAGGTGTGCCAAAGAACAAAATAATTTCTGGAGAAACACATTACCATAGCAACATTTTCGAAGCATTTTCTGAGATGAGGTTGCACAGCTGTGGGGTCCTTGGTCTGAGAGAGAATCTGGAGCAGCTCATCATCAGACAGGAAGTAGAATCGTGGGAAGGCGTTCCTCTTAGTCTCCAGGTACTCAGATAGACCTTTCTGTACCTGTTCTAGGAGTTTGTTACACTCCCGGAGATTGTCCAAAAGTCTATTGTCTGGACACAGGGAAATTACCTAACGATGTCAATGGTGATTTCATTTTAAATTCATCACTTTTTCAACACGTAGAGATATGACAGAAATGAAAATCTCTAGATATCTACAGAGATTGGTAGTTTGGTATTCAATTAAGATTGCTGAATTCATGTCTTTTTGGACTTGAACATTTTGAAACACATCATGTCTTCCTACATAAAACAAAGCTAAGACCATACCTGGGGGTTGTCTTTGGCTGTCTTCATCAGTTTCCTCCAGATCCTCTCCATGGTCTGGTATCTCTTACTCTCAACAGGAAGTTGTCTGTTAATGTCCTCCGAGGAAAATATAGGCTCCAGGTACAGCCATGACCTCTGACACTGGATCCACTCATCCAGAACGTCCTGTGTAGTTTTCAGCTTGTTCTCCCAGCTACTGATGCGGTCCTCGAATGGTTTCTTGTACGGTGAGAATGACATTGACTGAGTCATCACAATGTGATCGTCCAGCAGTTGAGACGTCTCTTCAGAGGTCCGGATCATGTAGGTACCAGTGTCCTTGTACGGCTTGATCTCCAGTTTAATGTTCTCCCATTCTTTCTCCATCTTGTCCAAGGCCTGTTCTATAGAGTACTCCTTTCCTGCCACTTCAGCTACTTTGGTGATGGTGGCCATATGGTCCTGCAGCTTCATCTCCAGACATTTACTGAAGGTAAGGTTTGCCTTAGGTCTCACAGGGAACCCAATGTCATTAGACAGCTGTATTCAAAGATACACAGTGTATATTAATACATGAATGACCATTCATCACATACAAGTTGAGCAACCCATATTACCACATTTTGACAATTTGTATGTACATGTTACGTGCTCTTATGACACTGTGCAATGTAAAAGTTATCACTGAAAGATTGCTTCAATATATATTCATAACTTCTACCTTTCCATTTTACAACTGTATTAAAAATATTTTAAATCTATTTTTCATTTTGACAATCAGTAAATGGTACTGTAAAATTGTTTTGATTGACATCCCCTTTGTGATTAATGTAACACAAGTCATGTGTGAAGAGCTACAGCTAAATACCAGTCAGTAAAATACCATTATCTAGGTAAATGTAACCATTCCAATGGTACATTTGTACAAAATCAACATTTATTCTAACAAAAAGGATGGGAATTATATATTAACAAACAATGTATTTGACTGTGTTGTTATAAGTGACAGATATGCCTGTAGCCTACTACTGATAAATAATTCTGTACCTGATTCCTATATTTGCTCCCGTAGCCAACAACTGATTAGTAATTCTGTACCTGATCCCAATGTCTGCTCCTGTAGCCTACTACTGATTAATAATTCTGATCCCAATGTCTGCTCCTGTAGCCTACTACTGATTAATAATTCTGTAACTGATCCCAATGTTTGCTCCTGTAGCCTACCACTGATTAATAATTTTGTACCTGATCCCAATGTCTGCTCCTCATTCCTGGGTTCCTCAGTCCCTGAATCAGAGGAATGTAGGGTTTAAAGTCCTCAATCAGACCCTTAATCTCTGAGGCCACCAGCTGGACATCTACAATGTAAAGGTCAGGTTATTATACTCAACTCAGTACTGACTTGAACTACTTATTTACAGAGACTGAGATGATTTACGTTAGCAAATGTTATCATCATTTAATTAATTACATTTTTCATTTTACACAATTTTACGGGGTAGTACCTATTTTTTAAAGCCCTGTACTTACTAGGCATCTCCTGGAAGAAGCGGACCGACTTGTGCATTGTTTTGAAGGCGTCGTTGACATTCTTCTCCACTTCTTCAGCATTGATGGCGTTCAGTGGATCATTCATCCAGCTCTCGTGCCAGCGTAACCAATCAGAAACCGTCAGCCACAAGTTTCGGAATGGCTCAAATTCCTTCACAAGTTTGGACAGCTTTTCATACTATAATGACAAAGCTGCAACTATCACATCTAGTACATAGAATACAGCGCACTATAACGACAAAGCTGCACCTAACACATCTACATTAAATACAGCTCTTTACAAACAACAAACAGGCTACAATATCATGCAACACTAAAGGGACTTAATCTAAAGGGAGACATTCATCAAACTCTCACAAGAGACTGTAGACATTGATTTACACAACATAAATCTGATGTTCAATAAGCACTTCATTCTTGAATGTCCATTATTAAATTAAATTAAATTTAATAGAATACATGCAGAAAAGCTACAAGATTTTTTTCCGTTATTTTCAATTTACCAGGATGAGGACACCCACTTGATTACATCTTAATTTCTTCCATAAATTTTAAAAATGACTGTATCTTGTGAGTGTTCATTTTCAATGATGGCCATATAAAAAATAAAGCTTGGCTCTCGGTGTCACCATTAGATCAAAGAAGTATCCTTATTTTCAAGTGCCATTCATTATAGATGAATTGCATGTCTATTTTCAAAACAAGGATTTCTAAATGTTGTTAAAGTAAACTGAATTAAATTTTAAAAAAAATAACATATATGTACTCATAATCAAAATAAGTGCTCATCCTTTAACTACACTGAATAATAATAATCATGCAATCTTAAAATAAGCTTTTGACATAAAAGTTATAAATACTTAATCTATAGGAGACTTAGGAATTAAAACTGTAGTAGTGAATCTGACAAAGGCCTGTCACAGCCATTCAATTCATGCTACAGCCAATTTATAATCCGAGATGAAAGCAAAAAAAAAAAAAAAATCAAAATATAGCATTAAAACACAAGACATTCATCAGCAACAAAAAGTCGTCTGAATTATGTGAATACCTAATTACAATCAACCCAAAAAATGTATGAAAGTGCAATGTTAAATATTTTATCAAAATATTAAATCAACACTATCAATAGATTGTATCTAGAAATGTTATATGTATGATTCTAAGTCATAACTAAGTAATTAATTACTTTATTATATTGACATGATATATATAAATTATAATAATTGCAGAGTTTTATTTCGAACCTAACAAACCTATATGTCACTTTAAAATAAGTGACAGAAATAGATTTACAAATTTATGAAGGAAACAGAATTTTTAATGTATTAAGATTAGCAATTTGTCTTGAAAAGAAACACACCAAATTACTAAACAAAGAATTGCCCAAAATGACTAACAAGCTAAAATTATCTCAGTTTTTTTGTGAGAAATTTCTTCACTGGACATAACAGTACAAAATCTTATGGAGCATTCAAAGACTATATAGCTGATCAACCCTCACCCCCTTCTCCCTGCCCCTTTATCCAATTTAAAGTCCCTTATCAAGATCCATGTGATATCTCACACTGCTATATAAAAAAATCTATGTTGTTGAATGCTATCCTAAGCAATAAATATGAGACCAAAAAAACATTATAGGGAGGGTTATGTTGTAAACACTATTGCCAATGTGCTTATATCTAATAATTATATTAAAATAGAACTATCAAAACTATATTAATAAGCCCTAAAAATAAAAATATATATATAGGGATTAAAATAAGCCACAAAAAGCAACATCTGCCATGACAGTAGACAAAACCAGGCACCCTTGGAAAGGAATCTGATATCCGCCCGTGTCACCTGTAAAATAACACCTAACACGGGATTAGGCACATCACCGAGTTCTGACAGAGGTAAGGGCGGGTACTTACATTGGTGACAGGCATACCAAACAGCCTCTCACGGTTATTATAGGTACTGGCCAGTCCCTGGGCTTCCTTCAGTTGCTTGTTTACCCTCCTGACCTCGTTAGCGATTTCGTGGGCCTTGCTGATATCTGTGTAGGCAGCCATACCCGCTACCACCATCTACAACAGATTGTCACATTTCACTTCTGTTTTATCTGATACTGTAATATATTTCTTAAATTCTTTTCAAACCCTCAGTACTCTTGTAAGTCTGAGATTATTTCCCTTTATAAACAGAAACTAATACTTTTTGTCCCATTACTGCTTTCAAAATATCTATGTTACAAAGAGGAGGCCAATACTCATTCTGGAGCTTTCACTGTGTGACCCTTAATAGCCCATTCCTAACCTGTAGAGTGTCCAGTCGGTCATTAAAGTTGGCCTGGTCAGAGCCCTGCAGCTTACGGAATCGCTCCTCATCCTGGTCAAGCTGTTCATAGGTCTGCTCCATCTGGCGTTCTATCTTGTGGGGCCAGCCAATAGCTGTCCATCTATAAATAGAAAATGTTTCAATGATGAACTAGACATTATACATACATTTATCAAACAATCTGTATAATAAATATCAATCAATCATCAGACTGATGTCTGAAGTCGTAATAAAGTCTTACTTGGCATTAAAGTCATCTGTAGACAAGTTGTAGTAGAATTCTTCAATAAGCTCATAATCATCCATGGCTTTGTCAATTTTCTCCTGTGGAGGAAACATACAATCAGAATTCTATTTTGTGCATTTCAAATGATTACAAGTACATGTAATGTGACTCAAATGAAATATAGGTTGTTTTTTTTTTTTACAACTCATGACTATTCAACAGGATTCTATAAATAGCATTAAGGTAATGTACCTGATGTTCCTGAAGCCTTTCGGGAATCCCCTTCATCCACTCTCTCATGTCAGATAACTCCTCCACACAGTTTGGTTTATTGTACAGCTTACGATTGATCTCCTTAAACTCCTCACATGCCTGTCATAAAAAAAACAGAACATAACCCACTGGAATGTTCTCAGAAAAAGAGAGGAACAATTTACATCCACAAAAGCCTGTCATAAAAACAAAACATATACCAACCAGAATGTTCTCAAGAAAAAGAGAGAGAGTCATGAAAACCACAAAAAGAGGAAGACATCACAGAGCAGAGGACACTTACATCATCAGCTTGAGCACGGAGTTTCCTGGCCAGCAGTTCTAACATAGCATTACTAAGGTTCTTCCTTTTCTTGGACAGAGTTTGTCTGACAGACTCAGTGTTGACCCAGAATGGTCCAATGACGAGGTTACTGGGAATCGTGGCCTCAATAATATCTTTCTCTTTAAGGTGCATCTCCACTTCCTGCTTGACCTCCACCGCGGTGGTGCCTTCCTTTTTCTCATAATCCCTGATGATAAAATAACAGTATTATACATTTATGACCTCCACCACAGTGGTACTTTCCTTATTGTCATAGTCACTGATAAAATCACAGAAATGACCCAATTAATTTAGATCCATTGCCAATGCAAAGGACCCTGTATTGTCAAAGATATTATTACTGTAAGTATACATAGTTATATTTACCATCTAAAAAAATGCCAACATCAGGCTCTAATCAAAATTTCAGATATGTACATTTTGATGCAAAAATACCTAATATGTTCCACTGAATACCTCTCCAACTAAAGGCATTTAAAAGGGTGCTAAAATTTTGTACTTAGGATAACCTGAACATTTATCAAGAAGATGTTCTTACGCTATGTATTTGTTGATATCCAGATTCATGAGTTCTAGATGTCTCTCGTACTCCCTGGCGTATGCCTTCATTGGGATCAGGGCCTGATTGATGGCCTCCTTTATTTGTTTACGTAGTTTCTCTACCGGAGGTTCGTGAGCTCCCACAGACTCCAGAAGGGGGGTCCCCGACCAGAAAATGTCCTCCAGTATGTACTGCAAGCAAAGAAATAGTCAAGAATAACCCTTTGCATCTTTAGGATGCATCCTTAGCATCTGGAAAGACTGAAATACATCTGAATACAGGAATTCTGACTTGAACCACTAACATGACCACTCTAACAGGAGTGATCAAGTTATTCACTAATTCTCAGATTCATAAAATCAAATTTCATATGAAAATATCTCTTTGTATCTACTTTTTTATCCTGAACGCAACAGTCAGTGATCTCACCTTCTCAAGCTGGGGTACATTCTGAGTGGAGCCAATGGCCTTGTCAAACAGTCCCACTAACATGGTCTCAAAACTGTTGAGGTTTGTGCTGTAATGGGCACCCTGATTGTCCAGCATTAGATCCACTAGGAACAGAGCATTCCTCTTGGGTCTAAAAAAAAGTGTCAACTTCCTAAATATGTCAAACATCATTTGCTCAAAAAGGACTAAATTTCAACTTACTCCAAACAGCAGTGACATATCTACATGTATTTTTGAATTCAGAAGTGAAAGCTTCTGAATAATTATAAATCACCAATACGTTCGCTGACTCACTGAGGATGTGATTGCTTAATTAAATAATTGTACCAGTAAGGAATAATGTAATACTTACTGGTACTCTTATTTAATTGACCTACTTACAGGTTCTTTTACAGACATGACTTACTTATAAGTGCTGTTGATGATACAGACATGACTTACTTATAGATGCTGTTGATGATACAGACATGACTTACTTATAGGTGCTGTTGATGATACAGACATGACTTACTTATAGATGCTGTTGATGATGCAGACATGACTTACTTATAGGTACTGTTGATGATACAGACATGACTTACTTATAAGTGCTGTTGATGATACACACATGACTTACTTATAGGTGCTGTTGATGATACAGACATGACTTACTTATAAGTGCTGTTGATGATACAGACATGACTTACTTATAGGTGCTGTTGATGATACAGACATGACTTACTTATAGATGCTGTTGATGATACAGACATGACTTACTTATAGGTACTGTTGATGATACAGACATGACTTACTTATAGGTGCTGCTGATGATACAGACATGACTTACTTGTAAGTGCTGTTGATGATACAGACATGGCTTACTTATAGGTACTGTTGATGATACAGACATGACTTACTTATAGGTACTGTTGATGATACAGACATGACTTACTTATAAGTGCTGTTGATGAGGTCATCTCCCCACTTAAAGTCTTCCTGAAGCTTCAATGTAGAGTGGCTGGCATCCAGTATCATCTGGGTGAAGTTGACTAGTGAGTCCTGAATCAGGTAGCGCATGGAATCCTGGGAAAAACATCAATATTCCAGCTATGAGGACTTAAGTTATATTTCTTTCCAAAGAAGAAGTTTACCAGAATGTCCACGTATAAACTAATGCAGTACATAATACAATCTCTTATTTACCTGCATGATGAATTTGACCATTTCCATGAGCTTTTTGAGTTTGGAGATCTCATAAACCTGGAAGTTTTTCTCATGAATGTTGAACCATCCCTTGCCAACATCTCGGAGGGAGGTTCTGATGGCGTTCCTTAGGGTGCTGATCCAACTGTCCTTCAGGAACAAGGACACCTGCAGAAAACAGGGATTAGTAAAGACACAGTTCTAAATCTTGTAAGTATTTACTATAAATTGTTGGTCAATAATCATACTTTAATCAAAAAATTAATTCTATGATTCACATCTTCATCCATAATGTCATAAGATCTTAATGAGAAAGAGTCTACCTCTTCATACTCATTGAAATTCATTCAAAACATAAGAAAAATACAATTAACTATTAATGCTTCAAATTTGACTTGTAATATGTAGTTCTGTACCTGTGATGTGGCTTGGGCCTGTGTCTGCTCAAACTCCTCCAGTCTCATGGGTTTTGTGGTGGGGATGTGAAACAGGGACATGATGACTACCTTGTTACACTCTGTCCTCACCATTCCAATGGCTGAGATACTCTCCTCTCGAGTCAACAGCGAGTTAAATGTGAAGTCATCGTACTGACTGTCAAACGGGTACTCAGGGATGTCAACAATACAGCCTGTCAAAGGGGGAAAAACAGTTATAAATCTGACAGATTCCAAAATAAAAATCGTCTATACCTTAATCAAATTCATAAACAGCATTTTAAAATAGTGATTTATGTTAACACGGGAAGATGTTTCACCAAAAACTAACACTATTCTAAGTGATCAACCTTGAAATACTCAATATCCTTCACTGAAATTCTTCCGAGTTTTGAGTTATGTACCTTTTTCAGCTACCACATCCTCTGCTTCTCCTGGTTGTGTAACGAATCCGAAAGTGAACGGATCTGACTCCACGGTCTTGTCAAAAATAATCCTGTTCATGGAGCGACAGAAATCAATGTTAACCTCCTTCTCCAGAACCTGAAGGTAATCATCCAGTCTGCAATAAAAAGAAAACATCACTTCATTTTCTAAGCTTGGTTAGTCTTAATATGTATAAATACACCTGGCTGGTATATAATAAGGATAATTACTGTTTATCTCCCTTGAGTCCGCGGACATCCCTGGAGGCCTCTATCATTCTCTTCAGTGAGGCCTGGTCAAGTTCTCCTACACCCTCCATTGGCATACAGTCCACATAGAGGTTGTATCTGATCAATGCCTCTGTTTCTTTTCTCAGTTTGAAGGCATCCACCACTCTCCTTGTAAAAACTCTTGGATCCTCTCCCTTGAACATCAGCCTCACACGTGGAATCCAATACTGGCCTGGAAGCTCTTGGCGGGAACCTTCAATGTTTTATAATTAATTGATTTTTGTTACTTTGTAATTCTAAAAATAACTTGTAAATATATACAGTTAAACTTCGTTATCTCGAAGTTGATGGGACCGTTGATGAACTTCGAGATATCCGGGGGTTCGACATATCGAGGGTTATACTTTTAATGTAATTCAAAAAAACTTAGTGCAGTGAACATGCACTTAATAGTAAAACATGTCAAATTCCTTCTTGTTTGAAATTCTGTATACGATTACTTTAATATACATGTACATGTATTTAGCAATAGAAAGATTTTTACATCCTCTTTATAATTCACAAAATAAAAACATTGTATAATATGCACAGAAGTATAATCCATTTACCAACCCAGCAAGTCAGCCGCTAGCATCGTTTCCCATGTATACATAACCGGATATCGTCTACGCATTGTAAATTTAAAACCGGTCGCTGTCAGAATAACGCAAACGAAATATACAAAAAAATATTGGAGAAACATGTTCATACATGTATAATCAGTTAAAAGAAAATATTTTACCAATAATAAAATCAAATGCAAAAGAAGAAACACGCACTTTTGTCTAACAACAGAACGACACTGAATCACAGGACACTATATAGCACAAGTTTTCACTGCGACACATGCTAACATGATGGTGTGTACTGACGATATAGGAAAAATATATTCGAATTGCATTAAATTACAGAATTTTGTTTCACTTTAATGATTATAATTTTCGCTCTCATATGCATAAACTATGCAAGCGCCCAGTATTAAACATAGCATTAAATACCAATTATCAGGATAAACACACCCCAGCCACAAAACAATTAACGTGTCATCCACGCATATGCATAAGACTAATACACACACAGATGGGTGGCTGTTATCAATAGAGCGTTCAGTTTACCTAACGGACTTGATCATCAGAGAGGAAAATTACCCTGACTTCGAGATAGCGCATGTGATTTTAATGAATGGGTAGACAGTTTTAGTTCGAGATAACCGGGGTATTCGACATTACCATGTTCGACATACAGGGGTTTATTTTAATCATTTATAAAGCAAATTTCGTTGGGACCACGGCCGTACTTCGACATATCCAGGGTATTCGAGATATCCGTGTTCGAGATTTCGAAGTTTAGCTGTAGTTTCCATGTCTGTTTACTTCAAGTTCTTGGAACATGATGAAGATAAAAAAAGATACAATTAAATTGTTCACAATTAATACTTTAACAAAACACAATGTTTGACAAGAAGGATCTTATGTAACTGTTATGTACAAATATTTAATGCCCTCACCATCAGCCTGCACTCCTCCATTAATGACCGGCTTCCCTGATCCGTCCACCACACGACCGTGACTATTGACTTTCTGTACAAGATAACACTTGTTCTCATCATCGTAATCCAGTACTCCAACCTCATACCAATCATACACAATCTTGGGGTCTGTTGGGTCCACTGTCAATAAAAAGAATATATATTTACTAGTTTAAATTAATATCATGGCTTGCATATCTAAAGGAATTCCAGACCAAATTTACACAAACTGAGAAAATCATTTTGTCAAGCTCCTGATAGAGAAAGCAATGTCATCAGAAAGAGCAAACAGAGCCAAAACAATGTGCACTGATTTAAAAAACATGTGTTGAATATGTTTATCATTTTCTGGAGAACAAACGGTTTGAAGTATGTGATCTGTACTTACATTCTTTGTCGGAGTCCTTGCTGGGCAGCAGAGCTTGCCCGGGGACTGGTTTTCTGTGTCCATTATCATATCCTTTATGGATCCACTCCATGGGTGTTCTGATGTCATACTCCTCATCATCAAACAGGTAGAGGGGGAGGTAGGGAGGGAAGGGGGCAGGGTCATTAGGATCCACATTTAACTTGACTGGAAACTGACTTTCTTTGGGCATTAATTGGTCTGTTTTAATTCCCTCCGACTTTAACAGGGACTTCAAGTCTAACGTATCATATAAGCGTCTCCTCCTGCATGAAAATCAATAAAATTTATAAATAATCATTATAATAAAATTTTTAAAAATCCATATGCAGACTTTTACTTTCTTTTCTTATCACTAACAAATTCCTTTTTTATTAAATATCTTTCTATACTTCTACAGAATTTTACAATTTAAAACAAATGCAGAATCTGACCTCTCAGTTTCAATCTTTCTAGGACAGTCCCCTGGCTTTGTATAGTATGGAAGCTGCACTTTGGGTTCTGATGCCAGAATGGGGAAATCCTGAAGACGTGTGTAACAGATAATTATTTATATGTAACAGTATAAAACAAAGTCATTTCTTCAGATGGCCTGTGTTGAAATATTGATTACAGACATAATGAAATAATCCTTACTGAGATGGCTGTGATTTCTGTACTGGGGCCATACACATGACCCTTCAAGGTCTCTAATACATCTGTCTTCTCCTCAAATGCTGTCACTGTAGAATAAACAGGTATATATTTATGTAAGGAAGGTTTATTCATTGTTATTTTCTACTACTAAAAATTAAAAAAAAGTGAAAATGTAATGTATAAAATTGTGATTTAATCTATGAGCTTCCTGAAAAACTTATATCTTGTAACAATGTGCATAATGTTTATTGAATTAGTCTAAATTTAAACTATATTTAATCATTTCAAAGGCAAATCTGATTAGATGTTATGCATCAGACCTTTTGGTGTGTGTTTTTCTTTGGCAACATTCCATAAAGTGTCCTGATCTGTCAGGGGTCCTTCCAAAGCATCCTGGAACATATCCAAATGTACAGCAATGTATGAGGTGACTCAGACTTTAATGATCAACTGATCAACTTATGCCATTAAAAGTACTCTCAAGCAATTTTAATACAGGCTCAATAATATTCACAGGATTATTTTCATTAGTTTGGTAAAGAATACACCTTTTCATATATACCCTAAAGTCATTACAATAAAGTTATTGCTTTGGTTTGTTTGTTTGTTTGTTTGTTTTTTGTAAATGATCTATAGGGCCTATATGTTTTTCTTAATATTTGTCTCAAAAAGTCTTAATGAATTAACTGACAATGCAGATTCTCTAGCCGAAGATTTGAAAAGATCTTTTTAAAGAAGAAATCTAGAAAAATAACAATTTATAAATGAATATAATCAGTAGTCATTGTATTAACATTTTTAGGTGTTTTGTGACAATATTCCAATAATCCTGTAGGTCACTCATTTTTACTTACTGTAACATTTGCTTCTGTTCCAATAATATCTGAGTAGAATCCACGTTGTTTGATTTCGGGGTATTTTTGGCCATCGGCTGTAGTTTTACTTGGTGTATCTACCCGAGTTCTGTTGGCAGAAAAGGGTTTCCCACCATGGGAACTTCTGCTCATTCTTGACGCCATCTAGGTCTATTTGAAAAAAATCAAAAAATACGATGAAGCCATATATCACATTTTACCACAGCAATGCATTATTTTAATGTATTAATATAAAAATTACCTTCAAATTTTACAACTTTTCAAGCGCTGTCATTTTATCCGAATAATCGTTCTAGAGACTCAAATATGACGTTCGCCGTTCGGGCACCATTCGAGGCAACAGACATTTGATTTATTCAAATATTTCAAGATTTCGAAATGCATATTAGACTTTAGGAATGTTTCTCCAACATATGGTTAGATTAAAAAAAAACTTACCTTTGGTTTATTGATTCATTTGTAGATTGTGAAATTAAACAACAAACGACCCTCAATTTTCCTAGTTTACATTCAATATGGCGGCGTTTCCTTAGCAATTAACAGAAGAGTTCCGAAGGTACGAATACGTGTACCCGCCAATTTGAAATGAAATATGGAGCCTATACATGTATCTTCCTCCCTCTGTACATATTCGGAGAATATTCTTGCTATTCAGTTGGACACGTAATATCAGGGAGAGGGGCAGGACCGGAGGCCTGCCCCAACTTTTTTCAAACATAATCCTTTGAAAATGTTCAGTGATCCCCCCTCCCGACACACACGCACGTTTTGTTAATACAGTATAATCAAATCGATGTACATAATGTGATAAAATTTGAATGAAATTGGGCATTGAAAGAAGTTGGAACCTAGCTAGCTGTACCTACATCCCGCCCGCCCAAGAATATTTTTTTTAGGTAAGTCATAACCTAGTGTTGTCCATTTTTTCTTGCTGTCCCCCCTTCAAAAATGATATTACGTGCCAGCTACTTCCGATAATTATTATATATTTGTTGTATAATACAGGATTTTTGCATCCCTGATATGAACACGGGCACGCGCCCTGTATTACACACCCTGTATCAGCACCCTTTATTTCACCCTTTATCACACCCTTTATTACACCTTTCCGGAACATCTCTGTATTTTTCATTCGGAGTACCTCGGATCTTTTTCTATTAATTGTTTATAAAGTTTATTTAAATTGTAAATTTTCATCAGATATTTTATGCTATTCAAAATAATTATTTGTTTAATTAATAATTATTTCATTTCTTATCGCTGTATGCATTGCCTTTGGAAAAAAATAATGAGAAAGGAAATTCAACGAAAAAAAAGAACATATTCAATTATTAAGAATTAATTAATTTACAGGTTTATATATGATTTTTTGGACACTATTTTCAAATATATAATAAAAACAACAATACATGGCAAAATCTGTATCACACCCCATATCAACCCTCGACCAATATCAGCCCTCTGGCCTTCAGCCCTCGGGCTGATATTGGAGTCTCGGGTTGATATGGGGTGTGATACAGATTTTGCCATGTATTATTCTCTATTTATAATCGAATATAAATTGTCCTAGTAATAGGTTTAAAGTTATATGTCCATTATATATGCAAGTAAATCTTCTAAAGTATTTTTCTATGGTAAAATATCCAAAAATGAAACAGATCGATATGTCAGACTCTGTGGTATCTTTTATTTCAAGTTCACTGGGATATATCTGGTCGACATATGAATGGAAGTAACTATTGTGAATTGATAATACATCGTAGATAATGTCGAGTTGAAGGCCACAGCAAGTATCTTCTTCTAATTTACAAGTTTTCAAATATTTGGGCTTTATATGCATAAAAAAAATAGGTCTGCTAATAACGGGGCGCAATTGGTACCCAAGAATCTTCCGACAAATTGTTGGAAGACCTGGCCCCAAGACCATAAACTGAGAACAGACTTAAGTCAAAATTTCAAACCAATATAATTTTTGAAATAATTTTGATAATGAAACAAAATTTTCATCATATATTTGAATTTAAATGTTAAATAAAACTGCATTAAGCAAATACATTAAATAAAACTCAAGATATTGAAAATCAAATTTTTGACTTAAGTCTATTCTCAGTTTATGGTCTTGGGGCCTGATCTCCAAAAACTACATACATTTAATATCTACTTCAGAGTACTCGTGTGTACAATCAGAATTTGATTAAAAATATATAATATGTGTTTGAAAACATGTGTTTGAAAAAATGTTTGAAAGTTTTTTATTATATATATTTAATACGTATAAAAAATAATTTTACACATGTCCATTGACAAAGTAAGTAAATTTTACGAGTTCCATTTTTATTAAAAAAGCAACTGTCTATGATGTCGAAAAGCCTGGAATTTAATTTATCGTAGGGAATGGTTGTATAAAGTGTTGAAAAGTCGTACTTTCAGATTTCAGATTTTATTAAAACCAAGAGACATTCATCTCACATGCAGATATGAATATATTAAACATATACATGTGTAGTACACAATAGAACTTTCATATGAGAAAGATATAAAGTATTATATTAAGTACAAATAAATAAAGCATTTATAAATCCTTAATCTGTTTGCAATATATATATATATATATATATATTCTCAAAAGTTACACATTTCCTTTGTATTTGAGCTGGCCAACAATTTTAAATTAGCTTATAAACATTTGGACGACAGGCATATAATAGTTTTTGATGTACTTTTTTTCTCAAATTTTCATATTTTGGGCATTTAAGTTTGAAATGAAATTCGTCATCTAAAGCACCCGTAGAACAAATTAAAGATCACATTTTCTAAAATTCCTCGGTGTATCACTGAAAAAAAAAATCAACAAACAAAACAACAAAACCAGGACCCCCTTTAAAAAATCACGACATGAATGTGGCAAGACTCCTTTAACGGGATGAAGTCGGGCATAGAAAGTGAACGTGCATCCACACAATAAAAAAAATGCATAAAAAGACTTTAAATTGCATGTCTCTTTGAATACACGATAAAGATGGTCTAATATCTCATTATTTTATAATAAAGGGTGGCGACTTAATCTAAATCTTAAATAACATACCAATACACTGTTTCTTGATAATAAGATACATAATAAAAATCACATCCCATCATATATTAATTAACGTCAAAATTCAGACTTACTGTACCTCTTCTTTTCTGGACACTCAGGAATACTCAGTTCTCTACCTTTCGGGAATCCCCTCCTCATCCCCCCAGTAGAAAATGTCATGATGATATCAGTATTTTAAAATTTCGAGACTTCATATTAATTCATTGCAAGTCTTCTTTTTCTGGGCAGCCAGAATTAAATGCTGAAAAATCACCAGCTTCCGGGGGGGGGGGGGGTCCCCAACTCCACTATTTCTTATTTCTGACGGTTGATATATTCAGAATGCTTCCAGGAAAGGTGGGGTCCTGCACGCAGAATTACTGTGCAGGCCGGGCTTTGTCCTGGACCCTTTTCTTTTTTGCTTTCGCATCAAACATCTACATGTAGCTACATCCCTGTTTACAATGTGGTATACCAGTATTTTGTATGTCAGTATTAATAAGGCGTTTGCAAACATAGTTATTGTGCATGTTCACAAAAGAATTTGCACAATATTGTGTTATGAGAGTATTCTATTTAAATCTCACGTAAGCTTTGCCATATGATCTCCCGTTTCGTCTGCACGTACCCGACCTGTCACACGTCATGGAACACATTAGGACATTTTTTATGGTTGCTATGTCATACGTGACCAGGGCTGTCACTTTGGCAATTCTTTCTGACAATTATCTAACCAGTTTTATGTTTGTGCAATTTTAATAATATGTTAAGTACTCCGTCTTTCTTTTGACATTACAAAAAATGGAAGCTTTCAAGATGTGGACGATTTTTCTTGCCTGCATATTTTCAGCTTCGGGGAAGAGTCTCCCGGCCTCCCTGAGCAGAGAAGATCGCTTATTAAGGAGGATAGAGTGTTTATTGGGGAAACGAGAACTCTGCGACCAAGAACAGACCATTCTCCATCGCAGCAATGCTGAAGAAAACACGATCTACATTAACGGTAATATATACACTGTTGACGGTGAGGCATGGAGTCAGACCCCCAAGGCAGCTCTTGTTGTACAGAATAAGAAAATACAAATGGTAGGAACCAAAGAGGAAGCGCTGAAACACTTACACTGCAAAAGTACCGTAATTGATCTAAATGGAGCAACAGTACTGCCCGGGATACACGACGTTCATATACATCCTCTAGAGGCCGCTTCAAGAGTAGGAAATACATGTAAACTAAAACCAGATACAGATCCGGAACAAATGAAGGACATTTTGAAAACCTGTGCACCAAGGCAAATTGGGACGGAATGGATTCTTGGTGGCGGGCATTCTATCACAAGCATCCTGGAACATATAGAAAACGGTGGGAGACCCCCGAGAGAAATTATTGACGAAGTTCTGCCTGACGTTCCCGTTATTATGATGGAAGAGACTTCGCATTCCGTGTGGGTTAACTCCGAGGCACTCCGTAGGGCCAAAATAACCAGTGAAACCAAAGAAAGACCTGGTGGTGTTATCATGAGAGAAAAGGGGACCAACGATCCGAACGGAATTCTACTGGAGGACGAGGGTACGTCGATCATGGAGTTAGCCATGAAGCCCACACCGGTATTGGAAGAGTTGAATTACGAAGGTTTGATAAACGGATTGTCGAATCTGAATGAGAACGGAATCACTTCCGTTAGTGACGCCCGAGTTTACTGGGGTCGGAATCACGACAAGGCGTGGGAGAGAACGTGCAGCGAAGGGAAATTGACGGTACGCGCAAATCTGGCATTGTGGGCATACCCACAAAAGGAAGACAACCTACAGATTCAAACCCTCAAAGACATGTACTCAAACTACAATGAGAACTGTTTTCTGCGGAAAAACCAGATCAAAGTTTACATGGACGGCCTCCTGGACAGTACAACGGCGGCTATGGAGGAACCGTACGTGAAAAACCTGCACTTACCCGGAGTCCCAGACAACAGAGGCATTAATATCTTTGATCAGAAACGACTGACAAAATACGCAAAAGAACTCCAGAAATTTGGTGACAACAAAGGTTTTGATTTTCTTATCCACGCCATTGGTGACCGTGGGGTTCATCAAGCCATAAATGCATTTGATGACGCATATATTTCAGGAACGCGTCATCGAATTACACATTTGGAACAAGTAAAATCTAATGATATCAAACGTTTCAAGAATTTGGATATAATAGCGGATTTCCAAGTCGCTGGGGACTTCACTAAACTTTCTACAAGAGACCATATTAGATCACTTATTGGCAATGTTCGGGCAATTGATTTTATCCCCCTGCGGAGTGTTTACAACACCAGCGCCACTGTGACCTTGAGTAGCGATTGGGACGTAAGCACCATCAATCCGTTTATAGGGATTCAGAACGCCATCTCTAGAGGTCATCAGTCAGTAAGCGTTAAGGACGCCGTTGAAATGTACACAATTAACGCTGCCTTCGCCATGAGGCAAGAAAAAATTGTCGGTTCACTGGCAACAGGAAAGGACGCCGACTTCATCGTCATAGACACCAACATCATGGACCCTGTAAACGCTGACGTCATCAGCCAAACAAAAGTTTTGAGAACTTTTTTGGCGGGAAAAGAGGTATGGGCATCCGACCAAAGCCCGATTGATGATGTGACCTGTAGGCTTCTTGAAGAGTACAGTTATGGACAATGTGATACATACTGTGACAGCCTGTATTGACAGATTTGCAACCTTCCCATTGAATTTAAAATTCTTTGCTTTTTTTCCCTGCTTTTTTTTTTCTTGCTTTGTTAAATTGAAAACGGAATTTCAGTTTCAAATAAAATTGTGATGAGCATATACATGTATATTGCAAACAAAATTGTTATGAGCATATATATATTAATATTTTTATGGTCCTGCGGTTACTACTCTGGAAGGTTATTGGGTTTTACGACCCATTGACTGCGCGGCTTCAATCGTCATCTTAATAACGCTTTGCATTTTAGGGATTCTGCGAATAACCTCCATGACATACATACGATTCTTACAATTTCCATGCATGAAAGATAAAAAATAATAATAATAGTGACTTTGGGTATTGACCCTGCAATGATTGAGACGAATTACGCTACATTCTGGCAATTCGAAACATAAAATTCGCTACGGCCGCACACACACACACACAATCTATACATGTAATTAAAAGTAAGAAGCACAATGATTTTTTTTTTCTCCCCTAGATCATATCGAGAGGCAATTTTTAAACTACAGTCAAAAACCTGTTTTAAGAATTAAGCCACCTTAGGGAAATTTTGAAAATATCCATCTAAAATATTTAATGGCCTTTAATTCCAGTGTGCCCTCTAAATATATATAGCCAGTCAATTCTTGAAATATGGATAAAATTTATCATGAGTTAAATTAAATAAAAGAATAAAATAAGGCGAGTTTTATAAACAGCTTTTTTTTTTTTTAGCTTTCAACCCCCCCCCCCCCCCCCCCACTATAAAATAAAACTAAGACAAATATTTCAGTCAAATTCATCCAACAAATTGATCCAACTCAAAGCCCTGTTTTTATCTCAAATTAAATCGGCAGTATACTTACTTATTGAAGTTAATAAAATTATAATATATTTATTTATATAAAGCTGTCATAAATAAACAGACCTAAAATTAAGCCAACCCAAGAATTAAGTGTAGTTTGATATCAATTTCACACGTGTCAATACTCATGTGCAGTGAAGCTTAACTAATCCTCTCAATCATTGACTGCATGGATGTGCACAACCAGTTAATAGGGTTTTTACATAAAATCCAAATTTACTTAGAGTAAAAATATCGATAGCAAATGCTTATGTGCATCTAATACCCAAAAATTGTATCAATTATTCATTTTCCCCCATCAAATAGGTAATAATTTGCTGTATTTCTACAGTTCAACTTCAATATCTTAAAAACCATAGATTTGTGGAAGTCATTTTGGAAGTCCCAACCTTTTTTTTTATGTAGTTAACCCTCAATATCTTGAATCCTTGTATATCTTGAAGCTTTTTCTTGGTCTCATCCAGTTTGAAATAATAAGGTATGACTGTTCTTTTCATAATGAAAAAAAATTTCCCCATTTTCTCTGGTCATCCTTAAGTATTCAATGTGCATGAATAAAAAAGACTCTCGACAGGTTTTGTCACAAGAATTCCTCCATAAAAAAACCAAAAGAAGAAAAACATTTGATTTATTGTAACAAAACAGTAGTAAGAGACAACAGTAAAAAGAGCCTCTGATGAGACAGTTCTCACACACTGACAGACAGACACTTGTCAATCTGGATCACTATATAGCAGTCCTACTGTAGACAGTTCTCACACCATTACACAGACATACAGACACTTATCAATCTGGATCACTATATAGCAGTCCTACTGTAGACAGTTCTCACAACATCACACTGACACACAGGCATTTGTCAATCTGGATCACTATATAGCAGTCCTACTGTAGACAGTTCTCACAACATCACACTGACAGACAGACACTTGTCAATCTGGATCACTATATAACAGTCCTACTGTAGACAGTTCTCACAACATCACACTGACACACAGGCATTTGTCAATCTGGATCACTATATAGCAGTCCTACAGGAGACAGTTCTCACACCATTACACTGACAGACAGACACTTGTCAATCTGAATCACTATATAGCAGTCCTACTGTAGACAGTTTTCACACCATCACACTAACACACAGACACTTGTCAATCTGGATCACTATATAGCAGTCCTACAGTAGACAGTTCTCACACCAGTACACAGACACACAGACACTTGTCAATCTGGATCACTATTCAGCAGTCCTACAGTAGACAGTTCTCACACCATTACACTAACACACAGACACTTGTCAATCTGGATCACTATATAGCAGTCCTCAAGTCTATCTGGATCACAACCATTCCGGACATCAGTCAAAATCAAATGGACTCAGTCTAGCATCACTGCCATATTTACTCTTTTTCTTCTTGGACTTGCCACTCTTAGTTACCAATCGTTTCTTGGAACTAGTACCTAACAATCATGAAATTACAGTAATTAATTAATAAAAGATCAGGATTGCTTCCATACTGCTAGAATTCCAGTATGATGGGTGTACACATACCCAAATTACTTGAAACTGCACTCTTTCAAATGAATGGAGTTGTTTCAGTGTAAAAAGGGGAAGGAAAAAGATAATAGCTGGATTATGAAATCACATCTTGGATCCCTGAATTACTAATCAGGTTCTCTAACCACTGAGCCAACCAAGCTGATATCCACGGTCCATACAGTCCAAAATTACGAGCTCCTCCCTCCCTAACGAGGTTCGTTCCTGAGCTTTTGAGCAGATTTTTGTCTAGACCTCTATTTAAAAAATTCTGCATAACGTCTTAGTTCTTACAATAAATGTTTATCCTGCAATGCTTATTAAACTATATTCAATTAAAACCCCATGATTAAATTCCATACCTAAAGCATTAAGTGAGGAAATCTATTTTGTGGCGGAAGGTTTTATAGAAGAAAATGATCAATTTTTCTCTTTCGAAATATTTACAGTTGTATTGTTAAGTTTGAATTCCTATTTTTACATGCAGCCTGCATACAGAGTTTATTTTGTGCAGTGAAATGTTTTTTGCTGGTCCTAATTAACATATTAAATTAACCGTCAAGAAGTCTATCATCAAATTGGACAAATATAGCAAATATATTGTGAAAATATGGGGAAAAATAGCCCATTTTAGGCTAAAAATTAACACTGTTTTAGTTATATCTAAAAATTAACATCACAGACCCCCACTTATAATTTAATTTTCTGAATATACAAGATAATCTTAACCATTCTGCTTAAATTCAGAAAAATGTCATTACAATGTACTTTCAAATGAATTTATAGCTTGTTAAATTTTTAATGCCAGAAAAATGACATTTCTTGAGTGCAAAAAGGTCAAATAATTGACTATGCAAAGTAATTTGAAAAAATTTTTTTTGTCACAGATTTTAAAGAGACTATTCAAGATGAAAAAAAAACTGTGTTTGTTCCCATAATTTATTTGGATAAAAAATATTAGAGGAAAAACTTCGAAAAATTGATTTCTGTGTTAGACGTAATAACAGTGCAGAAAGGTCACATTAAATTCTCCGTAGCGCCAAAAGAAGAGCACTGACCCCCATTTTTGGTTTTGATTTTTAAATAAGCAATGTGTATAGATTCCAAAAATATACTTGATAAAAAAAATCTCAATACTTTTGATAACAGGATCCAACCTCCTTAAATTTTCTTTGCTCTGAAGACACACAATCCAGATTCTTTAGCCCCTGACAGGACATTCATCTTAAAGTCCAGGGGTGGTCAACAGCACCAAATACAACTAGAACTGTCCAAAAGGGACAAATACCCCCCGCTGGGTTTTTCAGAGAAAGTACCAAATCACTAATGTTTTCTAGATGTGAGAGGTGTTCACAATTTCCTTAAACATTTACAGTGAAAATTTAATTACTCATTATATATTTTTATACGTCCGTCTTACGACGGGACGTATTATGTTATAGCGTTCATGTTTGTCCATCCGTTAGCTTTTTCATGTCCGGCTCATAACTTTAATACTATTAGGCCTAGAATTATCAAACTTTGTCAGCGGATACATCTAGGGTAGAAGGTGTGTCGCACATTAAAACCAGGTCGCTCTGACCTTTAATAAAGACGCTATGGCCAGATATGGAAAAATCATAACTAGAAAACCATTAGACTTAGAATCAAAAAACTATGTCTTTTAACTTTTAAATTACACAGTCCCAAAAGATGTCAGAGTATTGCAGTATCTTTATTAAAAAAGTGTTAAATCAAGAAAATACTAGTCTTATTTTTTTTCATTATGTTCTTTACAGCAATCTGTAACAACAAAAATTCCACTTCTCCCATGGGTGTAATGATCAGGCACTGGTCAAGGAAAATTTTGATAGCAGAAAATTGCATGTCAAATTAGAGAGAAATTAATGAGTTTTGTGTGAGGAGATAACTGGTAGAGCATCTCTGATCAAGCAGGTGTTATCTACATCTCTTGGGAATTGGGCAAAAGGAATCAGTCTCTTAATTAATTGCTTGTGTTGTATTGAATTGTTCTTGTTGGCTAGTCTTACTTTCAAGATAAATTTGATGTAATTAAAACTAATTTGATACTGTATATAATAATTAAAAGTTATATGATATTGTATAATATAATTTAAACTAATTATTTATTGTACATTTTTTATTTGAATTTTTATATCTTTACAACAAATTGCAGACTGCCTTGTCTCGCTAAGATGTCATTCAAACAATTGAATTTAAACTGTTTATGATAATTTAACAATATTTGATGGGCGTATCATGCTGTGGTGGGACACTTTATTTAATGAATGAAACTAAGGTGCAGCCTAATAAAACATCAACACTAATAATTACAGTGTTTTTTATTACATTGAAACAATAGTTTGCAACTATCTGCCATCTTTGTGAGACATGACACTCTGCAAATTGATTGTTGAAAAAAAGAATATCATAATTAATTATAGAAAATCAAATTGATTTTAATACCTTTATATCAAACTCATTTTAAAAATAAAAGGCTGGTTTTAGTAACTATGTATTTGACAGACATAAATTACAAGTAAGAGACTTAGACAACAGAGATCTTTATTTCTTTCTGCCCAATTCCCCTGAGATATAGATAAGACCTGCTTGATCAGAGATGCCCTAACAGCTTCCCACACTGAACTCATTAATTAATCTTTAACTGGATGCATGTCCACTCATTACTCCCAAGGGACAAATGGATTTACACTATCTGCTGTGTAATGTAAAAACTGTTTTTAATACTTTGTGGGTTTTTTTTAGTTCTAATGAGTAGTTTTAAGCTGTAGTTCACATTTTTGTACAGATGTTCTAGATTCTATGTCTCAAACCTTAGAGATGAACCCGAAATGACTAAGTCAATAAATTAAATTAAAAAAAACAACTGTAAAATGCAGAAAAATTATCAAATAATGTTGAAAATACCAGGTGCACATCTTCATATGGTAAATAATAAGTGTACAAATTTTCATACAAATCTATGCAATAGTCTCTGGGAACAGATCCAGACAAAACCACATAATAAAAATGAAAAAAACACCTGTAAAATGCAAAATAATTATCCAATCATAATGAAAATACCAGGTGCACACCTTCATATGGTGAATAATAAGTGTACAAATTTTCAGACAAATCCTTCCAACAGTTTCCAAGAAATGGTCCGGACAAACTCTCGTCTACAGACAGACGGACAGACAGACGGACATGCTGATTCCAATATACCCCCCCTAAACTTCGTTTGCGGGGGGTATAACAAGAATTCAAGAAAATTTATGGTTGGAGTGAGAAAATCACACTCGTCCAGCCCAAAATTTCTCCTTTCTTGAAATCTTGTTGTATTGGTTCTGTGTGCCTAAGATTTAAAAGTGAAGTGCTTTATGGACTGTGGATATTGGCCTAGATTGCTCTGTCATTAGAGCACCTGACTTGGATTGTAAGTAAACATGGTTCTCCATTCCAGCTATAAACTTTCTCCTTTCCTGTTACACAAACTTCTTTTTTGTAGAAAATAAAAATCTTACTGTTATGATTGATAAATTTTCAACAAACAAAGCCACCATTTATAGTAACAACAAACAAAGCCACTTTAAAGTAACAACAAACAAAGCCAATATTTTTAATAACAACAAACAAAGCCGCGATTTATAGTAACAACAAACAAAGCCACCATTTATAGTAACAACAAACAAAGCCACTTTATAGTAACAACAAACAAAGCCACCATTTATAGTAACAACAAACAAAGCCACCATTTATAGTAACAACAAACAAATCCACCATTTATAGTAACAACAAACAAATCCACCATTTATAGTAACAACAAACAAAGCCACCATTTATAGTAACAACAAACAAATCCACCATTTATAGTAACAACAAACAAAGCCACCATTTATAGTAACAACAAACAAATCCACCATTTATAGTAACAACAAAGCCACTTTATAGTAACAACAAACAAAGCCACCATTTATAGTAACAACAAACAAAGCCACTTTATAGTAACAACAAACAAAGCCACCATTTATAGTAACAACAAACAAAGCCACCATTTATAGTAACAACAAACAAAGCCACTTTATAGTAACAACAAACAAAGCCACCATTTATAGTAACAACAAACAAAGCCACCATTTATAGTAACAACAAACAAAGCCACTTTATAGTAACAACAAACAAAGCCACCATTTATAGTAACAACAAACAAAGCCACCATTTATAGTAACAACAAACAAAGCCACCATTTATAGTAACAACAAACAAAGCCACCATTTATAGTAACAACATATAAAAGCCACCATTTATAGTAACAACAAACAAAGCCACCATTTATAGTAACAACAAACAAAGCCACCATTTATAGTAACATTTGCTGATTTACTTGTATTCAATGTCTCATCTGTGTTTATGAGGACTGAATGCATTTCTTGTATATTTGTAACACTTAACTGTCGATAGACTGTCCTGTTACATGTATTTGTAATACTGACTGTTGATGGACTGTCCTGTTACATGTATTTGTAATACTGACTGTTGATGGACTGTCCTGTTACATGTATTTGTAATACTGACTGTTGATGGACTGTCCTGTTACATGTATTTGTAATACTGACTGTTGATGGACTGTCCTGTTACATGTATTTGTAATATTGACTGTTGATGGACTGTCTGTTACATGTATTTGTAATACTGACCATTGATGGACTGCCCTGTTACATGTATTTGTAATACTGACTGTCTTGTTACATGTATTTGTAATACTGACTGTTGATGGACTGTCCTGTTACATGTATTTGTAATACTGACCATTGATGGACTGCCCTGTTACATGTATTTGTAATACTGACCAATGATGGACTGTCTTGTTACATGTATTTGTAATACTGACCATTGATGGACTGTCTTGTTACATGTATTTGTAATACTGACTGTTGCTGGACTGTCTTGTTACATGTATTTGTAATACTGACTGTTGATGGACTGTCCTGTTACATGTATTTGTAATACTGACCATTGATGGACTGTCCTGTTACATGTATTTGTAATACTGACCAATGATGGACTGTCCTGTTACATGTATTTGTAATACTGACCAATGATGGACTGTCTTGTTACATGTATTTGTAATACTGACCATTGATGGACTGTCTTGTTACATGTATTTGTAATACTGACTGTTGCTGGACTGTCTTGTTACATGTATTTGTAATACTGACTGTTGATGGACTGTCCTGTTACATGTATTTCTAACACTGACTTGAGGGACTTTCATGTTATAGGTTTTGTAATACTTACTGTTGTTAGTAGATGTAGAATCGGCTGGAGAAGAAGCATTAGATCCACCCTCCCACAAATTGTCCCTCAGAGATTGACTGCTGTCTACATCATCCAGACTGTCTATGTCTATAGGAGTGTCCTCATCTACTGGCACTCTAGACATAGAAGACATTACCGTTATTATCTCAAAGACATCTCCTAACTATAGGAGTGTATTCATCTACTGTCACCGTAGACATAGAATACATTATAATCTCACAGACTGTCTATGTCTATAGGAATGTCTTCATCTACAGACACCCTAAACATAGAATACATTGTAATCTCACAGACTGTCTATGTCTATAGGAATGTCTTCATCTACAGACACCCTAAACATAGAATACATTGTAATCTCACAGACTGTCTATGTCTATAGGAATGTCTTCATCTACAGACACCCTAAACATAGAATACATTGTAATCTCACAGACTGTCTATGTCTATAGGAATGTCTTCATCTACAGACACCCTAGACATAGAATACATTGTAATCTCACAGACTGTCTATGTCTATAGGAATGTCTTCATCTACAGACACCCTAGACATAGAATACATTGTAATCTCACAGACTGTCTATGTCTATAGGAATGTCTTCATCTACAGACACCCTAGACATAGAATACATTGTAATCTCACAGACTGTCTATGTCTATAGGAGTGTCCCCAAGTACAACAGCCTAGAAAGATGACATAAAAATTATCTATCTATCAGAATCTACTTTTTGCAGTATAACAGCGAACACAAATGAGTTTGCAAGGGATTCTTGAAAACTAGTCATTTTTAAGCGCTAAGCGCAGCGCAAAGCGCTAACTGGCATCTTAATACTACTTCCGTTCGCGATCCAGCGCCACTATGCAAGTTAGATAACTCCACTGACTCTTTCTAAAAATATGCAACTGGAAACCCCAGACTCTCTTTCGGCTATTTTGGTCAAGTACTTCGTTACGCGCAGTTCTAATTATAGGTGTCAATAAGAGAGATAAATTCAATGAAATCCGCTCCTAGTGGATGAGGGTGGTTCTTATCTCTTTACATTGTAGTTCATTTAAAAATTATGTAGGCACACACCACTTGTGTAACATATAGCTAACAGTTACTACAGTGTTAATTCGAAAAAGTTATGAAAAAAACATCTTTTGTGCAAATATCTTAAAAAAGGGCTCATAATAGGTCATGTAATGCAGTGATTGAATACGTACATATTTTTAAAACTCAGGAAATTGATTTACAATGTACTTACGTTCTATATAATTTATATCCATACTAACTCATATTTCTTCTAGACCCTTATTTCAGACAATGTAACTAAAAACATGTCTTTTTATTATCACCCTTGCACCATGTACAGCGCTATCAATTATGTTGAATTCCACATCTCAGTATCAATTAATAACAGACTGGAATGCAGTCATGGACTGTCTATACTTGAGTTGTAATCTACACGTGTAACACAGATAAAAAATATTATGAAATATGTGGAGATAACGAGCCGTATTCGAGCTCAAACGTCCATTAAACATTACAAAATAGGAGCGGAGCAAACACGGACCTCTAAAATTATGTAAATAATTCGCAAGAAAAGGCAGTTTGGGGCTGTACAAACATGTAGGGCACAAAGACTTATAAATGAAAACTAATTTCTCGGAAATATTTATGAAAAAGTGTGCAGTGCACAAGATATGGCGTAAAATGCAAAACCTTAATTATTTTCAGTATTCCGTTTCACCGAACACACCAGTGCTGTGGAAATTTTATTCCTATCAGGATGCCATTGAATGTACTTCTTATAAAACCCTTTCTATAGAATCGTAAATTTATAAATCTCTTATGAATATGCAAAAAAAAAATGAAGTCTACTAAAAACAATTCAGACAAAATATTTAGTTGTTTTAAGATCTTTTATTCTTAACTTTAATAAAAATATTATCAATTAGGAATTATTTTATCGAAGCAGTAAAAAATTACATCTATTTTTGGGTGCACTTCTTACAGATAAAATCACAGTCAACAGCCAATCTTCAATCTGAAAAACTCATGAACACGGAATGAATTTATTATTAAAAATTTTTAGCTGTCAATGTTGCACATTAATGAGAGGAATATATCAGTGACATTTTCATATTTTCAAAATTGATCAAAATATACATTTTCCAGCAAATGTATAGCTATATGTATAGTCTGAATTTTCTTGGAAAAATCGTCGAATATAACTAAGTGTAAACCGAGGCACCCCAGGAATCCAAGAAGACGAGTGTCGAACCTTTCAATTTTTTATATACAGAAATATTATATATAATTTTTTGAAAGTCCTAATTACATCGACTTTTATATTTTAAAAAAATGTATTCAGACCCACCTAGAAAAGCACATAATGCACAAAATATACAATCCTAAAATCCAAGCGCCTATGGTTGAATACACCGCAATATCCATCACTGTGGGATTTTTAAAAGCTTATTAAAGACTCTTTTAAGACACAGGAGAAAGAAGTGCTCTTGAAATATTTTGCCTAACATTGACCATGTTAACAAAATTTAAGAGAAACTATATGTAATTGTCTTATTATATTTTTATAGATACTTTACTGATACGAAGTATTGTGGTTAAGCCATTTTAATTTGAAGTTTAGCAAAACGATTGGCTCGAATTTTCGATAAAATTTTCTCTCTTTTTTGTGTAATGTCTTTTCGAGAATTTTTCACTCATATTGAAACTTCACCACTTGACTGAATTTAAACCTATGGTCGGCACTTATGGCCTTTGAACAGTGAAAATCTTTTTTGTACTAACACCTACTGTGACACAGAACCTCGGTTTATACAGTCTCATCCAAAGGACCGGTGTTTACATGTACTTCCCTTTGTGGGATTCGAACTTGCGTCGTATGGATTCGCATAATTGTAATGATGTAAAAAAAAACATACTAGATGGGAGTGCTGCTCATAACTGTAAACTAGCTTTTTGAGGAACACCGGGGCGAAGAGTAAATTTGGATTGTGCACATTGCTCCAAATGAACGTTTTTCCATAATAACTTCTGGAAATGCCATTTAACACAAATAGACTTTTTTTTTCCATAACTGCAGTATTGCTCTTTCGTGCGATAAACAAAGTAAACTTATAAAAATGAAAAAAAATTAACAGACTTGCTTTAATGAAATTGTATAATAAATTTCACTCTCTTTGTGAAATAACGATGTATAACGACGTCATGTAATGACACAGTCTCGAACCTTCAAATCTATCCTCATGCGGTTTAAAGAGGCGGATACAAGTTTTATTTTAAAGTGAATATGTATCAACAGCTGTGCATGCCCCAGCGCTTGCACTGTCAACTTATTACTTATTCCAATACAACAGGCAATTTGAATTCAAAATAAATCTGAGTTTCAAATTGTAAACATTGTGTAGCGCTTCTCAGTACTTTCAGTACTTTGATTTAGTTTGTGATCAAAGTTAAAATTTGATGTTATATGCATAATACCTGTAGAAAACATTATGATTGATAAAGACATTTTCCTGTCTGCCAGCAATACCCATTCAATAACAGCTAATCAAAGAACAGTAACTCTGACAGGAAACCAAACTCATCAGACCTCTCCAAGTCATGCACAGATTTTCCAAAACAGACCCAATTTCTGAAACATGTAAACTCCTCAAAATAACAAACAACAAACTTACGACTGGCCCAGTAGATATTGTCGGACTTTTAATCTCTGATCATCGGTGTGCTGGTGACATTTCTGAGATCTGAAATAATTATTTTACCTGTGTATAAATCACATAAAAATACAGTTACTGGTGTACCAATTCTTTACAGGGCTTCCAATAATTTTGAAGTGAAAAGATGAATTTATTCATTTGAAGAGGCTGTTTAAGAATTATTTCGAATAGATTAATTTGCCAATGATGAAATCATTGAAACAGTGAAAAATTGCCTCTTGTCTGGAGTTATGCTCAGGACACGATGTAGTTACGATATCGACAGCTTACTTTTTTATAGTTTGCTATAATATTTCTCTATTCTTGTGTGTATAACAGAATACTTTCTGTTTTAAGAAGTTTTCCTTACTGATAATATCCACAATATCATACCGATATCGAATCATGATTGTTCAAAAGATTATGGTTTCCACCCTTAATATTGTGTTTTTTAACGTGTGAGTTACTTGAAAACTATCACTTCTAAAACTTTCCCTGTAGTGTCGATATCAACGATATCACTTCGATATCGAATCTTAATTGCTCAACCCTTGGTACATGTAAGTACCGTCCCTATTAATGTGTATGTGTGTCTATGTTTAATAATTTTACCTTCATGAAGATTGTACTTGCCATTGATATCGTTGATATCAACAACATCGTATCAATATCGAATCATGTTTATTAAAAACATAATGCTTTACAAACTTTAACCCTAACACAAAACCTTACTTTTAACCTAACCTAAAACAATAACTGCTGTAATTCTTAATCCAATACTAGTGCATATGTACTTTCTGATTAATAAGTTGACCCTTTTAACCTAACCTAAAACAATAACTGCTGTAATTCTTAATCCAATACTAGCGCATATGTACTTTCTGAGTAATAAGTTGACCCTACTGTCGATATCGTGTCGATATCAAATCATGATTGTTAAAAACATATTTACCAACTTTCATCTTTCATCAATATCGACATCGATTGTGGCCTTGTAAAATTATGGTATACCTCATTTTGAAAATGAATTGTATACGATATCATCATGGTATTCTCAATATTGACGACATCGACATAGCACCAAGTCTCAAATATATGGTATCAAGTATTTCCAATTAATAGTACTGATCAGGATTGATATCGATACGATACTGACATAATAATGTCAATATCGTCCATATCAACATCGAATTCGTTCTTGGATATGTATGCATGTCTGCCTTTATTGAATGTCCTGCTTAACATGTGTAACTGATTTTCTTCACATTCCTATACAGCTAGCCTAAGATTTTTTCATTTATTTCACAGCTTTATGTACTTAGCACAGAAAATTTATTCTCGTCATATACATTAACGTCTATGTAAACAGGAATCTACTTGTAAGGGTAAGGATAGGAACATTATTTATAGGATAATCATCAGCATTCTAAATTTAAATGGTGTTAAAAAAACCTGCTTACTTGGCACACATTTTCTTTGTGTGTTCTGATATCACTCCACATGTCTGTGAAAAATAAACAATGGTTAATTAATTAATTAATTAAGCACTCAGTATATAAATCTTCATGTTTTGGATTTTGTCCAGTAATTCTTTGAAAGATCCTGTGTAATAAAATCAATGCAAAATTACTTCTAATGAAGAATGATTCAAGATATTTACAAAGATTGTCCACTTACATTAAATAAAATCTGTTTCCTTTCTTCTACAATAAGATAAAATGCAACATTAAACCAAATGAAACCAAAGGAATTAGATCTCAATCTGTTAACGATCACCAATGATCAGTTCCATATAACACTGATGAGACACTGAAGTGTCAGACAGGTATGTTATGATAATGCAGCAGAGTTTCGCAGGTGAGGGGAATACTTTGAGACAGGTATGTTATGATAATGCAGTGTTTCCTAGGTGAGGGGAATACCTTGGGACAGGTATATTATGATAATGCAGTGTTTCCTAGGTGAGGGGGATACCTTGAGAAAGGTGTGTTATGATAATGCAGTGTTTCCTTGGTGAGGGGGATACCTTGAGACAGGTGTGTTATGATAATGCAGTGTTTCCTAGGTGAGGGGGATACCTTGGGACAGGTGTTCGTAGTTCAGACCAGGCTCAGGTGTAGCAGATCTGTCAGAACTGGAGTCCCCTGTCAATCAAATAAAATCATCTTGTAGATTATTGTACAAAATGAGTTACTAGGATGGTCTCTTACATGTAATGTTTGTAATCAGAAGATGATTCTAAGGTACAGTACACCTATATATACAACATCCAGAATGTGTATTTATCTACAGCAGTAGCATTACTTTTATTTTTTTTCCTGACTTACCATTTCTGTGAAATCTGTTAAATTTGTTTCTTCGTGGGGAATGAGTGCTTTTATCCTTTTTTAATTTTTTTACTGTGGAAAAAAAATCAATGTTTTAAATCAAAGTTTTTGAAAATAAGAAATAGAAACCTTACAAGAGACACAACAAAATTATTAAAATGTGTTGATAACTAAAGTCAGGGGCTGACAAATCCCATTGCCCGACGCCCGGGGCTAGTGAATTTTAGGAGAGGGCAAGTGAAATTTTATCAACCACTTGCCTGTGGGCAAGTGACTTTTAAAAAATAAAATAAATATTTAAGTCACAGATTTAATTTTGGGCACAGAGGATTGCATGTTCTACTCAGTATTTTTCTTGCTATTTTGTGACATATATATAAATACAGTATTAGTCTATGATTGGGCAAGCAAAAATTCAGGTAGGGCAAGTGAATTTTCACCATACACTTGCCCTTGGACAAGTGCCTAAAAAATCTATTTGTCAGCCCCTGCTAAAGTTGATCCCAAATAAAGCTCAGTTAATGATGATACTGACTCTTTCTGTCGACATGATAACTCCAGTCTAGATCATTATCATCATCAGCACTATCATCTCCCAACACTGACATCCGACTGAAAAAAAAAAATTTACTTATTAAAAAAAAATAAAAAGGATCAGAGCCCTATAAAGCAAGCCAAACAGCTTCTGGTGATATTTCAAATCTATAATACATACTACAACATTTGAAATTACTTTTACTTTACAGATAAGTTGATAATACATGTATGTAGGCTACATGTTTTGGGTACAAACCTTGATTCATTCTCCTTAGCCATGGCAGCCTGGCGCCGATTGGCAATACGAGAGCTATTTCTTCCCATCCCCATGCACTTCTCTAAGTGGGGGGCAAAGCGGGAGGCAGCCAGATTTCTTTGACAGTTAGGACACACGCACTCAAATTGTTTCTTTGTTGGCACATGTCCAAATACGTCCACACCTGGTCGATCCACCAATTCTGTGTCAGAATAAAAAAAATAGGTCTGTATAAACAATTATTCTATAGTCTCTCTCTCTCTTTTTCACATTTCTGGAATTTGACAATCTGGAAGATGTAAAATTAAATTTAAGGAGCCTCAGAACTTTTGAGAAATGAACAGATAAGAACCATAACTCTACAAAATACCAATAAAACCCTGGTTGGAATCAATATTACATAAGAGTGCAGGGTTTGACACTAAGGCACATCCGACCAACCCAGTCTAGTAAATGAGTGGTCCGGTCGTGTAAAATGTTCGTGAACTAGACCGACTGGTCGTGTGTATGAAATAAATGATAACCCTCATTTCAGTCTTTCAAATAAATATTCTACAAAGTTTTTTTTAATTTTTATTATTTTTTAAAATTCTTACTTGTCTGAAAGTAAACATCACCCATCGCTCTGTAAAAGAAAACTCCCCCCTCATGACACAATTGCTATTTTTAGCCCGGCTGTAATAGACAAGTTGCGATGGGAACTAACTTCGTTCAGTATTTAAAATTAGTATGAAGTTATTGAATGATATATTCTTTAATTCACAATGTATTTATATTTAGGATAATTATTTTTATACTAAGTTCATTGATTGTTCCCTAATTAAGGCTTATAATATTTGTGTGTCACACTTAACCCAACTTAATCAGGCTAGTGACCTATGGAAGAGTCTGTCAATATATATCTTAACAGGTGCAAGAGACGGTATCTTTATTGAAGTATGGTTTAGAAACTTTTTTCCATTATAATTAGCAGTTTACAAAAAGTGGATTTAAGTTTGGTCAGGGCTAGTGATTTTATGGTCAGGGCTAGTAAAAATTATTGGAAGTTGCCCGACTGGTCTAGTACCCTAATGTAGATTTTCCGTAAGATCCGTGGAATTCCATAACAAATTCCGTGGAATTCCATGGAAAAAGTGTTCCATGGAATTCCAAGGAATTCTCGAGAGTATTGGGACAGAACTTTTTCGGAATGGTATGGAATTTCAAATCTAGCCTGGAAAAGAGCGGAACAATGCCAGAATAGAAATTTGCGGAAATAGCTGGAAATCCATGGAATTCCAGGATATTTGGAAATCTATGGAATTCCACGGAAATCCAAGGAATTCCAGGAAAATACAAAAAACTGGAATAATCAAAATAATTTAAGGGCCAAATAATTACAACAAAAATGATAACATCACAATTTTTCATAAATCAAGTCTATATTTTCAAAATAAAAAAATTATTTTTGCTGTACAATATGTTTGGGGACAAATATTGCATACACACTTCTATGTATAATGTAAGCACAAATTTTAAAAAGTATTATCACTGAAAGTATTTTTACATCAAAGGTTATTTAAACAATGTTAAAAATCCACAGAAAAATATCATTACTGGATGATCACCTTGGTTTAATTAATGAGAATTATTATAATATACATGCATGTACATGTAGTAAATTACAGTCTGCATGAGAAACAAATGACTTTTGGTTAAAGAAAATCCTTTGTACCTAATCTCAAACATATGACATTTTTTTGATAATAAAACAAAATAGATTTTAAAAAAACCCATTAATTATGACCTTTTGCTTCATTAAATGACCTTGGGAAAGGTCACTAAAGCCTTAACAGGGTATATTTGCAACATTTGTATACAGTTACAATGATCTTCCAGTGGTCCATATACATTTACCATACAAAGTTAATGACTAGAGTGACAAACATAGGTATTAAGTACACAAATATCTACTACACAACTATATTTGGAAGATCCCATAAAATCAACACATGCTATTTTTTCCCCCAACATGCCCCAAGATCCTACTTCTGAAGTGTTGGCTAGAATCACTTCCTCACTGGTTCTGTTAGAGGGTGGTCAGATAATTGGTGTCATGAATGGATTCACTTTTGGTACGACGGCTTCAAAAGCTCAGCAAGTTTGATGTTGATCATTCCCACACTTCAAACTTTTCTTGCTCAATTTCTGAAAGAAAAGATTACCATAAAGATGTATGATATCTACAAATTGTTGATATCCATTGGAAGGCCTTCTCACAAGGAAACACCTAATGAAGTATGAAAGCCAAACCTGAATCCCCTTCACTCAAGGATGTTTTGTGACAAGTTTGGTTGATCCTATGGTTCTGAGAAGTCAAAAATGTAACACCAAACACTGATCAGAAAACTCACTTGAGCCTTGAGCTCAGGTGAGCTAAAAAGAAAAGGTTAGAACTTAAGTGTATAAATAAAGAGACATGATTGTGTCTAAGTTAATTAACCTTGAATATGAGAGAGAACATTGTAAATTACATAAACTATGTACTGTTAAAAACATTCAGCAAATAAAGTTAAGGTATGAAAAAAAGTACATGCACATTAGTAAATATAATTTATATACCATATAAAACATTCAGTTTTGCCTTGTCAATGGGTCGTCTTTTGTCTCTTAAGCTTCTGATTAAAAGCACCCTGAACAGGAGTTTGGACGCCTATGCTGCCTTTGATATATTATCCTCCATATTTGCAAAATCTGTTAACTGACCCTTGAAAAGAGGAAAAGACAAATTTATATGCATATGCAGTTGCTTTAAATGCATATTGGCATATTTACAATGTAACAAAAATATAGACAAAGCAAATAACATAAAGTGAATATATAGAATACATTTGTTCTACTGGCTTCAAACATGCAAATACATGTACATATTTTTTTTTGAAAAATTAAGGAAATATTAAATAAACTGTTATAAATACATGTAACTTCCATGCATCAACAATTCAGTATTGAAATTAAAAAAATATTTGAAAGAGTGATGTCTAATGTTTATAATAACTGGCTAACATTGATAAACACATAATTTCAATTCTTTTGATTTTATTGATTAGGAAAATGATTAAAAAATCTGACCTTTGTGTAAATTTCCATACAGCTCTGAGCTCTTGTCCTTTTTGTGAGCATTCCTGTAAATAATGCATGCATAATTTTATGTCATAGAGTATAGTCATTTTTAATATTTCAGGGATAGACATTTAACTTTCAGATTCACTTGCCGTTTGGGCAAGTGATCTCAAACTTTGACTTGTCCAAATGCAAAACTTGGTTGCCCACAATTAGGAAAGAATTTAAGAAGAAAATTATTAATAACTGTAAACATTATGATAAGAAAAAAAAAGAGGCTGCCAACATTGAGCATGGAAGAGAATTCCATAATATCACTGCATGGGGGGGGGGGGGGGGGGGAGCTTTATTTAAATTATCTGTGCAAGCACTAAAGGTGTGAAAGTAATGAAGTCTTGAAATGCCTTTGTTGGTGGTAGTCTGTGAAACTAAATAGAGGCTTGGGTCTACCGCAACTAAGCTGTGCACAACTTTATATCATATTGAGCATTATTAGTCTACCACGTTTCTTCTGCCTTGTAAACATGGTAAAAATTGCCAATTTAGATGTTGCATCATGTTGGAGACATTAATAGTGTTATGATGTGTGTGTACGATGTAACATGGACTGTGGTGGCGCAATTGGCAACGTGCCACTCGCATATACAGCGAGGTCTAAGGCATGTACGAACGGGAGGAAATTCGGGTTGAAATCCACACATTGTTCAAACATATTTTGATAAGCGATGTTTAGAGTTGTACTGACTTGTACAATAATTATTACAGAAATGAAACTGCGCTCGCCCTAATGGTTTCACCGTCGGGCATTCTATGTGTGTGGTGCCCAGACTGAGGAACAGTAGCAGAAGCAATTATCCATTCAACTTCAAGGACACATAAAATACTGTACATTGTACCTACCGGGTCTTAAAATGTCTGCATCTTTTGTCAAAGTACAAATTCCATTCCAAGCTAATGATGACAGCAGTTCCCTTCTTCGTGACACTCTCTTTTCTTCTGTCCAACAATACAACATGGCAGCCGAATTGTTGAATTTTGGCGGGCTGTTGTTTAAATTAATTGTTCATCGAGCCCGACATCGATCCCGACGTAATTGTACTATGAGCCGACAGTTTAAGAAAAAATTCTAAGTTATTTTCCACAGCTTTCAAGAGCAGAAAATGTCTAAGTTTATCATTTTATCAGCTTTTCCATAGATTTCCACAACTTTCCAAGCCTCAAAATGTCTAAGTCCAAATTTTTTATTCAAATTCCAAAAGATTCCAAAAACTTCCAAAAACACTTTTAGACTCTTGTATGGAAATGTTTGGAATTCCATGGAATTCCAAAACTTTTCCAAACCCTTTGGAAAATCTACATTAGGGTACTCATAAAAGTTAATGTCAAACCCTGGAGTGTGCTACTATTGCCCAAGAGGAACACTGGATTCTTTACCATGTAGCAAGGGAAATTATGTTTGTAAGTCTGCTAATAAGTAATTTGAGTCATAAAGTAATTACTTACCATGCTCTCTTTGTGACCTGAAAATTCAAGAAAACAAAATTTATAATGCTTAAAAATAATGATTTAATAATATTCATAGGATTTCTAAAGACATACATCTAGCAGGTAAAGTACATATCATTACCACAAGATGTGCACATTGTGCTCATTCTTTGCTTATCAAAGCAACAAAAACATGGAAGATCTGTAATTTTATAACAAAGATTTTTTATTCGATTCAACTTGACAACTTACTTGGGATCGGTATCGCCAAGGAAAAGTGTGCCATGTTTACAGGCTCGATGAACTTCAAAACACAGCCCCAGTGTGACATCATCGATCAACTCGTACATAACATCTGACGCCAACGTCTACAAATCGACAGTTATCAAACTTTCAAAAATGAGGTACTAGTAGATACCATCATGACTCCCAAAAAACAAAACATTATATTAAAAACCCAGGTAACGCAATCATGGCAATTTGAAGATTTGCCAGCAAAACAGTCAACCTGCAGATAATGCATGGGATTCATTAGTGAGTTGTTGAATGTTAATGAAATCAAAACACTGTTTTGTTATATGGAATACAAATCAATAAAATAATTATTGATTGTGTTTTGGGGCAACACTGATTATGTTATGATTATGCCCCCTCAGGACAAAAATATTGCCCTCCACTCCGCGTCAGGCAATATTTCATCCTATGGGGGCCAACATAATCAATGTTACCCTCAACATGCTCAACCCCAGTCAATATCTGCATAATATGAAACTTTACAATTTAGCTTAATGTTGACTCTATTAATAATTAACTTCTTTCTTGTCTTTTTTATCTTCATGCATGTATATGCATGTAATTACCCATGCGCACCTCATAGTCAAAAACAGACCTGCACCCTGCAACACGCTCAAACTCTGACTAGGCCCTATATATATTAGTACCCCCTCCACCCCACCCCACCCCCCCCTTTTCAGATTTCTCAGCAACACACATCATGGAATACTGATCTTATAAGAATCAGATCCAATTAAAAAATTAAAGGAAAAAGAACTGTCTTGTATAAGGTACAACCTCATAGTCTAGATCACCGTTCAGGTGACTGAATGGTAGCGAATCCATCAGCTGGATCCACAGGAAGTCATCGACAAAGTTATGCGCATAACAATGCGCGCGTTGGGAAGCCAGGAGCGGATCTGATAATTTATTGACTAGATTCTTTAACGACGTAAAATTAGTCCCAACCTGTCCCAGGTCCGTAGCAACGGTTTCAAGGAGGGGAGGGGGGGACTCCAAAAAAAAAAAAAATCTGACGAGCAAAAAGAAAAAAAAAAAGAAAAAAAAAAAAACCTAAACTGACCAAAACTGGAGGGGCCAACTTTCCAAAATTATCTAACAAGCAAAAAACAAACAAACAAACAAAAAACAAACAAACAAAAAAACAAAAAAAAAACCACCTAATTTACTGTCCAAATCCTGCAATTTGACCTTACAACGGCAAAGTGGGGGGGGGGGGTGGGGGTGGGGTGGGGGGGGGCAACCAGTATCTAAAGGAAAATTTACTAAATCAAAATACTTTACTCAGAAAAAAAAGGGGGGGGGGCAAAATTAAAGTTGAAAAATGAAAGTACTGAAACACCGAAGCCGGCCTGCTACATTTAAATAGCATACATATTACGAATACATTTTAAAGGTTGAATTTTAAAAAAAGTAATAAATTAAAGAGACACGGTGAGGTAAAACCGTCCTGAAAATTGGAAAAAAATGGAATTTTTGCATGGTCTTTGTAAATTTTAATAAATCAGACACACTGGGACTGGTATGACCTATGATATGGATTTTACTACATGTATGTAATATCCTCTATATATAATCTCTTTTATGATTCTGTCGATTTATGATTTAAATATGACAGTTATTTCTATTAAAGGTTCAGATTATAGTAAATGAAAGGGACCTAAAAATTTCGAGATCAAAGTTGATAATGAATTTCTTTATTATGCTGCTTAGTGACTATTACTTATATTTAATTGACAACGGGTATCCATCTTACTTTCCACATGGTATAAAATTGAATGCCATGACATAATTCATATTTAATGTGTCATGTGACGTGATGTGTATTTTCTGTTCAGGTCATCTGTTCTGTGTCAGACTAGCTGCAGAACTGTAGCGTTATGGCTTTATAGTTTAGTCTTTGACCATAACTTGGTGGTCGAATTATGGTCAAAGACTAAAATATAAAACCAAAAACGCTACAGTTCTGCAGCTAGTGTAAGACATGCAGCTGGTGTTGATGAATACAGTAGGCCAACAGCTTTCACAGTAGAATTGTCATAGGACTGTTGGCGTTTATTCAGCACGGTCCGAGTGTATCAATTCATGTAATCACGAGAGAGCACTTTAAACCAGAATTATTTACATGTACAGAAAATGCTTGTTACCAAATAAGTTTTTGAAACAAACCTTTGTACGTGCATTTAATAGAATACTTCTAAGATAATCATAAATACAAGTCATTTGATAAAGAGTTTGGGTTTGACAAGCTGAAGTGAGACTCATTGAGATGCAATCTAAAGATATACATATACAAGTCGATAAAAAAGTTATCGACAAGTTTAAAAGAAGCAGTTTGTTTTCCCTAAACTTTGTTCAATACATTCCATATTTGGGAGAAAGGGGAGTGATATTCCGATCTTAGATAGTTTGGTTTGAATTTGACGAAATAAAAAATTTAAAGAAATCAAATTACGCTTTATTGCTGAACTTGCAAAGTGTGCATTCCCCTTCTCCACTTCAAAATTACAATATATACAACCAATAAAGCATAAAAGAACTGGAAAAAACCCATCACCAATTCGAACATTTCAGCGATTTCATATGCATTTTGATTACAGAAAAAATTTTAAGCTTATAGGAATTTTTTAAAATTATGATTTAAAAAAACTAGATCTTGTCATTCTTTTATTAATCCATTTTTTAAAAGCATATTTACTGAAAAAGAAGCAAATTCAGAGGAATTTATGCCCCCTCCCCGCTTCAGGAAAAAAGAAGAGGGCGGAAGAACTAAAAAAAATATATATATGCAGATGGAGATCTAGAATTTAAGAAAAAAGACCAACCTTTACCTTTTAGTCTGTGGGCCTTCAAAGCAATAACGGTCAATTTATTTGTTAAAGAAATTCATGACCTTAAATTTCATTGCAAAAGCTTACAGACAACTAAATTTAAGCTATCACCTGAAATATATGTACCTGTATGAAATATATAAATTTCTGACCTTGATATTTGAGCTTTTTGACCTCAAAATCAAAAGGGTTTTTTTTAAAAATCATATTGACTAAACGTTCAAAATTCCATTGCAAAACTTAAAAACTTGCAAAACTTAAAAAAAAAAAACTGGAAACCAATTTACGCAATATATAAAATTCTGACCTTGACCTTTTGACCCAAAAATCATCAGGGATATTCTTTAAGTCATTTGAAGTTATGATATTAAATTTCACAGAAAAGTTTCAAAGAAAAACTAAAATCATCTGGAAACCATTTTTTGCAATATATAAAATTTTGACCTTGACCTTTGACTTCTTGACCTCAAATCAATAGGGGTCTTCTCTAGGCCATAGTGAGTTGTGATTTAAAATGTTATTGCAAAAGCTTTTTAAAATATCGTACCGAAACGAAAGTGTCACACAGACAGAATGTATGAGTTTCTGACCTTGACCTTTGACCTTCTCACCTCAAAATCAATAGTGGTCTTTCAAGGCCATAAGGAGTTTATGATATGACATTTCATAGGAAAAGCTCAAAGGCTTTTTAAGATATAGTCCGGAAACGAAAGTGTTATACTTTGAATTTCTGATCTTGACTTTTGACCCCAGAATCAATAGGTTTCTTTTTTAGGCAATAGGAAGATGTGATATAATATTTCATTGTAAAAACTAAACGCTTTTTTTTGAAATACCGTCCGGAAACGAAATTTAAATGTTACACTACAGGTATCTTATCCGCTCTGTTCTCCACTACATATATAAAAATTTTATATTTATTTTGTAGTATAGAGAACAGAGCGCGGATAAGATGCCCCTGTGGTTACACACAGACAGAATGACAGACAAACAGATGGATGGACGGGCAAACCCAAATTAATATTTCCGAGTATCTCCGATATACTTTCAGTGAAAGTGGGAGACAATAATAGCCTATGACATTACATGAGGATGGCGATACATCTATGTGTTGGCTACATCTGTTGCTAGATCAGGTGTTGTACATGCATTAACGAAAACAAAGCCACCTAAGTGTTATTTTTAATTCACTATACAACATATTATACATGCATTGAACTCTTTAAAATGGTCCAGAAATAGTTTTTTGTATTGTCTGTTTAATTACGACGTGGTACCGGAAGTGCCTCTGTAAGTTTTTGTTGGACTCTGCACTTCCGACTGGTAACTTTGAAAACACGATTAAATCGATTTAAAGCACCTAAAAACGGAAAGCGTTTCTTCTGGTATGCAAGTGTCCCCTCGAAGACAACCGCAATAACATTTTCAATTTGAGACCATGCGTGGTTCATCCCTAAAAGCACTTCGTTTATGTCGTCACCATCTTTCGGTATTGACAAGATCGCCAATACCGAGCGGCTTTTCTTAATATTCTCATACAGTTGGACTTCCCGAACGTCGCCGAAATCTTCATGAATTGGTGGAACAAAACACTCGTAGCCACTGTGTTGAAGATACCCAAAGATGTCAAGTACATACTGGATAATATCTGAATTTGTATCGTTAAACAGAAAATAAACATCATAGCAATAATGTCCGTTCTTACTTTTTGTAAAACGACTTTTTACCATTATGGCATAAAACCTTAAAACTTTGACCATAAATATGGCGATCAAAGCTGTAGCAGGAATGAGAAACAAAGTGAAAAATGTTTTGTCGAATTCATTTTCTAAACAACTGTCAAACGCTATCTCGGCATGAAGAATACCATGCGAATCTGTTCGACACAGTAGGGGATTTGAACTATTGACCTTTGACCCTAATCTCCATGCTCTGATCCATTTTTCCTGACAACTACATGGCACGCTGTTTGTTCCAAACCAGATCATACTAGCATCAATGTCTGCAAATCCTGGAGTGAGTTTTGGTAGACTGTGGTCCGTAATGTACAGCTTTTCCAGGATTTTAAGTTTGGGAAGAACTGTGTCCGATATCTCTGTGATTTGGTTCCCGGATAAGTCTAAGACGGTGATATTCCTGAGATAGTTGACAGGCTTTACTTCTGTAATGGCGTTGTTGCTGCAGTTCAGTTCTATGTTGTAAATACTTTCAGGAAGATATGATGGAAGACTTGTGAGATTTTGAAAAGAACAGTCCACAATCATCCGATATCGACTAGGTTGTTCTGCACACGAACAAGATGAAGGACAAAAATTCAGATTTGGACATACAAACATATCTAATAACGAGGAATCATTAAATACATTTAAAATATTGAAATTCTTCAGATTCTCGGGTGATGAACAGGAATACAAGCCGTCGTCTGGTAAGTAATAAAATCTTTTAAACACCTCAATATCTCCGATCAATACAAGCCGTCGTCTGGTAAGTAATAAAATCTTTTAAACACCTCAATATCTCCGATCAATAGCGCTCCCAAAGTACAATCACAAGTCAAGTTTCTCAAACGTTAATTTGCCAATTAGTTCATACTGGTGCAAATTTCGAAGCGACTCAATGCTAGATCCAAATATTAACTGAAATGGGTGTTGATTCATGGTAGAATTGTTAAGCACCACCTCTCCGCCGCCATATTGCATCCCTGTTTGTAAGATATTCTCTTTTGTTTTCACGAAAGTTATATTACACCTAGCCAGTGTGATGTTGCAAAAGGTCCTACGCTTAAAGTGAACATTGGACAAGTCATAAGATACGAAATTATTGTTTGATAAATCCGTGACAAAAATTTAATTTAAACAATATTTTATTATGATTAAACATAACTGGATTGGACAGCAGGCACTGCCTATATAAGTCCTCTCCACAAAAGTTTCTATCCCTGCCTCCGTGAAAGTGTTTGATCCTACCGTTTTTATGTTTGTATTTGTCAGAAAAAGAATGCGCAAGTTAGGCATTCCAGAAAAGGTTTCATTGGATACAGCTGAAATCAAATTGTCACTTAAATCTAAAAAGTCAAGAAGATTCATGCAATTAATTCCTTTAATGCTTTGAATTCTGTTTCCTTTCAGCCTCAGAGTAACCAGAGTGTTGCTAAATTCACACAAATTGTCTGGTAGCCATCTCATTCTGTCATATTCATGAACCAGCCAATGAAACAACGAAGAGGAGTCATTTCCAACAATACTCGATCTTCCGAGCGAATTCACGTACTCCACAAATAAGGGGAGATAACTGATATTCGGATCGAGCTGCCAGATAGATTTCCCCTCACAGGCGCAGCATCCTTCGTAATCATCAGTGTCTCGGGGGAGACAGACATCTGGACAGAGGACGTTTGGCTTTTCCAGCCCAGTTTCCGATTTCCAGCTGTGAAAACCCATCACGTTTGCTCCAGAAACAAATGAAACAATCTGAAAGATGACCATTACTTTTAAAATGTTCATTGTAAATACTGTAGTAGTTTCAATACAAGCCAGTTTTCCTTCTCTCTCTTTTGTGAGTATTCGCTTAAATGGAAACATAAACGTTTTAATGTGTGAAAGACTTCCTTCTATACTGATTCCTCCAATTATAGTTTTATTTAAAACTCAACTATTGTTTAGATATTTTGACATCCTTCAAACATGACTGTACGTACGTGAGAGCAACTTTATCACTGTGTGTCGTATGTCTCGTTTATTAAATCTACGGTCATGGTGGTTTAAAACATTTTTATGTAAAGTAAACTTCATTATATTATTTTTTTTATTTATCACTTAAAATGCTGGAAGACTACACGTAATTATCTTTCATTGGGTGGAATTTAACAGGATACAGAGAGAAACTCAGGAAGCAGAAATTCATGATTATTTTCAGCAATCCATACCTTTGTCTTATATCAAATGAAAAAAAAACTATTCTCACAAAAAATCACGAATTATAGAGCCATGGATTTTAGTTACGGATCATCTTGTTATGAAGCTAAACAGAATATTGATACTGGTTGTCTTTTTAGATGGAATGAATAGTAAAATACATATTTCAGACATACTAACGTCTGAATTCTGAAAAGAAAATCAACATAAAAATTGCAAATCAAATTTTCCTGGAGGGCCAGTGTCCCATTTTACTCAAGATCTTACAACTCAGATAAAACTTTAACTAAATATAAAATCTTTCATATTTCTTATTCTGTTAATTCCTATCATGAAAATATTTTTTTTTAAAATTCATTTTAGAAAGATTAAACCCATCTTCGAATTAAAAAAATGTTATTTGCAAAATTATATTTTGATCTGCAGCTTTGCAGTCTTTAGGAACAACTTAAAACAGTAGACTGTCGTTATTCTGACATGTATGTTATTTTTAGCTCTGTATTTCTGGCAACATCTCTTTTCTCAAACATCAGCCTTGTCATACATGACACCCCCTCCCCCGAGTTTAAGATGGGAATATACAGAAACGGCTCTTAATTTCAAAAAATATATAATAGAATAATAATGTATTTTTTCTGTGCATATGAAAAATCATTTAAAACTCGAAGATCATGCATTAATTAGCATTAAAGCATAGCTAATTGGCGCGCATCGAGGGATGGACCAGCACAACAATTGCCATTCATATCGTCATATGTCACTGAAAAACAAAATGGAAAAACTTTGTTTATTTCTTAAATAAACACAAAATATTTTATGACATTTATGCAATTTTGCCTGGAAAAAGGATACTTTTTTAATCGAAGTGAATGCAGTTAATTTACTGATTTAATTTATTTCAGTTAAAAAACAAACAAGGTGATCTTTAAACATCAGGTGGCCTGATAAAATAAGAAATGAAGACAAACCAATCAGCAATAAAAATTAGGATATGTAAAAGGAGATGGCGGTGGACTGGCCTCAATTTGAGAAAGCAGAGAAATTCCATCACTCGGCAGGCACTCCAGTGGAACCCATCAAAGAATTCACCTGGAGGAGAAGTGTTGTGGCAGAGATGGAAAGGGGAGTTAATAAGTGGCACCAAGTGGAAAGGCTAGCGCAGGACAGGACCGGGTGGAGGGGTATTGTCAGTGGCCTATGCTACTCCCTGGAGCAAAGGGCTTAAGCAAGTAAGCAAGGTAAAAATTAAAACACAAGAGATGCATGATCGTGACAATTTCTACCAGATTATGGAGATCCATGTATAAATTTAGTATACCACTGATATCGATGTAGGAGTTGTCTCCCCTGACAGAGGACCCAACGAGAAGTAGAGAAAAAAATGTGGTCAATCTCTTCGGTAAGAAATCTGTACCTCGAGGTCAAAATCCAGGCCGTGCCTGTTGTACATATTAAGATAGTGAGCGATATAACCAATGATGATTACGAAAGCCAAAAGCCTAAACACACAATTATATACGAGCAAGAAATAATAACAAAACGAACTCAGTCTGTTGATTGAAGGGATGACCATAACCTTCTACTAGCAGAAAATATTCCAATTTTTAAATCAGTCCAAAAATATGTAGTAGCTACTAAGAGATTTGCATAGCCAGTTTTACACTACTTCCTTCATGGGTTTGTAAGTATATTCTTAAATTGTTTGTAGCAATCGCGTCTTGTTTTCTTCGAATTAATATTTTTTAATATCACTATTGTATCTATACTTATTACTTTTTTGTAAATCCTACTATATTCCTAACTGTGTTTTTTTCCCTCTCTGACATTCCTTTATTTAGTCATCAGTAAATTTAGTAAATTATATTTCTGTCAATTGATATGTTGTTTCCTAAATTCAAGATGCATGTAATTTCAAACTTTACTTTTTGTATTATATATTGTTTCAACCGTATTATGCTTTTCTACCCAATAATAATATGTTATTTCAGCAAATTATAAGGACTAGGAGACGGATTAACACAAGTTCTCAAACTTGTTTCCGAATACTATTTGATCTTTACTTAATGTCTGTACTGTATGCTTGTAATTTTCAAATAAAATATTATTTAAATTAAGGGATGGTTGTTTGCTTTAGTCCCTTTGAAAATTTCACTCAAATTCACCGCCACCTACTGTCGATAAATTTAAATCTGTACTCGGCACGTCTGGCTATTGAGCAATGATCGAGGAACCAGCGTACGTCACCCTCGGTTTTTATTCGTTCTCATCCAAAGGGCCTCTCTCCATGTCATGCAGTTCTAGTAGGCCATGGGGTAAGGATTTGCCAAAAAAGCTAATTAAAACATCATTTTTTTGCCAATTAGAAGTTGTGATTCTCTAATTAGCCAATCTAATGTTATGCCGGATTCTCCCGCTAATTAAAGGTTGTGATTCTCCCGCCAATCTTAAGTTGTGATTCTCGAGCCTGCCATTCTCCCGCTATAATTAGAGGTTGCTATTCTCCCGCCAATAAGAAGTTGTGCTTTTCCCGCCAATTAGAAGTTGCTATTCTCCTGCCAATTAGAAGTTGTGATTTTCCCACCAGATTGTGTTGTTCTCCATGAGGACTAGTTCTCTTGTAGTACAGTTTACCTGAAGAACAAGCGATAACATGGCGTTACACATGTTACTTAAAATATTGTTCTCAAGCACCATGGTCTGACTTTATCACCTCTCCTCTGCATGCTATTACAACCAGAACACGAGAGACGAAAATATACAAATTATCACAACGTGTCGCAGACGTCTGCTGATATGGTCCCATCGCTACAAGATAACATGGTCCCATTGAAGAGAAAGAGCTTGATCAGAAGTTGTTTTAACAACATACACGTCATAACCGTTATTAGAGGCGTCTTTTTTGATATCGTGGTTATCTGGTCTTGATATTGCATAAGGACTTTTATCATTTAGTTCTGAGTGTTTTTTCGGTAAATGATATGTTTGTTGGGGGTCAGTCCAAATTTCTAACTTTATTACGCAATTTGAGGACGCACATTAAACTTCTTAGTTTGCTCTTCGATATGCTACTGATGATCCTATTCGATCGATGGCACACACGATGGCACACAAATCGCCATGCAAGAAAATTATAAGCAAAATTAATTAAGAAGGTATAGGCAAAATATTGGACCGACACCCGCAACAACAGATGTCAAAAACAGCCTGCTCCCAATGATATATACGTGCTACTGTTTACAATGAAACCAGCACAATAACATATTCACCAAGAACAGACATCCAGCTTAGATTGTACTTGAAGGTTAACAAATTGCACTATGAACATGAAAATAATAATAAAAAAAAGAGTTTTAAATCTAAAATGTGTTTCGGTAATGAAATGACAGTAAAGCTTAAGGAGAAAAAATATACAATTAACATCTTTGTATTGAAACACGGCTAAAATAGCGCACAAAGAAATGTAAATTAGATACAAACCAAGGAATGTTTGAAAATAGACAAAAAGAAAAAGAATCAAAAAATCAAATGTCATGTTGTGAATCAAACTTTTATCTGTTCTGAACTGAATAATAGACACTTTGCTACATATGAACGGATCTACATTATTTTTGCGTTTAAACCCCCAAAACCAGAAGCCTGTTTTACATATTTTACAAAAGAACTTACGACTAAGACCAAAATGTAATTTTGGGAATAATTTTTCTTATTGTCAACTCAAGTTTGGGTCGCAAGTTCTTTTGTAGAATTAATGGGTTTCTGCAGAACTTTGATAGACATGTACCAATTTTTCCCCATTACATGATAACGGTACGATACCGATGTACTATAATCTATTCCATATAACCCTTGAGTCAGTATATAGATTATTTCAAGTGCACAGTATTCCTCGATGTTTCCGTTCCACTTAAGAGAATTATCATCTTATTTCTGCGTGATAACTGATATATAGCACCGGTCGCCAAACCTAAGCCTTCACATTCACATAAGGATGGCAAGCAGTTTGGTGACCATGAGAACCCACACTGGTCAAGTCCCGGCCCCAGAGGACGCGGACGTGTCCGACAGTGAGGACTCTTTGATGATTGACAGCGAGGAGGAGAACGCGAGCAGCGCGGACCTCAGATTCAGGAAACCTCGTGGAATAGGGACGCCCGACCACCCGGGATTCGAAAATTTCGATAAATTCAGACTGTATATGGAGAATAAAAACACTCAAAGAAAAACAGATACAGATGTACGTATCGTCATCAGTTATTTGCGCTCGGTCGATGAGAACAGAAACCCAGAGGATGTTCCAGCTGCCGAACTCGACCGATATTTGTCGACATTTTTTACGATTGTGAAGAAGCATGATGGGAATGATTACGAGCCCGCGAGTCTGCGCGGGATGCTGTGTAGCATCGAACGTTACCTTAAAATGAAGAATTATCTCACCTCCGTGACTAGAGATGCTGCTTTTGTTGGCACCAGACAAGCGCTCAAGTACAAACAACAAAGACTCAGAGAAATTGGTAAAGGCATCAAGAAGCCAAATGAGCCCATTGGCAAACTAGGGTTCGACCGCATACACCAATTATTTTCCGAGCAAGAGATGGGGCCACACACCCCAATGTCGGTCATTAACACTCTGTGTTTCGTCATCATAGTCCACTTTAGACTAAGAAAAGCCATAGATCATAAGAATTTACAATGGGGAGACATAGAGTTAAAGACAGACACTAAAGGAAAAGAGTACCTAGCGTACCAACCGATGTCAGCATCAAACCAGAGCTATAAAGCTAACAAAATCGCTGACTTAAAACTGTGTATCTGGAGCAGACCCGAACTACAGGACAGAGATCCTATTAGCATATATAAACTTTATTCCAAGAAAAGACCGCCCAGCATGCAACACGAGAATTCGCCTTTCTACCTGGGAATTACAACAATTAACCCAACCCCTATGCAATCCTGGTACCGAACATGTGCCATGGGGGTTAATAAACTTAGTGATTTAGTGCGCATGATCCGTAGCATCACTGGACTTCCGCGTACTACACTCGATGGATCAACAGAAAGCATTTTGTCCGCCAACTTTTCCATTCCGTCCACTAATGACCGTCTTCCATATTCGTATAAACCAATCCCACCAGTCCCAAACTTCACCCCCATCAAACCTAAACCTGAATTACCGGAGGCGTCGACAGAGGAAAACAGCTTGACAGAAACCATCATTGAGGCGGAGGAAACTTCCCGGTCCGTGTGTCTGTCCGCCTCGGAAAGTCCACTCTCACAGTCTGACAGCGAGAATTTATCGCTAGTCAGCAATGAAAGACGGAGTACGTATACATTACGTATATCACTTACAATGATCCGTGGTATATGAGTAATGAGGAAGGGAATTTTTTTTCAGGCTATAACAGTCACACAACATTGCATTATAGTAATATATAGATTTCATTTTAAATTTACTTCTGTAAAATTCTCAAATTACTTAGTAATATATAACTGTGAAGTTCTACACTCTAGGCTCTGTTTGATATGAAGTGTACGTTCCTGCAAAAATAATTTGATGAATTTTGATTTTTAATTAGGAGCTATAAATTGATAGTTATTCATTTTATCGCTGAATATTGCAATGTACACTTCAGTTCAAATCTACCCCCATAGTAGTAGTATGTAAAAGATAAATTGTACTTTAACGAAAGTCTGGTTAACTTCAACATGAATTCAATATTCTGATATTTAAGTATAAGGGGGCCCACTGAACTCTTATGAACATATGTACTAGAACCTTTATATCAGATCTAGAATTCTTTATCATATTCGGAAAGACACAAGTCAATATACTGTATCGCTGATAGCATAAGAATCGGAAAGTAGAAGGATCTATGATAAGAGAATTTTCCCAATATGGACGATAATGATACATGTACGTGGGCTATATATACGATATGTTCCTATTATTCATAATATCCAGGTAAGGAAAAAGCGTATCTGTGCAGGTGATAACCATCAGATCCATGTTTCAGGTGACCAGACACCTTTAAAAAGAGCTAAGGAGACTATCTGTGCAGTAATGCAGACACTGGACCAATCAGACGTGAATGACCTACTGACCTGGCTACGGCAGTCACGCCTGGATGAACGAGAAGAGATTGGTAAGATGTTTATAAAATCTGCCACTTTAATCCTTGCTTCTGGTGTCTCTAGGTTCCTCAGAGCTACATTTCTGTTCACCTATTGTAAGGTGCCCGTCTGTCCGGCTGTCTGTAAACTTAACACATTTTCGATTTCTTCTCCAGGATCTCCGGGCCGATTTCAACCATACTTGCAACGAGCATTCTTCGGTTAAGCAATTCATAATTCTTTAAATAAAGGGCTTTCCCATTCCAAAGTAATAAAAAAGCAAAAAATAGGACGAGGTCATTAAAAAATATCTTCTTCTCAAGAATCACTGAGCAAGAAAACATTAAACGTATGTGAAATCTAACTGCTTAATAACATTATGTACATTCTAATTATAAATTATTCATTATATGGTCCCTGAGGATAGGGTAAGATCTCAATATGGGATCATTCAAATTGTATTGCTTCTTAAAAAAGATCTTCTTAAGAATAATATGAATAACATCTCCATGGTTAGTGCGGGGCACAATAGTGGGATAATTTTTTTTCATAAGAATGAAGAGGGAAACTCGTCTGAAGCAAGCATTGTGGTCTATGGGATCTTGATAAATATCCTTAAAATGTAATACAGTTGCGTTACCCATGTTCGCCGACCTTGATACGTTTGTTTCTAAAATATCAAAGCTGCCATCCTCAGCTGTGTGCTATAGTTTTTTTTATAATATATTTTTTTTTATCTCATTTCGAAACTTTACTGTATCTTTTCAGCTGAGAGGAGTACTGACAGTAATACGATTCAAAAGGAACCGGGTACTAATGAAAACGATGACACAAGACATTTTACACTTGGCATAGAATTTAACTTGCGTGCACGACCTGGGGAGGATCCAATCAAAATTACTTCCGTTGTAACCGATAAAATTGCCAAAAACATGGACAAAGAGGAAAAATGGAACGCATGCATTCAAAATAGCCGTAAAAGAGAATCTTCATCAAGGGGCAATGAAGGAGAAGACAATATGTCTACAAATCTGTGTAAAAGAAATAAAATTGCCACGCCAAACCCTGTCAATCTTACCAATGAAAATATATCGAACAGCGCGACATCATATGATGACGTTCCAAAGATAAATAAAAACATATCAAATGATTTGGGCTGTAGTGCTTCCAATAGCAATGCAGCTGAAACACAGATGTCGGAACATCTGTCCTCGACGACTGCGGAAATTCTGCCAAACTTCACTTCCGGTTACAATCCAGTTCCACATGCTCATATGGCACCGATACAACGCCCCTCATTTTTTAGCACTCATGATCCTAACTGGACCAGTTCCCTACCCCACCCGTCTCTGTACCATAGGGGAGGTCTGGACACCGTCACACCCATGACTGCGCATTGCAGCTACACCCAGTATCAGTTCGCGCAATCCTTGCATTCTGCGAGCTCTTGCCAGTTCCCTCAAAGTAATTTGTAGTACTATTGTATATGTATAGTTTTCTGACACGTGTGTACATTTTACTTTAATTCATGTATCAGGTATTTGATCACACTCATGATTATATAAAATTTAAATGGGCTTAAATACATGTGTAATTCAAATCTCCATTACGAACCAGAGGGGAATATATTAGTAGATTTCGGGGATGTTCGAAGGAATCTTAATAATAGCATTCACCGATAAATGATATACTTTATTATTTCTTACACCGATAATAGAACTAGTTAACTTTGTATCAAAGCTCCACTACATTAGTATGGCATCATCTTTTGTTCTTCTAATTCTATTTCTGGAAAGGCCCAAAGCAGTCCAATAAGTTACCTGTAACTGTCCAATAAGTGAACAAGAGGCCCAAGGGCCTTATCGGTCACCTGAGTATAATACAACAATTTAGAAGTTAAATACACTGATAGATGAAGCTTTGTTGCCCTAAAGCAAGAGAAGTAGGAAGATCAGGATCAACAAAATAATTAGTCTAGTATTCAGTATCAACTCATAAATTAAGTTCTAATCTGTCACCCACTTAACACTATCACCATGCAGACTATTAACAAACTATTAGTGCTTCTGTACTATTTTAAAACCCATATTAAGACCTCTAGCATTGACCTCTCTTATGGTCTTTGAAGAACTTTTAATAAGATAAGTTATTTTTGTCTCATTTTTATTTATCTATTACTTACAGGTCTACCTGATTATTAAAACTAAGAAAGTACTTTTTGAATTATACGATAAACATTCTTGCATAATTATCTTATTCTATTAACCTTTCAAGTACATTGTTTACAGTGATTAATTATCAAAAGTAAACAGCAAAGGGGAATAACTCCTCTCAGTAGAATACAAATTAATAGAGCCCTGCCCAGGACCAGAATGCTTAGACAAATAGTCCAAATGTTCAAAAATCTGGTAGAAATAAGCTTACTTACATCATTTAAACTATTACTCAGTTTGCTTCCGATATGCCCAGAAGCAGAGAAGAATTTCAATGCACTTTCTCTACAGATTCAACAAAGCCTTACCCTAACACCAGAACCCAAGACCAAGGGTCAAGAAATTTACAAATTTGGAAGAGTTGTCCGCACCATCATAACTATGGACTTCAAAGAATTAACACTTTTCCACTATATTATCCCCCCCCTCGTTATGCCAGAACCCCTGACCCTAGGACCACAAGATTTAAAAATTCTGTTCGAAGCTCCCATTTTCATCATAGCTAAGCAATTTATTTATCAGCTCAACACTAAGGAGCAGACAGGATTAATTAATGATTAATAGAATTAATGCTTTTTCACTATATAATCAATAGAGCCCCCCCCCCCCTCCTCAAGAACCCCAAAAACTGAGGCCATATATTTAAAAATTTTGGAAGAGGCATCCTTGCCTATCATAATCATGCACTTAGTTTGTTTAAATAATCTGCAGTAGCAGAGAAGAAGATTTTCAAAGAATCAATGCATTTTCACTATATAATCAATAGAACCCCTGACCCTGGGGCCATGACATTCATAATTTTTGAAAAGGCATCCTTATGCATCATAACCATGCACTTAGTTTGTTTAAATAATACCCAGGAGCAGAGAAGAAGATTTTCAAAGAATTAATGCATTTTCACTATATAATCAATAGAGCCCCGCCCTAACACCAGAACCCCTGACCCTGGGGCCATGGCTTTCATAATTCTGGAAGAGGCCCACCTCCTCATCATAACTATGTACTTAGTTTATCACCTTAATGCCCAGGAGCAGAGGAGAAGATTTTCAAAGAATTAATGCATTTTCACTATATAGTTGATAGAGCCCCTCCCTAACACCAGAACCCCTGACCCTGGGGCCATGAAATTCACAATTTTGGAAGAGGTACTTTGCTCATCATAACTATGTACTTAGTTACTTTATTAAATATCCAGGAGCAGAGAAGAAGATTTTCAAAGAATTAATACATTTTCACTATATAATCAATAGAGCCCCACCCTAACACCAGAACCCCTGACCCTGGGGCCATGAAATTCATAATTTTTGAAAAGGCACTTTTGCTCATCATAACTATGTACTTAGTTACTTTATTTAATACCCAGGAGCAGAGAAGAAGATTTTCAAAAAAATTAATGCATTTTCACTATATAATCAATAGAGCCCCGCCCTAACACCAGAACCCCTGACCCTGGGGCCATGAAATTCACAATTTTGGAAGAGGCTCTCTTGCTCATCATAACTATGTACTTTTTTACTTTATTTAATACCCAGAAGCAGAGAAGAAGATTTTCAAAGAATTAATACATTTTCACTATATAATCAATAGAGCCCCGCCCTTACACCAGAATCCCTGACCCTGGGGCCATGAATTTCACAATTTTGGAAGAGGCACTCTTGCTCATCATAACTATGTACTTAGTTACTTTATTTAATATCCAGGAGCAGAGAAGAAAATTTTCAAAGAATTAATACATTTTCACTATATAATCAATAGAGCCCCGCCCTAACACCAGAACTCCTGACCCTGGGGCCATGAATTTCACAATTTTGGAAGAGGCACTCTTGCTCTTCATAACTATGTACATTTTTACTTTATTTAATACCCAGGAGCAGAGAAGAAGATTTTCAAAGAAATAATGCACTTTCACTATATGATCTATATAGCCCCACCCTGGGGCCAGAACCCACGACCCTGGGGCCATGAATTTCACAATTTTGGTAGAGGGCTCAATGCTTATTACAATGATGCCAACAGTTTGACTGCTTGATGTCCAGGAGTAAAAAAGAAGATTTTTAAAGATTGCATTATTTTTGGTGGTTTTAGCCCCACCCCTCAGGCCCCAGGGGGGCAGGGACCATGAAATTCACAATTTTTGTTCCCCTTCACCCATAGATGCTATATGCCAAATTTGGTTGAAATTGGTTGAGCGGTTTTAGAGAAGAAGCTAAAAATGTTCAAATGTTAACGCACGACGCACGCCGACGGACGAGAACGGATAGCAATAGGTCACCTGAGTGACTCAGGTGACCTAAAAATCTGTCCATTATTAAAAATAATGGCCAGTATTCAATAACTTATTGGACGGCTACAAGCACGTAAGTTATTGGATTAAGAAAACACAACAAAGACAGAAATAAATATTTTTAAGCAATGAATCCAACATGTTTCACAATGTAATATATATTCCAAGTCACAGAAATAAAAACTGAAACTTTGTAATATTTCCAATAAATAACGAAATGTATATTCCAACTCACAATGAATGTGAAAAACTTAAATTTGAAGGAATATATCTTCGAATTCTGTAACTTGCACAAACAACACACGCGGGGATATCACTTCTCCTTTTTATGCCCCCGTAATCGAAGATTCGGGGGCATATAGTTTTTGCCCTGTCCGTCCGTCTGTCTGTCGGTCTGTTTGTCCGCAAAAACTTTAACCTTGCCAATAACTTTTGATTGGTTAGAGCTATGGCTTTCATATTTCACATGTGTATTCCTTGTGACAAGACCTTTCTTTGGGTACCATCATATTTGACCTTGACCTTTGTTGTTTGACCCACTTTTGCAAAATTTTATGAGACTTTAACCTTGGCCATAACTTTTGAACACTTGAAGCGTGGGCTTTCAAACTTCACAAGCGCATTTCTTGGGAGTAGGCCAACATTTTTTACCCTTTGACCTTGACCTTGGAGTTTGACCGACTGTTGAAAAAACTTTAACCTTGGCTATAACTTTTGAACACTTTGAGCTAGGTCTTTCATATTTCGCATTTGTACTCTTAGCGACAGTCCTTTCTTTGCATATTAACAGCTTTGACCTTTTGAAAAATTTAACCTTGGCCATAAATGTTGAATAGTTAGTGCTAGGGTGTTCATACTTCACATATGCATTCCTTGTGAGAAGACCTTCCTTTAGATACCAACAACTTTGACCCTTTGACCTTGAGCTTAAAGTTTGACCTACTTTTGAAAAAAAATTTAACCTTGGCCATAACTTTTGAATAGTTGGTGTAAGGGCTTTCACACTTCACATGTATATTTCTTGTGACAAGAACCTTCCTTTGGAAATCAACAATTTTGGTATTGACCTTAACCTTAAAGTTTGACCTACTTTCAAAAATTTTTAACATTGGCCATAATATTTGAACGTTTGGTTCTAGGGCTTTCACATTTCACGATCATGTGTATCACTTGTGACATGGACTTCCCTTGTGGCACCATTTGATCTTGACCTTGCCGTTTTACTTACTTTAAAAAAATTAACCTTTGCAATAACTTTTCAACGGTGTGTACTAGGGCTTTCATATTTCACAGGTATACTCCTCGAGACAAGACCTTCTTTGGGTACCAACATTTATTTTTTATTTCTTGACCTGCAGTTTGACTTGCATTTAAGAAACTTTAACCTTCGCCATAAGCTGTCATACGGGGGCATCAGTGTTTCACAAACACATCTTGTTAAATGGAAAGTTTAATGCCTTCCTGGCAAGAATCAATCGCTCTTTCTTATTTCTCACTAGTATTTTGAATAATTTTGCTCACTTTCTGCAATAGCACATCCATCGTTTCTTCTATTATAGGATTGGAATACAAGGGTGTTTGTCAATAATCTTCGACTCTTCTCCCGACTGGTTTTTCACTTCAGCGACCAAAAAAAGGCTAATAATTTTGTTGAATTCTGTATCACTCAACAACTTGATATCCTTAAAAATGAAAACATCAACGTAGGGTACTGTGTAACATTCTCTGTCAGTTAAGGGACCCAGTTACTGTCCATTTACATTTCTGCTCCGTTTTCTGCGATAAGCCTCTTCGAAATCTAAATATTGTTGATTTAATTACGGAATCTTTCTACGTTCTTATTGTCTTTCTGCATCCTTGAATAGCTTCAACCAAAAGTTGAAAAATATTTAAAAAGAAAAAAACCCAACTTTTGAGTTCTAAGTTCATTATCTTGACAATCCTAGGCTCAAAATCCAGCATATGTTACATATCACTTGAGACTGACATCTGTAATCTATTAATAGATTGCTCATCATATCTGAATTTGTTTTACATCAGAAATATTTTTCCCTCGGAAAAAGACATGCTTTCAACATTCACAGTCACAAGATAATGGTGTTCGAATCTCATGCCTTGTGTTAAATATTATTTATTCAGTCATTTAAAAACTTACTTGTAACTGTCCACTAAGTTATTAATTAAAATGAATGTAAGTTTCTTTTGTTTGTAAACAAAATTTACCTAAACAGTCCAATAAGTAGTAGGTTATAGGCCTCAAACTGTCCATTCTGTGAGAAGAAAGAGCTATTGTCGAGCCTAAGGACCCTCCAACAGTTCTTTCTTCTTACAAAATAGACAGTTTGAGGACTATAACCTTTATTTAACTTGCGATGTCTACAGTTGTCGTCTGCCGCTCTTTCTATGTTTATCCCCTCCACAATTTCGCTGATAGGTTGCTCTTAGACCAAATAACATCCGCTCTTTGGGTACAATTCTTACTTCAAGTAAATTTTAGCGATTACTATAGTATAAGAATATGAATGATTTTTATATAGTGCTAGAAGGTGTGGCTAATATCTTAAAGGGATACAGAAAGCTATCCGGAGTAGGGAAATCGATTAAAAAGAAGTGTTTCATTACAGTTTCTGTGAAGTACTATAGATTCCTTATTTTATGCGAGTACTTAATATCGCGAATTGAGTCTTAGAGGTCTAATCGCGAGAACATTAATGCACGAGTGGGCGGCTGATGATTTCAGCAAATATAAAATAGCGAGTATTTTTATTTCGCGAGTGGAGCATTAAGAGGAAATAACCTCAAAATAGACCCCATACAAAAATACAAAAATACATGTAAAGACAAAAAAGTCTTCCATGTTATATTTTGAACCATAATTTACAGACTCTTGTGCCATCTAGCGTTTATTCAGATAATGGCTGTTCTTTTTGTTTTTTGCACTCCATCTAGCGTCAGTTTAGTTAATGGCTGTTGGTTTTGTATGGGTAATCGTTCGCTTTGCAACGATATCTGTTAAAGCAATATGAGCTGCATTTTTGAGAATTTTATTTTGCTGTTACAATGTGTTATTTTGAGAAATATGTATGTAATTTAAACCTTTTTGATCAATTTAGACAGAAATAACGTATCAATATTTGTTTCAGAATAAAGGATTCTGTACAATCAAATATATAGTATGAAATAAGAAATCAATATTGCACAGGACGACAATAATGTAATTTTGCTTTCAATCAAAGCTGGCTTATAAATAGTTCTTACATCGCAAATATAGGCGACAGAATTCTATAAACTTTTTTAACGTTCTTTTTTCCGTCATTGAAATAGTTTTAAAATTACAATTTTGCAACAAAAATTTCTGACATCAAAGTTGCGGCTCATATTGCTTTAATTTTGTAATTGAGTCTGCATGTTGATTTTATTTTAAGCTGTGTGTTTTGCATTACAGTATATATATAAATCGTAAGTTGAGGATTATCGTCTTTATTACCCTTTTCGCTGCCCATATTGATCACATACTGTAATTAACTGTAATTAAATAATGTTAATTCAACAAGGATATTTTTTTTAGGTAATATTCATCGATTTAAGGAGACCTGGTGGTAAACAATCTACCCAATAGATCCGCCTATAAAAAATTCTAGCCATAAACTATTATTAAGAAAAAAGCTCCAGTTTTCATATTCATTGCAGTTTCATGTATTTCTACATAGAGCTCTTCTTTCCAGGAGGTTTAAGTAGTCTAAAATTGGTCAAGACCATCGAACCCTCTTAATTATTTAAATGAACAGTGTGGTGTTTAGATTTGCCTTTGGTCATTGACGCTGAAATAGGACACAGTAGTCTGGAGGTTTGAAATCTGTTGAGTTTATATCAGTTCTATAACATGACAGGCATATTTTTGATCAGAAGGTCACCTTAATCAAAGATTGAGGAGGTGAGCTAAAAATATATACATGTATAGACAAAAAATGTCACAGAAAGCTAGCTCTTCACGAATTTTATTGCAAAACTATTGTGACATGACATATTCCAAACAAAATATATATGACTCTAGCACATGTAATATCACAATAAAATAAATAAATACTCAGTATTCATATTTTTTACCCATAATTAAACGTCTCAAATAAATCAAGCAAAAATCACAATGCAGAAATATGAATAAATAAGGCATATTATTTAACTAGCAGTATTTCTTGTATTCTAGATGACTACAATCTCGTCCTCAGTCTCGTTCTTGACCGGGACATTTGGATGACGTGATTTAATATGTCTGTCCAGATCTCGCCGCCGGACTAGAATTTTACCGCAATGATCACACCTGTACGGAGTTTGTCCTTCAGCATGGAGACGCACGTGTTTATTTAGATTACTTGGATCTCCAAATGGGCGAAGGCAAACCTTACATTTTAAAGGTTTGTATCCTGTGTGCGTACGGAGATGGATTTTCAAACCATACTTTCGGGAGTAAAGTTTTCCACAGTATAAACAAAGATGACCTTTCTGAGATTTGTCGGCGAAGAAAGACTTTGGTAAGAGGTCTAATGGCTCCCCCTCTACGTCCGTGGGAAGCGGAAGTTTGAACCCGTTAACATTTTCATTGTAGGCACCACGTGGTTGTCTGTTTTTGATTTCATCTGGCCATTCGTGTAGGGATCTTTCAAATATAGTTCCCCTGGAAGCAGGTAAAAAATATGGCGCCAAAAATTTGCCGTAGACGAAGTCACGTGATTGCAGAGTCATAAGTGGAGCAAAAGACATTGGAAAGAACGAGAGTGGCGGAAAGTGCCGAACATCAAATGACTGGATATCTGCTGTGGGGCAGTGAAGAGTCCTGATTTTGGGAGAATGAAATGCACTGGCACTAAGCCTTAGGTCTACTCCGGATTTCATTTGATCTAAAGAAGTGTGTCCACTTCCTGTAACAGAAGAGTCCAGAAATGGTCGGAAGAGTTTATGTTCTTGTTGAGTCATGGTGTCGTTACATCTGTATCTGAGATGGGCTTTCAGGGGGTTCGGATACTTAAATGTCTTGCCGCAAGAGTCACAAGCATAGCATTCTTTACCTGTTAAATGAATGACAAAATATCATATAGATATTGTATAAAACAGTATTACAATAAGCAACCTATAAAATAAAGAGGTCTTCTAAAATAAATCCCCGAAAAAAGTTTAAATGTGCAATCTATTAAAAATTCGATATTTTTAAAAATATATATTGTCTTAATTGTTGCATGCAGCAGATCGATTAGGGAGCGGTTATGATTTAAACAGAATGACGAATGTTTAAGTGGAAGAGAAACATTTATTCCAATCTATTCAACAAAAACAATATTCACCATAAAAATGTTTTGTATACTTGAATCAAACACCTTTTCAAAATTAAATGTTACTGATCGCAGTATGTTTTAAATTACATTTTGAATTTTCAAAAATAAAGTGTATAGTTGCGGCTGAACTTTCAAATTTTTTAAAGATGGAAAAAAAAGTTAACTCAAATACAAAACAAATTAAGCTTTTCTTTATAATTAAACTTTATTGTATAGGACAATAGAAAATTCGCGTGAGTTGACTACATCAGAATTTATAAATTTATACACGCCTCATACTTCACCCCGGAAGGAGTAGTAACAAAGTCAAGTCCACCTACTTCAACGATATAACCAAAAAAAAAAAAAAAAAAAAAAAAAAAATTAAATAAAATAAATAAAAAATAAATAAATAAATTAGATAAAATAAATTAAAATAAATAATAATAAAAATAAATAAAATCCTAATAATAATAAAAATCCTAATAATAATACAATGAATAAATAAATAAATAAAATATATAAAATGAATAAATAAATAAAAAGCAGAGGAATTTCTAAATTTAAACCACCTACATCTACTTAGTACAACTGACCTTGTATGTTGACTAGGGATAAGAAGGGAACTCCACACCTTCTGGCCAGATCGTCACTGTACCATACCAGAATCTCTTCTCCTCCCCGCACCCTCCGTAAACTCCTTAAATAAATACCCCCATCATCCGACCGAAAAAATTCGGTGTTCTGCTCGTGCCGGTCTCGTGCGGGGCGTATCCCTTTCATCCAATCAGTGGTTGCTTCCAGTTCGGGAACAATCGTGTCATCTTGAAATTTCACCTGGTAATTAAAAAGTTAAACACTTAAAAAATTTCAATCTTAAAAACAAATATTTAATCTATTTGATAATTTCCTTTATTTGAGAATTAAATGAAAAGTGATCAATATCAGCGAGTAATCCGTGTACATATTGACTGAAGCGATCAAATGGAGGCAGATTTGATGCAATGGATATTTTGTTCCTTTCCAGTTGTGTTTCTAGTAGTGATTAATTTCAGAACATTGTTTTCTCCTTAAATATCAGTCAACAAGAAAAAGGTTTTAATTTACACCTGTCTGATGAAGCGGAGACACCGTGTAACAACTGTTGGTTACAGTGTCTACCGTTTATTTGCACTTATAGTTGACCGTCATCTACACCAAATAGAGTAATCAAACAGAAATAAATCCCCAAATCTAATATAATAGAAACATAAAGACCCGATACGGCAGCGAACCCAAAAAATCTAAATAACGGCACGTTCCCCTGGATGTAATTAAAATGTCAGAATTCTGACGCAACTGCAACATTTTTAGACAAGTGTCGAACCAGGATTAATTTTAAGCGAGAAAAAAATCTTTCAAGATGGCTCATTATAATTGCGTCGCGAAGTTTCTGTCAAAATTGTGGACATAGTGACCACGTCGGCACGTGCAGCGCACGAGAATCCGGCCACTTGATCCATCTCGACATTTTAACGCATCCTGACTGTGGCCATTTTCTACTTCACTTGAAATAAATGACCCACTTGCAGGCCTCCTTAGAAAATGATTTGTACAAAGTTTTCTCGATTTATTGATAAATAACACATCTAATTACACGTTCTGTTCTGTCTCCACTCGTATGTCCTGTGTCGAAGTGAAATCTATTGAAGAACTAAGGAGAGGCAAATTACATGGATCTGGTTTTACCGGGAGCCTTCAGGATTGCCTTCGGCCATCTGACTCGATCAATTAATCAGCTCTCATGTGACACATTCCCAAACAGAAAACCCCTGTAAGTGGACAGCGTGCAAGACAAACCTTTCTGCTCTAAAAGGTCGAGTACTGCAATTTACTTTCTACAAAAGCCGAGTACTCTATTTTCTAGGGAGAGATATGGCGTTTATTTGGATAAAAATAGTACAAGCAAAGTCAACTTGGTCAATCATAAAATACTATCATATTTCCTAAATGCTGTTAAACAAGCCCTTTCGAGCAAAATTCAAAGAGAAAATCTCGTTTTCATTTTACCATAATTTGAGATGCAAGCTCAACGAATATTTCGCGAAGTATCTATTGAATTTAAAAAAAAAAGTTAAATAGATAATCGTAACAATTTCAACAATGGCACCTCTAAATGAACTTATTACCCCACCGCAATGACATATAATTTATTACTTAACTCTATAATTTCTGGTTTCATGGCTTATAATATTTCTTGCATAGTTTTAGAAATTTATTTACCTAGCAACAATTTCCCCATATAATGACTGCTTGGAAAGATTAAAATCTATTTAGCATTATTTAACCCTTTTGTTGATCGTTCTTTGAATTTTATTCTTTTTGTGGATAAGAGGGTAAGAGCAGATCGAAGCATAAATAAAGAATTATCATATGATAAAGTAGAAATAAAATACTACATATAAATTGGGGGGTGGGTGGGTGGGGTTTGCTTATGAAGTCGATAAAATAAATAAACGAAGACAGTAAGCAATTGCAAGGGAAGTAAACAAGGACATTGCAAAGCGGGGCTTCCCCTTCCAGCGTGTTTTCCTTCCATGGAAACAGCTTCTCAGATATTGAATTCATTTGACTTATTAAGCGATATCGCTACCTATCATTTCTCTTGCCGTGTCTAGCAATATAATGTTGAGGCTGAGTACTCAAGCACTCTTTAAGTCAAACCAGTGTCATCTTGTTACTCATTGCCTTTTAAATATCTATGGAACGATAGTATGTGACTGAAAGGGTAAGAGGAATTCTATATCCTGTTCTCAAGGTTGGCGACAATTTTGGCAATAAACATGCTTTAACTTTGTATTTTTATATCGGGTTCAGTCGCTCACAGTTGATACCAATGCATTTGCACCGCAACATCGACAGCGGAAAGGTGTTTTTTTTCTCGAGATCTGTCAGAAAGGCCCAAGAAAATGCGAATGGCGTCTGCATAAGTTACATTGCGCATATGTGACACGAAGGACTATAGAAATGCTCAGCCTCTGTGTTAACTATTCTAGTATTTGTATTTTTTATTTTTCTTTATTTCCTTAATGCAGCAAGAAGAATATTTCAGTTATTTTGTGAACTATGTACTAAACACACGTTTTCTGGCCGTTTGCTAAATTTTTTGCCACTTTTTAAACAAAATACACATTTTACTTGGAAAGAAGATGATTCGTAAATAAGGGCTTCAAGGGGGGGGGGGGGGGGGGATCATATACTGTAGATTGGGAAGTTAAAACGATGATTTTAATTTCACTGTGTTCAGGATGTATCACTTTTCCGCAAAATTAAGCCTACAATGAATTCAGTTATCAGATCACACATGGTTGGTCTGAATAAATTAGTAGGCAGTGCGTACAAAAAAATAGATCTCTTAAACTGAAATTTACCATTAATCGAAAAAAAATGTCTAAAATATATTTCACATTTATTAGACCATTTCTTGTATATGCTTCTGTAGTATGGAAAGATCGTTTTTTATTTGATATGGATCGGTTTAAAAACGTTCAGTTAAGTGCCGCAGAAATTGTTCCAGGTTTACCAATTCTAGCAAGTCTCTCTCTCTCTTAAAGAGACAGCCTGAGGGTTCAATCGTCGTCAAACTGCAAAGTTAATAACTATGTTCAAAATTAATACCACTGATTATGTAATACATGTAAGAGAAAAGATTACAAGGTTCTAATCGTGCAGCAGATTAGAACTTTAAAAATGATCTTTTGTACCCGAAAATGGAACTCGCCGAAATGATAAATTATAAGCAACTTCACTCAATATATTCAAGAAAAATATTACCGAAATTATCAATAATCCTCCGAAATATTTTTCGTTTGGTAAACGCACTATTAGAGATGTTTCTGAATATGAATCGAATCCGAATCTGAAAATGAATTTGAAACGAATCTGAATCGGAGGGATCTCGATCCCGATTTGAAAACTGAGAAAAATTTCAGCACAATAAAAGTTCTTAATTATACCATGAATAATGATAATCATGATAATATTTGAGTATTATTATTTTTCCTTAATTTATTTTTCACCTGTACGATGACGAGGAATATATGGAATTTAAATTTGAAAAGTGTTTAATTTGAAACTCCTCCTTCTTATGAATTTATTATTACTAATAATTACATAATTACTTTTGGGAAATACAAGTACATGCATCTATGTTTAATATGTCATTAAAAAAATGTCATGTAACAATAATAAAAAAAATTGTGGATATAATTATATTTTTGTCATTGGAATGGGGTTGTTATATAAGGGAGTAGTCAAATTCTATAGACTGAATAACAGAACAGGTATCCTTTCAATTCACGGGAAAACCTGCTCGTAAAGTATTGTTGTTATATTATTCACCTATTTATATTATTTGTTCCTCGCAGGAGTCGTGTTCTGGACCCTATTTTCTAAAAACATTTTGTGTAAATGTATATATACGATTCATTTTATATATTTATATGTAATTGAAAATTGTGTCGAATAAATAACTTTCTCAGCAACCCCATGGCTACTTTCTCACAGCCAATTCTTTTTTTCGAAAGGTTTCGGTGATTGGACATTGATCGATGTCTACAAGTTTCTAGTTTCAGCGTTTCCTTTCATTTCTTGATTTACTTTGCTTTAATTTACTTGATTGGCGAAGGATATAGCTGTTAAAATGAGAAGTAAAAAGTTTAATTTGTCTCTTACATCTCAAAGATTTTTGTCTGTCTCCTTATGTCTTTATTATTAGTCCCCTACCGGTGAAACCGGAGGGGACTATAGGTTTCCTCTGAGTCTGTCCGTCTGTCAGTCTGTCCCACTTGGTTTTCCGCACTTTTTTTCTAAACGCTTGTAGATATTAAGCTGATTTTTGGTATGTGAGTGTATCTTGATGAGTTACAGATCAAGTTTTCATTTCGTTCCGCTTCATTGATTTTTGACGAAAATACGGCCTTTTCAATTTTTCAGGGTTTTCCCCATTTTTTTCCTAAACGCTTGCAGATATTGAGCTGATTTTTGGTATGTGACTTAACCTTGATAAGTTACAGATCAAGTTTGAATTTCATTCCGCTTCATTGATTTTTGACGGAATTATGGCATTTTCAATTTTTAACGGGAACCAGATTACACTTGTCGGTAGGGGACTAGTATTGCTAATGCAATACTCTCAGAATGCTTGTTTTCTGACAATTGAACACAATTCTTGAGAAGAACGAATATCTAGTGAATTGAAAAAATACAATTATACAAATATAGGTTTCGTATGTATTGAAAAGACAAGTGACCAAGTGGTGGAAGGTGTCAAAGTTGTCCAGCCTAGCCCCCAAACCCCACCCCGAGTTTTCAGAGTTATTGAATTATATGTAATACCATCCTTCCTTGGGAAACACGGACCCGTCGTAAGTTGGTCGAGGAGAATTACACAAGCCCACACACACAGATAGGTTTTTCACGTCTGGAGAGAGTTGGGATTTTTTGTCAAAAAATATCCGAGTCGGAGAATTTGGGTGATTATTTATCTGCCAATGGGAATTTATTAGTATGCCCTCCTCCCCGCCCTGAGCAAAATTCCTGGTTCACCCTTGATATTTTAAACTCATTCCCTAGCCCCCAAGAAAAAAAATAAATCTAGCTTACTTCATAAACTCTTATTTCAAGTAATATGCAAATATAACATCCATATACGATTTAAATCATGAACTTTATTACTTACAGGATATCGTGATGGTGTTGGGGGGGGGGGGGGCACTAACACATTAAACTCTATATACAGGTTACAGATTGATTTACCAAAGTAAAAAAAAAAGTAACCATAATTTAGTTAT